ATATTAAATTTTGAAAAAGATGTTGGGGATGTTTTGTATTCTGACACTGGTTCCAATTTCATTTTAATCAAATGTGATAAAGTTAATACCCCAATGAGATTTTCACATCAAACATTAGACCCTAACTCTTACCCATCAATACAAAACATTTTATCCATCAACTTAAACATATTTTCTTTATCATATCCGTTTCAATTATCCGGGAATTCATTTATTCTTCATTCAAAAGATTTATCAAATATTAAATTTAGAATAACCGACCTATTTGATTGTGATTTAGAATTCATGAATGAAATATTATGGCAATTTCAAATAGAAAAAATAGGTGATGAGATAACAGATTAAATATTTATTTTTTAATCATAATAAATGATTAAACAACAACAACCACGACAACTTAAGGCGCAAAGCACCCAGGCCCTTCAAACCATTACATACGCCACATATGCATATAATTCAAAGACGGCAGAACAAACGCAAAGGTTGAAATATGGAGATTTGGAGATAGTATTGAAAAATGACCATTTCGAATTCGTTTGCAAGGGTGGTGCAGTGATATCAAATATAAAAGAAATTTTATTTATGAATTCAAAAATTAAAGGTATAACGGATGATATAACATCAATTCCACCAGAAGAACAAAGATATTACGCATTAAATGCATTTCCTAAAGTTTTGAAGATTGGAAGATTTAATTTAAATGAGGAATTCATAAAAGGTTTCCTAAATGACATAATGAAGAAAGCAGATAAGGAATATGTGGCTAGTGAGTTAATGAAGAAGGCAGATAAGGAATATGTCAACAGTGAGTTAGAGAAGAAGGTAGATAAGGGACTTATGGCTAGTGAATTAATGAAGAAAGCAGATAAGGAATATGTTAATGAAAAAGATAATGAAATTAAAGAAATGGTTGAATGGTATCATGAATGGACATCAAAGATTTTAAAAACTAAAGCTGATACAGGATGGGTTTCAGGATGTTTAGACCTTAAAGCGGATAAAACTTATGTTAACGATGAGTTAAATAAGAAAGCAGATAAGGAATATGTGGATAGTGAGTTAATGAAGAAAGCTAATATATCATTTGTTAATGAAGAAATAAAACAATCAGAGGTCTATTTTACTCCACCATTTTTAAATTTTATGAAATCATCAGATAAAACCTTTGATATAGATTCTTTTGAATGGATATGTTTCGATGGAGTGACCATGTATTTATTTTATACAGCTGGAGTGCTTTATTATTTTAAAACAAATGATTTTAAAAACTATGAATCATTTACTCCATCTGTTTTGAATCCTGATACACGAAAGCCAATCATTAATCCAAGAATTTTATATGTTGAATATAATAACGGTAAATTTATGGGAATGATAACGGTTGAAGATGATTTTTGCCCTTGTTATTCATTCGATTGTATCCAATGGTTCAAATGTAATTTAAATCAAGATGCTAAATTTAAATATTCAAATAATCCTATTAGATGTGTTAATAATAAATGGGTACTAATTTATGAAGTCAATCAAATTTTCATTAGTGAGGATGGGATAAATTATTATATGTTTAGTATGATGTCATCAGATTTGGAAATTGATTATACAAGTAAGTGGTATTACATTAACAACATGTATTTTATCCTACAAAATGATAAAATTTATAGATCATCTTCAATACCACAAGGTCAATTTGAACAAATTTTTCAAGCTGATGGAGACATTGAAGCTTTATGTTATGGATCAAATGTTTATGTTCTCGTTTCAGATGAAATGGTCTATTCATATCCTGTAAGTTATAACAGACATATTTATTTATCACAGGATTTATCAAATTGGGAATTGGTTTATTCATTCACTCCAAAATTTACTCAAAATTATAGATTTACAAATTTATTTTATATTGATGGGTATTTCATTGCTTTAGGATGTGGTGATTTAGTAAATATCAGTAGTGATGGAAGAAACTGGTCTGAAATCACAAAATTTCAAGATGTTAGAAAAGCAATTTTCAAAAATAATACGTTAATATTGATAACAAGACCAGTTTTAAATACTCACCCAAATTCAATATTATATAATAAATTCAATATTCATAATGGATTAAATACAATTCTTGAGATGATTTACCCCATTGGTTCTATTTATACGTCAATGAACTCAACAAATCCAGCAACAGTTCTGGGTTTCGGTACGTGGAAGCAGATTGTAGATAAATTCCTCTATTGTGCTAACAGTTCAAAGGAAACAGGAGGTTCAAAGAAAATAAATATTGAAAACCTTCCACCGCACACTCATACAGGAACTACAAACTTTTCTGGCGACCATAGTCACTCATTAAGAGACCACCCATTATACAACTCAGAATATTATGCTGGCAATGACGTTTTATCTCCAGATTATAACCATTCGGCAAAAAAGACTTTTCGACCAACTGAACCAGGAGGAAATCATTCACACACTTTCACAACAAATCCAACAGGCTTGGGTAAAGATTATATGCCTCCATTTATGACTGTATTCGCATGGTATAGAGTTCAATGAACGCTCGTCGACATAAGATTTTATAAATTGCACATTTGACGTAAATTCATTTTCCCAGTTATTCAATAATTAATTATTTTTGAATAACTGATGAGGTCACCGGGTCACCAGGTGGTCACCAGGTAATTTAACTTCTATGAAAAAATGTGACAACATGACATTTAGACAACAGCGTCGGAAATATGATGCAGTCCAAAAATAAAGTTAGTTTTAAAATTATTTTTATTTATTTTTTTTATTTTGTATGTAAGAACAGAAATGTCAGTCGAAGCAAAAACATTCACGAACAAATCTAATGGTGAAACATTCATAAAAGGCACTTATAATGATATTGAAGTCTTACGTAGAGACAAGGATGGTTACATTAATGCAACAAAGATGTGTCAGCAGTTTAGGAAAGACTTTAGAAAGTTGTTGGAAAATAAGTCCTGGGAAGAGTATTATAAGGCATTTTGTGAAGAATATAGCAACCGCCGGAATTCCGACGGTTGCTTTTTATACAAAATTCATGCAGGAATTCCTGATGAAATCAAACAGGTTAGAGGAACGTATGTAGACCCAAGACTTATAAACTATATAGCAATGTGGGCTTCTCCAAAATATTGCATAGCAGTTGGAAAAATTATGGACTCCATAGACAAGAAAGTTCATGAGAAGTTAGATGAAGAAGAACTCGAAGATATAGGGTGTCCAAAGGTGTGTTTAGCACAAACCTGAATACTGCGAATAGAAATAAACAAGTTACATATATATAAAGTTTATTTAAATATAATCACCATTGGATTCAATCACGCGTTCGCAGCGATCGATCCAGGCTTGAAAGACACGCTTTAAATCATCATGAGAAAATTGCTCAAATTGCTCTCTTACAAAATTTTCAAGATCATCTGGACTCGCGAATTCGCGTCCTTCAGCTCTCTTTTTTAGCGTGCCGAATAAATAAAAGTCAGAGGGTGCAATATCAGGTGAATAAATTGGGTTTGGAACAACTTTGACATTGTTTTCCACCAAGTAATTCATTACCTTATGACTTTTGTGAACTCTTGAATTATCAAAATGAATTGCAAACTTTTGTTTTTGTTGTTTGGATTTCTCAAACTCATCAGAATTGATAATTTGAGTAAGAACATTGTCAAATAGATACTGAGCATTCATCGTATTAGGTTTTTGAAGAATATCAATTGCGATGATGCCATTCACGCCCCAAAAAACTGACAACATCATCATTGGTGTGTCAATTTTTTTCTTCGGGAATGTTTGCGGATTTTCATCCTTCGGGATCCACATGATTTTGGCTTCTGTTGCATATTGAAACCAAGACTCGTCCCCTGTTACTAAAAAGCGAAACTTCTTGGATTGATACGCACCCAATATAGAGAGGAGCTCTTTCGAAGATTGGACTCTAGATTTTTTTTGAACTGAATTAAGGTTGTGCGGAACCCAACGTGTATACGCTAGTATGTAGTTCAAATAATTGTGCAGATAATAACTGACTGTTGTACGTGGTATCTTTGTCATCTCCTCTATCCTTCTGAGTGATGCTCTTGGGTCTTCATCTAGCGCTTGAAGAATTGCTTTGATTTTTCTTTGATCCGGCGATTTTTTGTCAATTTTTATGATGGGCGCCTTTTTGTTCATGAAGTGATACATCCTAACATGATACGTTACAGTGGAATAGCTAGAAGCATCCATACCGAAGCATTTTACCAATGTCTCGTAGATTTTTTTACAGTCTTTGCATTTTTTTGCAAGAGCGAGGATGTTTTCTTTATGATTCATTAAAAAAATGAAAAAAATCCCGCCAAAATTTCCCGCGAAACCGCCTCTTGTCTCAAAATTCATTTTATATCCCGGCATGGCGCCAAAATACAACATACTCATCATATACATATATTCATATTTTTTATTATATATTTATAATCAGCATATATCTCCTTTAATAGTCTCATATAGAGCGCTGTGCTAAACGCACCTTTGGACACCCTATACAGTGGAGAATGCTAAACCTTTGTTTGAAGAAGAAGTTGGAAAAATGTGTGAAAAACAATTAGAACATGAATGTGAGAAATGTTATGGTTATAGAGATTCTCCATACGAACTAGACCAATGGGAACAAGAAGATTTAAAGAGAGAATTTAGAGAATATGAACTCGCTAAGATAGCATTTGAAGCTGCAGAAAAGAAGTTAAAAGTTTGGGGTCGTTTTGTAAAAAAATATTGTGAGTAAATGAACCATTTATTTTTATCGTTAATGTTTACGTTAATGTTTTTAGGTTATTCAATAATTAATTATTTTTGAATAACTGATGAGGTCACCGGGTCACCAGGTGGTCACCAGGTAATTTAACTTCTATGAAAAAATGTGACAACATGACATTTTGACAACATTTACGAAAATTTGATGTAGTCCAAAAATAAAGTTAGTTTTAAAATTATATTTTTATTTTTTTATTCCTATATAAATGACAGCAACAAACAACAGCAACAGCAACAGCAACTTTATCATTTCTGATGAACAAGTTATTGATTCATTAGCTGAGGAATTAGTTGTGGCAGAAACTAAAATCCTCAACGAAAGAATTGGTGAAAACAAGATTGATTTACATAACTACCTCAAACATGATGGAGGAAGAGGAAGGAAAACTGGTACAGCTTTATTAGTAAATAAAATTTCGAATTTAACGATTATAGATGTTGATATCAATAAATCATACAATGATGAACTTAAAGAAACAGTTAGAAAAGACATTTTATCAAAACTTTCGGATAAAGATGTTATCGTTAAAACCGCTTCAGGAGGTCTTCACATTTATTGCAACACTAATTTCTTCTATTCAACCTCGAACAGAATGATTAAATGTTATTCCTGCAATGATTATGATATTGATATCATGACTTCTATGGATGATTCAAAGCGTTCATTAGTGGTTATGGCTGATTCAAGAGTTCGAAAGAATGCAACAGAACCAATCAATACATACTCATTCATTCGTGGAAGTTATGATTCAACATTAACCAGAACAGTGAATGATATATTAAATGATTTGAATATTAAGGTAAGAGTTGAACAGAAGAACGAAGAAATAAAGAATATCATGAATGAAAACAAAGATGTAAACATTGACGATAAACTTGCCCAGAGCATAGTTGATGGCATCTGTGATTTTGAAGTACATAATGACGGTGGAAACATGAATTTAGAAAAAGAAGTTACATTATTCACACTGTTTCAAGCTATTAATTCGTTACCTAATCATTTAATTAATGAAGCATACGATAACGTTTATAACTTCTGCAATTTAACTGAAAATGCAAAAAGTAATTTTGAAAAAGCACGTAGTAGATATGCACATTTAATGACTTCTCCATTTGTTTTGGTGAAGATTCTAAAACTATATCAAAAGGAATATTATGATGAATACGTTTTGCCTTTATTACGTAAGCCAAAAATAACATTTGATATCAAACTTGATGACTCGTTTTTGATAACAGATATTAGACGCAAGGCTGAAAATCATCAGTATAAAAACAGTTCTGAAGTAATTGAGGATTTATCACGTGTAATCCGTTTTGTAGATTGTGGAAACAAATATTTCATTCAAAAGGACTATAATATCCACGACAAAATGAATCAAATATCATTTGTTCTTCAATCAAACATGAAAGAGTCACTCAAAATGATTAAATTATTTAAAGAAGAAGGTAAAACAATAACAGCATGGGATGTACTATTAAATCAATTGTCTTCATTAACCGTTAAGGGTGTTTGCTTTAAATCTGATTCCCCCGATGTTTTCTCAACGTTTCAAGGTTATAAATACAACATTCTTGAAAAGCCTGATTACTCAAAAATTGAGATGTTTATGGATTTCATTAAAGAAGCCATTTGTGATAATAACGATGAAGTGTATAAATACCTTCTCGGGTGGATTGCATCAATGATTCAACATCCTGGAATCAAGAATGAAACAGCAATTATTTTGAAAGGACTTCAGGGAACAGGTAAAAACAGATTCACAGACATTATTTCGGAACTTCTCGCTGGTTATTCATGTAAAAACATTACCGAAATAAGTGAGCTAACGGGTAATTTCAACTCAGTAGTTGAAAATAAAATGTTTCTTGTACTTAATGAACTCAAGAATGTAGGTGAAGACAGACTTGCAAACTTCAACGCTTTGAAATCAATTATTACGGATAATGAGATTAGAATTAATGAAAAGAATCAACCCAGAAGAACTGCTCAGAATGTTGCAAACTTCATTTTCGTAACTAACAACGTTTACCCTGTCAAAATTGAAGTTGGAGACAGAAGATACGTAGTTTTAAGGGTTAATGGTAAATTCAAGGGTCAATTTGATTACTTCAAGAATTTAATGGATTCATGCACAAAGGAATTTTATGATAATTTACTGACGTATTTTATGCAATATGACATTTCATCATTTAATGTACGAATCATACCGATGACTGAAGCCAAACAAGATTTAATTGAATTATCATCAAATCCTTTAGATGTATGGATAAATACACATTATGATGAATTGTGTGCAGGTATGACGTGTAAAAATGCTCTATTCTGCAAACCATCAGACATGAAAGACAAGAATTTCCAAATGAGCATTAAGGATAAATGTGAAAGGAAACAAAGAAAAATAGATGGTAAACAAACATGGTATTATGTTTTGAAAGAAGAAATGAAAGGATTATATAAACAAATTGAACCAAACGATAATGAGGATTCATTTACTGACGATGAAATACCTGTAAATGAAGCTTTATAAAGTATGATTGGAATTTATTTTTACATTAATCCTTTCATGACTGTTGTCAAAATGTCATGTTGTCACATTTTTTCATAGAAGTTAAATTACCTGGTGACCACCTGGTGACCTGGTGACCCCTTCAGTTCTTCAAAAATAATTAATTATTGAATAACCCATGACTGTTGTCAAAATGTCATGTTGTCACATTTTTTCATAGAAGTTAAATTACCTGGTGACCACCTGGTGACCTGGTGACCCCTTCAGTTATTCAAAAATAAGTCATAACCACCTTCCTCCTGTGTTGTTGTCAAAATGTCATGTTGTCACATTTTTTCATAGAAGTTAAATTACCTGGTGACCACCTGGTGACCTGGTGACCCCTTCAGTTATTCAAAAATAAGTCATAACCACCTTCCTCCTGTGTTGTTGTCAAAATGTCATGTTGTCACATTTTTTCATAGAAGTTAAATTACCTGGTGACCACCTGGTGACCTGGTGACCCCTTCAGTTATTCAAAAATAAGTCATAACCACCTTCCTCCTGTGTTGTTGTCAAAATGTCATGTTGTCACAAACTTTAGAACGGCATAATTTAAATTTTTATTTTTATCATAAATGAATACCCCACAAGCTCAAAATTTACCACGAATCATAACAAGGGAGGAAATGATAAAAATGATGCAAGAACATGTTAAAAATAACAAACCACTAAAATTGAGAAAATGTGGTTATGCAGTAATGATGGAAAGAGAGATGTTGTCGAAGAGGAATAAAAATTAAATTTGGATAGAGTTTAAAAATTCATCTTTAATAAATTCATCTCTTCCAACCAATTTATTTATTCTATTAAATTCTTTTATTTTTGCTTCACTCAGTTTAATGATTGAACGGTAAGTTTCTAATTTTTCGATTATTTCTTTATCGTTTTCAACCCCACCGCATTGTGGCTTCTTTTTGTAATAGCATATTTTTGATTTAATTCTGTTTAGTTTCTTTTTATATTCATCGTCTGGACTCTTGACTGCTTCGTTGTCACTCATTTCTTACGAAATAAAAAATTAAATATTATTTAAATATAATGGAGTAATAAAATAAATCGGAATTTCTATTAATTTATTGTCAACTTCAACTAATGCATTGCCGTTAATATATCTAACAAATTCAGCTATTGTGTCAAATCTTCGTCTTCTTTTTGTCATTGATTTATCAGTTTTTCCATAATCGAGATGAATTAAAACTTTATTTCCTTGTTTAAAATTCATGAGCCCCGAATTAATTTGTTCACGTTTAACATCATTTAACCTTTCCATTTGCTTTCTAATATATCCCCATTCTTTTGAAATATCATTTTTCATTTCCACCGGTTTCATGTTTATAGTTCTATGCCATGTATTATTATAATAATATACTAACTGCTGTATGATGGAGTCATGATTTCCATCCCAGTATATCTGACCGTTAACCCCTAACGCATCTCTAAGAGTTCTCATTACCGCATCAACTATTTTATTATGAAACGTATATGGAGAGGATGAGAAGTAAAAATTAATTTGTGGGAAATAATGAGCCATAGCTGCCTGAAATCCTTTATCACCATCACCCCTGATATTATCTACTCTTTCATGATCTAGTAAGTATTGAATAGCTCTTCTTGTTTCCTGTTCTGTTTTCCCTTTCACCGGAATGCAATATAAATATCTAGTGTTAATGTTAATGGCAAATAAATAAGTAACGTTTCCTTTTGAATATTCCAGATGATCGATTTCGTATGAATATGGATATGGAGCAAATGAAGGTCGACTAAATTTTTCCTTTAACGGTTGAATTTTTGGGTCAATTGGTTTATTTAATATCTTGAAATCCTTTTTAAAATCTTTTTGCTTCTTTAATGTTTGAAATGGATATAATAAAGTGAATGATGAAGGATTAACTGAAGGAGGAGGAGGTACTGTCGTTGGAGGTTTTGGTGTTGTAAGTGGTTTAATTTTATCTGCTTTGATTTTGGATTTCATTCCTTCCTTCATTAATTCTGGATGTATTCTATTCATTTGTTTTAAATATGCTGTATATAAAGGTTTGATATACTTTCCTGCTTCGAGTTTATGTTGAAGGATGAATTCCAAAAGTTGATCTTCATTTAAAAGTCGGGCTGAATATGGTTTAACTAATGAATCATAAATTAAAGCTTGTGCTTCATTTATGGTCTGAAGGACCTGGGTGTTTTGTACCATTTGTTTTTGTTCCTTTGGTTTTTGTGGCTCAGGATTATATAATTTATATAATTCATCAATATCTTCTTCTGTTAATACTTTATTTTTGAAATCTTTCAATTGTTTAAGTTGCGATTTAGTTTTTCCCTTTGCATATTCATTATTTTTAATTTTGTCTTTAATTTTAGAAATTATTTTATCATGATATTTCAAAATTTCATTTTTATAATATGGATAATAATATTCCATATCATCACCCGTTATATTGTTATCATATTTTTGGAGATATGCTTTTAAATCATAATAATTAAGAAAATTTTGATTAAATATTAAATCATCAATTAAATTTTTTAAATCTGTGTTATCCATTTATATAAAAATAAAATCAATGTTTTAAGGGTGCCCACCTCTTTGTCTCTTCTGTGGTATTTTATTAAATAAATGGCATACAACATCCATTTTCACAACATACAGCCTTAGTGTGTGCTCCTGTTAATGCAGTCTTACCGATTGTTAAGCGAGTCATTACCCCGTTTTTAAGTTGTAAATTAATATTCTGACCATCAAATATCAATTTATCATTTATTATATCCAAATATTTTTTAGGTGTTAATTGTTTATTTTGTCTTAAACTAACACCTTTCATTTTTTGTGCAATCTTTTTAAAATCACTTCCATCAATTGAACCGTTGAATGATGTATAACACTTAGGACATAAAGCAACCATGTTATCACCTTGTTTCTCAATTGCTAAACCCAATAATTTTTTCTCATGTGCTTTTTCTTCAGCTTTATTCTTTAATTTAGGTTTAAATTTCTCATCAAAACAGAAGAAATCAAAAGGTGCGAATTTGAAAATGTTTTTATCATAAAATTGTTTATCGGTTATAATCACTTGAAATGCTTGAGTGTTAGGAAGATTTGGATCGCCAGCGATTGCCCAATAAGATGAATCAGTATCACCTTCAATGAAATGAAAACGATTAACATCCATGCATTTATACATAAAATCATAAATGAAAACCAAATACCAGTATTTAGCATTATCTAAAGTGAAGAATGCCTCTTGTAAACATGTATCACATCTATAAAATCTATCTTTAAGCATCACTTGATATGTATCCTCTCCTATTTCTCTTATGTTTTTAAACTTATTTGACATACATGCAACGCGTGACTTCTGTGCATTCATTATTTTAGTCTTTGCGTAATTTTGTGTATTCATTGCATCGTAACCATATGATCCATTAAGTGAAATCTTGCAAAATAAACTTTTTCCTTTATTTCCTTCTAATTCAGCCTTTTGTCTTTCGTTCATAAATTTGTTCGCAAATTCATTAAAACAAGTGTTTTTAGTAAATGTTAAAATTGATTGAATATCATCGATGATAAAATGAAATTTGTCTATTAGATACCAAAGATAATAAGAAGAAAATGGTTGATATTGGTTGTGTGTTGATGCTAACTGAGTTAATTTTCTCTGTTTCTGGTCAACTGGTAGATTGTTTGATTTCATGTAATTATACATAAAACTGCCAATTGTTTTTTCATCTGTGATAATATCTAAGTTTCTTATTATCGGTAAAAAGTTTATGTAATCATTAATGTATTTTTCATCAATGTGACCCTTTACTTCAGCCACGAATAAAGTATTTTTCTTCTTAATAATTCCAGTGCTTTTGCTTTCTTTGTTGCTGTATCACAAATGATAACACCATTCAATCTTCCCGGCATATACATTTTATGGTCAGTATATTGAATGAAATCATGAGGATTAGATGAAAATGATGAAGGATATAATGAATTAAAGTCAACTCCAACGAAATGAGTCATAATGTTGGTGGTGTCCTCATTTGATACAGTTTTAGTTTCTGGATTATATGAAAGTTTATTAATGTGCGTGATTCCTTTAAGATTAACACGATGTTGAACATTTGATAGACCACCAGTAATTCCATTACGGAGAATGTGATAAGCTTCAACTGAATCTAAAGTCATTGGTAAATTATTTTTTAATGCGTAATTTCTTAAATTGATTCTTAAACGTTGAACATCTTCATCTTTATTTGATTTTACGACATTGCAATAACAACACATTAACTGACAATTTTCTTTGGTATGTGGTTTTTCATTATCGATTCTATCTAATGTTGGTTTATTTGCATATGTAAACGCTTTACCACACATTTTGCATTTAGATGAAAGGATTAAATCGTGATAGTATTGAAAATCATCCATTGAAACATTGTTTTTAGTATCCCTTTCTGCTTTTTCATCTTGTTTCTTATATGATTCAATTTTATATTTCCAATACTTTTTCGTTAATTCAAAACTTGATTCTATCTCTTCCTCAGGATATTTTTCATTAGGATTAAAGTCTTTATATGCTAAAGCGTAACGAATCATTGAAGCATTCGATGATAAAGAAAGATTATGAAGCATATCAATTTTATAAACAAATGTTTCTTCAATAATTTTATCAATTGGGTCAATCATAATTTCAACATCTTTATTGCAATAATGAATAAAATATTCTAATCTATTCTTAAAGTTTTTAGCATCATTGAGATATATTTGATAATCACTATCTGATATAGTTTCTTGAGTTAATGCTGAATAAAATGAATCTTTCGTGAATGGTTCCTCTTTATATAATTCTTCTTCGGAATTCTCCCATGTGATAAATTGATAAGGGAAAAAGGATTTAACACGTGATTTATTGTTTCCGAAATCTTGAGTGAATTGGTCTAATGTCCCACCCGCTATATAATTTCTGATGTCAATAAATCTCAATTCATATGGAACGTTTGTTTTCTTTACTATGACTTGCTTAAATTGAGAAGAAGAACCCAGCATTGATTTTATTTTCCATTTTGCAGTGTTTAAATCACGAAGAATTAAATTTAAATCAAACTTTCCCGAATTAAAACCTATGATATTCACTTTATTAAATTCTTCATCTAGAAGTTCTTTAAATGCTTCCTTCTGTTTTTCATTTAATGTTTGCGACTTCAATAATTCATTGTATTGACTCATATTTGATTTAGCAACTAATGAACAGGTTGAAAATAAAAACTCAATCCAATCAGAAATAAAAGAATCACTCGAAGTTAAGCAAAAATTCCTCGTATATGTTTTATCATTTAATTTAACCGTTGATGATACCATAAATGGTTTTAAGTAAGCGTTCAAAGTTGCACATTCAGAAAGTTGAAGTTCTTCTTTAGTCTCTAATGTTTCGAAGTCAAAAGTAATATAATATCTTGTTGGTTTATAATATTCCTGCAAATTATGTGCTAATAGCCATTGATATATCTTCTGTTTCGTGATATGTGGTGCATATGGTTGTTGTGTCTTTTGCAATTGAACGTCTTGAATTAATCTTCCATTATTTTCTTTACATTTCTCACAATGTTTTAAAAATCTTCTTTGGTTTTTCCTTTCTGGATCATCACGGATAGAATAAACTTCTTCTTTACAATATGGGCAAACTTTATATCCTGTGAGTGCTTCAATGTCTGTAATTCTGTCAGCGTGAAGTTTTCCACATGGACTCTGTGTTAATAAAATATTTACTGTTTCAAATTCTGGATCTATCATTATTGTTTCCACTAATGGAAAGTCTACCTTGTTAATGTCTACGTCTTCTGGTTGAGGGTCACAATAATAAAAATCAATATTAACGTTTAACATTCTTGCTAACCTCTCACTTTCTGATGAAATGTCAAATCCTTCATATGCATCTATGGCTTCATTTAAATAACTTCTACGAGTTTTAGGATTAACACCATCAGGAATGTTATAGAAGCGTTTAAATAACCTTCTACCTTCGGCTCTTATTTGATTATCATTCATTTTAGCTGTTCCATTTTTGTTCATTTATGTAAGAAAAAAAATTAAAAAATAAATAAAAATAAAGTTTATTTTTTTTAAAGTCCGAGACTCAGAGAGTCCAGGGCTAAAGTCCATAAAATGAATTAAGAACACATAAATTTTTATCATCTGCGACGTGACGAATACATTTTAATTTACTCAAGAATGCGTACCCTGATACATTAAATCTAATTCCTGTCTTATTTAATTTCACAACTTTGAAAAGGAATGTATGAATAGCTATAAAATGATGAGATGATGTTTTATGGGTTGCTTCCATTTTTTCTGAAATAAATGAATAAATATAATGTTTATAAGTTTTCATATCTTTTATGTTCTTAATAACGAATGGTATAGACCTTTCAACTTCGTCTTCCTTCGGTGCTGTTCTTTCATATGAAACATTATTGGTATCTTCAATAATGAAACCACAATCACACAAAATTTTATATGTACCAATTATTTCTTTTGATATTTTATCTAACAAATCAAAAACTTTATCAACACCTGTACATTTATTTAAATAATAATTTGTGTAAATATCATGGTCTTCTTTCTTAATCGTATTTGTTGCATATGTTACATTTTTCACTGCTTTTTTGAATTTTTCAGAATCAAGAGGAGGTGAAAGTAATATACATGGATAATCTCCATCGTCAATAAACTGAAGCTTATGTTTATGAATAAATTTTGTGCCTTCTTCTGAAAGTGTTTCGTCAATATCACCATCTAATAAATTTTTAGTAGATTCCAAAAAGTAATTTTTATATCTTTCCTCATGTGATTTTTGAACTTCTGATTCTGAAGCTGGGATATTCATTAAACCCTCTACTTCATTCTCATTATATTTTTCAACTTCTCTTAATTCCTTAATTTTTTCATCTATTTCATCTCTTATTTTTTTCAGTCTTTCAATTTCATCATATTCATCATCTTTAATTCGTTCTTCATAATATTCAGGGAAAACATCAGGTTCTTTTGGTTTTTCTTCTTTAGATGTGGGATATAAGAAATTTATAACATCATCTTTATTCATTTTTCCATCATAATCAAACTCATTTAAAAACTCCGCGAATTTTTTACAATTTCTTAAGTAATATTTATCAACTTCATAACCTGCCTCCTCTAATATATCCTTTATTTCCTCATTTGTGAATCCCAATTTTTTAACGTTGTTAGTTTTGACGCTCATTTTCATACAAATTAAAAAATAAATTATTCAAAAATGTAAGACATGAAAATAATTATTTCTAATTTCTTTTACTCTCTCGTACATACTAGATTTGAAGAATTCAGAACATTTCCCATAATCTCCTAAATGTTTTCCATTCATTATATGAAACTGTATAAACTTTATATTTATCTTTGCATCTTTCATCACTTCCAATAATTCACAGTCTTCCTTTTTAAATAAATGTATTATGTATTCAGGATTAAGAATTCATACAATATTGCTTCCCTTTAAATCTTTGAATATAAACAGGAACACCATCCTCTAAAATTCGATAATCTATTTTATCTAGTTTTACTTGTTGAGTCATTTATGTAAGAATAAAAAATAAATTATGTTTAAAATTAATGTTAAAAATAATGATACAAAATCGTTCAATATTGTATGAATTCTTACGTTTACAAAAAAAGTCACATAACCCATCCTATCCTACTACTTTCCATGCTGTCTTAAAGATATTCATGATTGAATTTTCGATGACTTTTTTTCCAACTAGTTTTGACTTTGACTTAAGTTATGTATTGAATTTTCTTTTCTTTAAATTTAAATATTTCCAAACTACAGTTTAGTCCAGAATAAAAAGTTGACGAAATGACCGTTATTCAAATACTCAGAATTATAGTTTCAAGAATTTATTTTGCTATTTGAGTCACCATCATACATTCCAGAAATATATGAAACATGTAAAAATCGTTTAAATTTTTTTTAGAAATTGAATTAAAGTCAAAAGGAATTTGAGAATGTATTCATAATTTTTTTCCAGTTCATTTTTACTAATGTTGAGCGCATTTCTATGCATTGCAAGTAGCCTTAGAAATAAGAGGCTTAAATTAGATGAAAACAATTTTAAGGATTGCCCAACAATCGTTGATAATGAGTTGAAATCATTAGATGAAATAGTAGAGTTAACATTAAAAGCAGGTGAATGCCGAGAGATTTCAGCCTATTCTTATTCATTAGCTAGCCAATCTGAAATCACAGCTGATTAGTATAAAATGTCGGATCTTTCAAAACCCATTAAGACTGTAAAGAACCCATTTTTCTTTAATAATCCATCAATAGTATCAGAAGATGGATATACAGCTACTGTCAAGTGCGCTGATAGCTCCAAAGAATGTAAGATCCAAATAAAAACAGAGGCTATGCCTTCATATGCAATAGAAGATGAAGATGGGAAAACTGACTATAGACTTTATCTTACTTCCTTAAAGAGTGGTAAGTTTGAAGTTGATTTGAAACGTGGAATCATTATTTATCCAGGATTTCTAACAAAGAATACCATCAAAGTTGTTGGTGAACCAAAAGATAAAGTACAAATTCATGATGTAGCTGATAAACCCGAAGATGAAAATAAAGCTCCTAATGAAGTCACAATTACAGGTCCAGGTACAGCATATGGAGGCCTACATGAAAATGCAGGCGAAAACGCCGAAGTTAAAGCTACAATCACATATGAAAGTACAACAGAAGGCGACAAATTATGGTTCCCTGATTTTGCTGGCTGGATCCCTCAAAAAGCCGACCTTTTCACACTTGGTGATCTCAAAAACGAAACTTCTTCTTCAAAGGAAGGAGATTCTTCCGATGGTAAACTTGGAGGTGGCGCAATAGCCGGAATTGTGATTGGCGTTATTGTTGTCGTCGGAATTATCGTTGGCGTTCTTGTTTGGCTCTTTGTTTTTAAGGCCAAGAAAGGAAATGATGCAGAAGCTCCTTAAACAGTTTTAACGTTTAAACATTAATTTTATTATAATTTTCATTTTTTTTTCATTATAATTTCGTACAATTTTAATTCATCAAATGGGAATAGAAAAAGGTAAAACACCTCTTCATTTAGCAACAAAAAATATGAAAAGAATACACATGTTCTAGATGCATTAGCTAGAACTAATGATTTCTTGATAATGAACTAATGAATATTTCAAGTAGTCAAGCTTTTAAAATGGAGTCCAAATGTTGAATGGAATCAAAATTGCGCACAATTTATTATATAAGACATCAACATTGGTAATCAAACAGCATTAATCAGATCTCTTTGACATTGTCTCTCTTATTAAAATTATATCGCAATTATCTGAAATACAAATAATGAAAATCATTATATCGTAATAGTTTTTGTTTGAAACAACAAAATAATCAGAAAAACGAGTTCCATACAAAAATATTAAGAGTTTTATCATGAATTTAGTTTATATGACCTAAACGCGCAAGAAAAGTGAGAGGATTTCATTTAATTCATTTAATTGGAGATGATTTTTAAGGAAATGGATTTATACAACAACAAATATAGTTTAAAGCAACAAAACAAATTAAAAAGTTAAATATATTAACCAGAAGATATTTCATCGTAAAAATCTTCTTCCTCTTCAGCAAATTGTTGGATTCTATTTATATAATAATAGTAATCATTGCCTCTGTTATCTTTAATTGTTGGATCTGCACCGATTTCTAACAAATAATCACAACCCCACTGAGAACTTTCACGAACAGCAAGAATTAATGGTGTCATTCCATTTTCTAGGTAAAAATTCTTATCTTGTCATTATTTCGAATTTATTTTTGAAATTATCAAAACTTCTAACATAATTTATGCTGAAACTCATGTTGATAATCTACAGACAATTTAATTTCAAGAAACACCTTCTAAAAAGTTCTAAAGGACTTATAACAATTTGATTAAGTCAATTATCTATATTTGAACCATATAAAGAATACTATATCCATGGATAGATCTTCTTCGAGTATGGTTTAATCAGATAATATAAGAAATGCTGCAAACTTTTTTTTAAATTTGTTGCACAATGTAGGGCTGATCGACCAATATATTATCATTATATTTCCACTTTTCTGATGGAATCAGAAAAATGTGCAGATATAATGTCATTCTTTATGCATTTGTTCAATAAAATTATGCATTATTATTTTGAATATTATTCAAAAATTTTGTGAATTATTGAAAAAGTTTTAAAGAAGTTTTTTTTATTTGATAAATGCACTTATATTCAACCAGTCCTTTTATTGAATAGTTATAAAAATTCAATAAAAGAGTCAAATTTAACTTCTCAACAACTTCTAAACAATACTTAACTATACTTTCAAGATATCTCACATGAACCGATACCCAGAAATAAATATTAAACAAGATCAATCACCCAGCAGCGCTTTATCCAACTTCAACGAAGTTTTTCAAAATATTACGGCTCTGTTGAGCCTATTAATGATAAATATGAGAACGAAACTATATCAGGAAGTGGCAATTATTACATTCATAATGCAATATTTTCTTTCCATCACGAAAATACAGCAGTTTATCTTGATTCAAGAAGCAAAGTATTGCTCGAAACATGCACATTTTACAATAACAGCTCCACAGGAAATGATGGATCATTCTATATCTACAAATCTAACTGTGTCTTAGTGCATATTTGTTTGTTACTTTCAAAAAGTAATAGTGATGGATGTGCATATTACATTTATTCAGTTCCAAACTACAAAAGTTATGCATTTGAATGTTCAGTTTCAGAATGCAGCGGAAACCTTGGTTCTCTTTATCATGAGAATGGAGATATCCAAGTAAGTAATATGAATACATCACAAAATTACTTATTATGCTGGATATGCCATTAACACTCCTACTACAACAGGAATAATGAAATTCACAACAGCATCAAATACATCAACTACAAAAGGTGTTGGAATGTACAATTGGGATTGTAATATTAAAAGATGTAATTATTTAAAAAATGAAGTCGCAGAAAATGAGGGCTCAGTAATTTCGTGTGCTGGATCAAATACATTTACAAGTTGTTCATTTATCGGAAATAAAGGAAGTTATTTATTTAGCTCAGAACAAACTATTGATAATTATTACTTTAGCAAAAACAATGTCAATCATACTGTAGCTGGTAAATCAACTATATTTTAAATCAATTGAACCATTCGATTTTCATATATCTCATTATTCAACATATAATTGTCATGCGACATATTTTTATTATTTAATATTTAATAAAAAAAATTCACTTAAAACATATAAAGTAGATGAAATTGATTTGAAAGGCATCAAAATTATTGCCAAGGGATCTTATAAAACTTCATTTGTTGGGGCATTAAATATCTCTACTTAAAAATAGTAAACATGATTTTTTTTCGAACAATGGCTTATCTTTGGGTACATTATGCTAGAATGCTAAAGAACAGCATTAAAACAACTCAAAGCTCTGGCAACAAGATGAGATTATGATAAACTATGTATTTGAATTCAGTACTACCCTTCTAGTTCACCTAACCTATAATATTTAAAACGAAAAATACGATGCCATCAAATAAATTATCAACTATTCGAGTAATATCATTTCGAATCATCTTTAGGGAAAATAATTTACAGATTAAAGTGAAAAACCAAAGAATGAAGTGTCGCAACAACGATAAGATCAAGTGTAAAAGAAGATATTTATTCGTTGAATTGAAGAATATCATTGATTATTTTAATTTATTTATTATGAACAATAATTAATGCTAACGCAATAATGGCCTTTGATAAATTCTAAATGATTTTTTCATTATGCAATAACATGAATATATTAGAGCATTGATTATGGATGCTTGCATAAAACATATTTCATGTTTCAAGAAATTTAAGATTTGGAAAACATAATCATTTGTCTGTATTTAGATATAATGTAGTTGGTTGATTTAAGTCATCACAATGAACTCCAACTAAAGGATTATGGTATTTTTTTAAAGAATATCTGATGATTTTTCAACATAAACATTGAAATGATAACCAAATAAAAAACAATGAATTTATTTAAGATTGAATAAATATCTCGTTGAATTGGATTACATGCTATTATAACAAATCTGCATATTCTAGCACATATAGGCAACATACTATCTCGTAGAAGTCCTTATCTAAACTGTCTGAAGTAAGGAAATATTGAACTATTCAAGATTATGACAAAAAACCAAGTGTATAAGGAAACTTCCTTTACGAAATATATTTACATTTTTTTATCAAAAACACATAATATACATTTATTCTATAAAAATTAAGGGTGCACCCGCATGTACGTTTATTTGAGAGGAGGAGGATTACCCTCTCAATTTTGAAAGCTTCGTTAACTTAATATCTCGATGAATATTGGATTAAAATTGAATTTGTCCATACCAATATATCTGATACAATATCCTTAAGTTTTACTAAAAAGAATTTTTTAAAATCCCTGCAGATTCGGGGATTTTTAAATTTTTTGATTTTTTTCGAAAATTTTTCGGAAAAAAAAATATTTTCAGAAGAGCCTTAACGGCTAAGTTTTATGTTTAATGTTGAGTATCAAAAAGAATGGGCATCTGATATAGCCATCATATATCCCAGAAGCAAATAAAAATTCTGACTTTTTAAGCATAAAAAATGAAATTTTATTTTTTTGCAAAAAACAGGCCACCCGGATGTACGTTTATTTGAGAGGAGGAGGATTAAATTTGTGAAAGCACTAAAATTTGTAAATATGCTAGTTATATAATAATATGCATTATTTTAAAAAATAAAAATTAAAGCACGTTAAAATCTTTTTTGATGAATTTTTACAAAAGCTACTCAGGATAATGCAAGATATGAGTAGTTAAACATAAATTTCAAATCAGATTTTACTTATAATAAATATTTTAAATTTCCGAAAATTAAGTTCAGATCGACTCTATACGTAGTAAATACTAAATAAGGTGCCAAAAACCTATTAAACAGTATCAAAACTATCAAGATTGTAATGTTTTTGAAGAAAAATTTATAGAATTATGGACTTCAAACAGATATTATGTAAATAAAAATAATATAATGAATTTATTTATTCGTATAATAGCAGTAATAAGTCGATTATTCACTTCTACTTCTGAGATTTGAATTTAATTTCGACAGAAAAAGAGATTCAAGAGGAAAATACTAGGTGATACAAACAGCCACCATGACAGGATTATTATGGAGCCAAGTTGTATTTTTTGATATTTTTAGAGTTTTCCTACCTATTTAGGTACCAAGTTATTGCTTAAAAATAAGGTTCTAAATTCTGAAGTTTACATGATCCTCCCGGGCGCACCCTTAAAATAAAAAAATTAAGAAAAAAGTTTGTCATTTTCTTTGATATTTATATATTTGAAATCTACCTTATAAATATATCATTAATTTTAATCTTATTTTCTTTTCGTTTCTTTGTTGCGTGTATGGACTCTTCCGTACATAACATATCGAGAAGGTGGAATTAAGTCAACAAAATAAGGAGAATTTCCGAAATAATCTTGAAGTTTCGGAAAAATGCCATCAATTGAGTATTTCGAGAACTTCAGGGCATATTCAATGACTGTTGTGCAATTTTCATATTCTCCACTGAAAATTCGCTTCTTTACTTTGTTCATATTAAAATTAATAAAAGATATCGAATTTTCTTTCTCTTTTGGCCATTCTCCTTTATACGCTGCAGTTAGTACCATATACAATGTCTTATTAAACACGTTTTTATCTAAATCTCCGCCTCTACGACCATCTCTTTTGATATTTGGCGAAGCACAGTAATAAAACCAAATATCCAGAGTGTGGGCGATCGCTATGCACGGGCAATTGCATATTGTGGAGTCAATAAGCAGTACTCCGCAGTTGGGATGAAGGAAAATCATATTAAATGAACAAGAACCAGTCGCACTGACAAAAATCTTGGTCCTTGCGAATAGTTTCATGGTTTCTGAAACGTTGAACACAAAATTTGGCGAAATTTGGATCCATTCATATTGTGGATAAATTTTTTTCGAAAGATTGAAGAGTTCATCCATATTTTTAACGTAGCCCCAGTTCATATTATTTTTGTTAATGAAAATATGGACCGTTGGCTTGATATTTGTCAAATTATTGTTTCTATAAATTATATCATGCATTTCTTTAAAAGAAACTTGTAATCCTGATACTCCGTACGCTGTAACAGATACGTATAAGTCTCTTACGAAGATCCATTCTTCTTTTAACGCATGAACTCTTTCTGGTTCGAATCCTAAAATTTTCATGAATTGTTTGATCTGATTTTCCTCAGATCTGACAAAGATATGAGCATCTTTGATGATTTCTGTAGGAACAGCGATAATGGCGCCAATCATATCTTGAAGAACGTGTCCAAACTGAGGATGGTAGCAAAATCCAACAACAGCCTTATCGTAGCGCTCAAGGGTATGGGAAACATTCAAGTACATGTCGAAATCCCAGTACATTTTGCATGGCTGATGAAAAAATCCTCCAAAAGTACAAACTCCTTGGCGGCTAACATCACAAAAGATGTAATGTTGCAATATAGAGTGCTGATATACAAGTGACGCTGGGTCATATCGAATAATATCATTAAAATCAGTAATATTTGATAATAGTATCTTGTTTTGATGACAATATTTGTTTATAGTATAGTTATGAATGATTTCTGTCATTGGAAGAAATAAATTGTGCTCTACTTTGTGTTGATAAATATAAAATTTCGTTGTTGGATAAATATCTATATAATATCCAACCGATAGTATAATCACTATGATGAGGAAAGATAACATCTGAAAAAAACTCATTGTACATAAGGGTTCTGATGATTTTGACCCATCTGCATTCATTATTCAAAACTGCAGGACAACTCAAAAAACCATTTATCCAAGCCTCCAAACATACACCTCAACATGTAATCTAGCTATGATAGAGTATATTGCAGAATTTATTGTTAAAACATGAAATTATTTCACCAATCTTTAGATCTTTTAACATATACCTTGTTATTTGGGCATTGACATTGTAAAGATGTACTCATTATATTGACAAGCGTTCAACTCCGCTTTTCATTATTAAAATTTGAGAAGTCAACAAGTATTCATATTATTACTCAGCACTCATATATCGAATGACAAAACAGATTTGTTGATTATTATTGTTCGAATCAATAATTTCTTTCCTGACTATATTTTTATAAACTATACCTATCTATATTTATTAGCTCATATTTTTTGAATCAAAATTATTTCGCAGCAAGAGGCATCTAGATTACAAAATAAACTAGGTAATATGCTTTACATACCGATTGTTTGCTTAGAATGCAGTCTAAGCAAGTATTTGTGATAGAATTTTAGAATATTCAACTCATGATTGAACAAAAACAACTATTCCGGACTTCATACTATGAGGTAATAATGCCCTACATATGAACATTTAATAGAACTCAAGTTGTATTTTTAAGAAACTTTTCAAGTTCGAAGTGAAGAAACGTTTGGTTGGAAAGAAGTCATAACTATTTTATTTTCTCTTTTTTATTCTAATGAAATTCATCTTGAGAGAGGGTCAAAGTTGCTATTTGTCACTTTTCCACAAGAATATAATGGGAAAAAAGTTATCATAGAGTTGATCTCATTGACTGAGGTGAGAGATGCATGTAGTGTAATGTGATAAACAGTGGGATTGCTGCTTTAAGTCCTAGGCTCGAGACACATTGGCTTCATTTTTCTCTTTTTTATTGACGTAAACTATTCAATTTTTGTGTTCTCCATTCAAATTTCAGAATTTTTTTTGCAGATTTCACGCTACATTCGAAGTTACCTTTTGTAACAACCACCACTGCCTACGAAAGACGAAAGTGTGTCACGATTTCACCCGGAAATCCGACGGTTGTTTAAGAGTAAGCACTTTTGGCACCTACTCTATCGAAAAATCAACATTTAAGGTTAATTTAAGAGTATGCACTTTTGTCACATACTCTTCGAAGTGAAGAAACGTTTGGTTGGAAAGAAGTCATAACTATTTTATTTTCTCTTTTTTATTCTAATGAAATTCATCTTCGAATATACCAGAATAAGAATAGTATCTTATGTCAGAACATTATTTCGCACCATGTGAAATGAGAACTTCGGCAATTTCTGCATTATCAAACAGTGCTGCAATATGAAGTGCTGTTTCTCCATCTTTATTTGTTTCATTGATGTTTGCACCATGTGAAATGAGAACTTCGGCAATTTCTTTACAATTATACCGTGCTGCAATATGAAGTGCTGTTTCTCCATCTTTATTTGTTTCATTGATGTTTGCACCATGTGAAATGAGAACTTCGGCAATTTCTTTACAATTATACCGTGCTGCAATATGAAGTGCTGTTTCTCCATCTTTATTTGTTTCATTGATGTTTGCACCATGTGAAATGAGAACTTCGGCAATTTCTTTACAATTATACCGTGCTGCAATATGAAGTGCTGTTTCTCCATCTTTATTTGTTTCATTGATGTTTGCACCATGTGAAATGAGAACTTCGGCAATTTCTTTACAATTATACCGTGCTGCAATATGAAGTGCTGTTTCTCCATCTTTATTTGTTTCATTGATGTTTGCACCATGTGAAATGAGAACTTCGGCAATTTCTTTACAATTATACCGTGCTGCAATATGAAGTGCTGTTTCTCCATCTTTATTTGTTTTATTGATGTTTGCACCATGTGAAAGGAAGTATTCGATAAGGGATGGAATATTAAACATCGGTGAATAAACAAGGCACTTGCCAAAATCATTAGTTTGATTGAAATAAACTAAAAAAGATTCAAGATTTTTGAAAAGTGCACAATATTTTAAATCGATCTCTATATTGTATTCATTCATCAAGAAAGTAACAAAATCAATGTTGCGTGAAATAATTGCATATTCCATGCATGTTTTATTTGGTTTTTGATATTTCAAGCATTCACTCATGATCTCTGGATTTCCACCTAAAAATGAAACCTCGAGACATCTTTGAGTTATTTCTGAGTTAAATTTCGTTCTTAATAACTTGAAACAATCAACTGCTCCATGGTAACAACATATTTCAAGCAGTGAATATCCTTTGAAAGAATTTGGATATAAATAGCATTTAAGTGTTTGATCTTTATCAAATCCATCTCTTTCCGTGAATATGATGAATCTTTCTTTGTCGTTATTCATAATCGCTCTGTATATTGTATTCTCTGTATGAATATCGAGATAATTAAAATCATCTTTTTCGAAGTTATCAGATTTGTCTAATTTAATTCCATATTCTTTAAAAAACAGGATGTTTGAAATAAATATGATACAATCAACCTCTTTGACATGATATTCATCAAATATGAGTTTGGCAAGATATAAATATGACTTTGCATAGCGATTATTAAACGGAATGAAATTTAAAATGTCTTTTATCATATTTTCGGGAGGATATTTATTTGAATCAATCAATTCTGTTTTGATCATTCTGTAAATCGAGTTTAATTCTTCTTTTTCCTTTCTCGACTGATACAACGCATTATATATATCTATATAGTACTTATAAGTACTTCGCAATTTGCAGTATTTGTTTGGATGAACGTCTTGGTGGGACATTAGTAATTTTTATAATGAACGTATTTTGGTTTCACTATAAAAATACTACTTAAATTTATTAGAAGAAAAAAATCCTATGTTATGCATGCGGAAAACAGTGTCCACATTATAATTTATGAATTATGATTAAGTCTATTGATGAGAAATGACGTAATAACAATAGAAAAATCTGGAGCAATAGGGCTTCATCAGGATGCTTATAATTTAAAAAAATTTTTATGCCAATTTCTCTATGTCATGTTTAAAAAATTGAGTACTTTCTGGCACAGAAACACACAATGTCAAAGACTTTGAAAGCCTAAAAATTTTTGAGTCAGAAAGTTTACAAGTGTTCTCAATAAGTGGTTTTTAATTTCCGCACTTTTTTTGTCGACCTTAATTTCGAGTGACAAAGTGCTGCCAAATGATATGAAGAATATATTATCAAATTACATAGGTGGTTTTATCTCAGATACTTATGAATTACAATGTTAACAGTATTCATTGTAAAAAAATCTATTTTTTTAAAGGGTGCACTAACCACTTTCAGACATGCTCCAATAATATCAATATATTTTTATTGTGATTGCAAAAAAGTATAGCATTAATATAAGGTACTAAGTAGTGATTTAAAATAACTTCTTCCCGAACAAAGTTAATGACTTTTTACATTAGAAAAATTGGATAAAAAACTAGAATGTAAAAAAAATTGAGAGAATGTCAGATAGTTTTTTTTATTCAGTCGCTTTCAAGATAAGAACAAACAGTATCGCGTAGTTCAGACAATTCTTCATTCAGAGTATCTAATTCTTCAAGGATGTCACATAAATTTTCGTTCATTATTCCTTTGAAAGAATCATCCAATTTTTCACTTTCCTGCAGAAATGCAATAAATCCTTTGAAAATATGAAACATCACCAATTTATTGCGAGTTTCAAGCATGTCAGAGGCAAACTGAATGATCCTATCGAACTGGGCAATATCACTAACAAACAATGAAGGGAAATTGGCCATTATATCAGACAGAAGAATGATTGCATGACATTTCACGTGAAAACTGGATTCTTCAAACAAAAGAAGCTTATTTATTAAATCGTATTCACCAAGGAATATGTTTTCGAACCTAACAGGGTGATGTGACAAAATTATTGATAAAATTTCGAAGATTTTAGCATGATCTACATCAGGGCTTGTGGAAATAAGTGTTTCTTTGATATATCTTATATTATTCTCTTTGAAAATTTCATTTTTGCTGTTATCTGCTATGATTAATAAAATTTTTGGTTTTCTTACATGATCTTCATATTTTGAGTATACTATTTTTAATAATTCTTTCATAGTTTTGTTGTTTCTTTCACTCAAATTGTATTGTAAGATCAAACAAACTGCTTTAAAAAGAATTTGCGATTTTTCATTGTTTTCTCTCAAAATTAGTTGGATAATGAAGTTTATAGCATCTTTGTTTCTTGATTTCAAGTAATCATGATCAAATATTTCGCAAAGTAAGCCAAGAATTTCATTATATATTGGTTTAAGTTCATTGTACAACAATTCAATGTCAAGATGTATTATGAACATGAAAAGATATTCATTTTCTTTCTGAGATGGCCAGCATGTACTCACATATAAAGAAAAAATTCTAAAAGTTGAAATAACAAATTGATAATTATTGCATTTCAGCTCTGTTTCAAGTATTTCTACAACATGGTCAAGAAGGAAATGGAAAAAATTCTGAGTTCTAGAGGTTTCATGAAATGTAAGTATTTTTTCGATTATTATGAGAGATAATGTACGAATTTCGGAGTCAGTATCTGAAAGGAACTGAGCAATATTATCAAAATAGTCTGTTCCCATAGTATTTTTAAATTCTGATTCATTAATTTTTGAAATTTCTTGCAAAATTGAATACGATTCTTGTTGATTAGGTGAATTTTCAAGTTGGTGAAGTAAATTCTCAAGGTAGCTTTCGCACTCTTTATCTTGTTCAAAGTGCGATTCTTTATAATCTTGTAAATCCATAAATGATCAATTTAATGATTTTCATGATTCATGATTCATGAATGATATTATGGAGTTACCCTGAATAATCAGATCATGCGAGATAATTTACAACCAAAAAAATTCAACTCGTTGTAACCGAAAACACGTGATTTATATTTGTCATTTGATGATTAGTTTATTTTATGATAAAAATTTATAAAATTTTTCGAGATTTTTTTTGAAAAATCTGATGATTAGATCACATATCATAACATAAGAATATCAGATTTCTCATTTTTTGACGGATAATTTCAGATCCCATTGAAAATAATATAATAGCTAAAATATTTTGGACTTATAGTATATATTATTTCTGAAAGTTATTGATTTGTTCGATTGAAATTGTGAAATTTACATTTAGAAATGTCGATTTTCAACCAATTCTTATCTTTTCCTGAATGGAGAGAAGCGAGTGCCAATTTAGAAGAAGCTATAAAGAATAACAAAAAGAAGCAAGAATATTTTATTCGATCAACTGAAGATTGTTTTACCGAATTCGTTAGAAAACAGCCAGAACAGATAAATGATATCCTATTCAAGATAAATGAAAAGTATGGATTAGTTAAACAATGCAATGAATCTGATTTCTCAGCACAAAACAAATTATATGACGATATTTCGAAACTCAAACCCACATACGACGACATTGTTGCCAAAAAGAAGAATCACGAGAAAATAAAATCCAACTTCGAAAAGAGCAAATCCGTCACTGATAAGGCTGAACAGAGATTAACAGCTGCTAGAGCCAAAGGATCAGGCTCACCGGATTTACGAAAGGCAGAAGAAGCATTTGAAACTGCCACACGCCAGAAACAAATAGATACAGCAAATTATGAAGAATCAGAAAGTAAAATAGTGATTGAAGTCAAAGAATATAAAATCCGTTTATTCCAACAATTATTACAGTCTATTAGCAATTTCGCTTCGAATTGTTCTCAGAATTCTTCAACATTAACACAAATCGGAAATGAGATACACCAACTCGGTGAATCAATTCCAAATCCAGAAGATCAGTCTGTTATCAAGTTAAAGACTCGACTTCAAACTCTTCGTGCTGAACCAATTGATAGTTAAAATAAAAAAACTTTTTCTATTTAAAAAAATATTTTTACAGATGATATCTCAATGAGCTACAGGTAAAGATTATCTAATAAGAGATCTTGTATAAGCTTCACAAACAACGGACAGTGCAATATCTTCTAATTATTACTAAATAACTTATTTGAAGACAGTAATTATTTTCGATATATTAAATTTGCTGTAAAACCTATGCAAACTTTATGACCTTTCTAAATGTAGGCTTGGAATTACTCAAAAAATTGTATTCGTATGCATATCATATATATGTATTCAAAGGAGGAATACAATTGAAAAAAAAATTGAGAAGGATTATTTTTTAAAGTTAAAAGAAAGGTAGTCTCACGAGAAAACTGACGGTAAAAATTCGATGAAACCAGGTGCATTGTATAGTACATATATGTGGTAAATAAATGTCGATTAGCTTTGTAAAAAATATCCCACAGTTTTTGAGATCTTGAAAACGGCCATTCAAAAAGTCGAAAATTTTCGCGAGATGTTAATGGGCAAGACAGTTTTTCGACAAATAAATCGTAAACATGGGAATTAAAATAAGGCGTTATATTACATATATGGTAAAGAATATGGATGTGAAGAGCGTTAGTAGAATGGAAAGACTTTGAAATTTTAAAAAATTTATCTGGACTAAAAAATTATTTGATTATAAAAAACATATTATATATCAATTGCTATATAGAACTATCATAACAGATTTTGGAAAAGCCGCAAATCCCCAAGTTGGAGAATTCATTAAATACTAATTATTCAGCCTTTTATCAGAAAGGAAGGTAGTGTAGTGATTGGGAACACTATGCTCTTTTTGAATCTAAAAGGCAACTGTTCAAATCATAACATCTTTGTTTTTTTTTCTTATTCTGCCATTATTGTTTTTCCTTGTTATGATTCAAATTAAAAATATTTTAGTAAAGGTATTTTGGACATCATTTTTTCACATTGTCTCAATGCAAATGTTTGAAAATTTTGTAGGCAATATGACAACTCTTTCAACATTTGTTCTCTTTTATTAACTCAAACAGATTTAGGATCTAATTTCATGCCTTCGAAGACATTTAAACCATCTTCAACATAATTTATTGACAAATTGATAACAATTACTCATGAATGTCGTAGATTTAATATCCTGTCACTCAGCAACAAATTCGGGTTCAATAACAAAGCTCAGTAAAAACTTTACAGAAATTCTCCAATTTATTTTAGTGTCTTTTTGCGTCATTACGGCTGCATTTTCTTCTGCATCTGAACGCTGTGTTTGGAAGAAGACGAAATACAGAAACTTTCAACACAAGTAATCAGATTTTCTTGTCTTTCATGTTAAAATGCTTCATCTCGCTAGGTATACGTCATTTATTGGATGGATTGTTAGCTTTGTGTCCAAATAGCAAAAAAAAAGTATTAATTTAAATTTCGCATTTTGCATAAGTATACGCTTTAATTTATATCAAAACAGATTTAGATAGCTTAAAACAATATAGTTTACTCATAAAATACATCTTGATAATTCACTTCTTCAATTTTCATAATCTTATATCCTGACCTATATCCTCTTATAAACCATATTTCTACTGAGATCTTCTTAAAGCATCTTTTTATCCCTATCTACGCCTCGAAACCCTATTTTTCCGGCGGAATATGAATCTTCGGGTCTCGCTGATTCGATTTCTGCAGTCAGATCGTAAAAATACCACTACATAGCCTGATAATCTCAATTTAAGTTCCTTAATTTTTTTGAAAAAAAAATAAAAACTCCCTTATCAAACATCATGCTCATTTTTACGAATTTCATTTTTCCTTTAAGTTTAAAATATACGCTTTTTAGCATGTTTATAATACATTTTCAATTTACATTTACATTTTTATTTTTGAATTGTTTATTTATATTTCCGTTTGAACAATAATATTTATTGAAAATTGTGAGAGAAACGGATATAATAAAAAAACACCATACAACAAAATTCACTTTTTTTCATACTTACGCGGATCACTCCTTTTCGGCCCAATATGCCGGAAATGATAAAACTCTCAGATCTAGTTGCTAAGATCCAAACTCTCGACTCTCAAATCTACTTCCTCAGATCTTGTTGCTAAGATCCAAACTCTCGACTCTCAAATCTACTTCCTCAGATATTGTTGCTAAGATCTACTTCCTCAGATCTTGTTGCTAAGATCTAAACTCTCGACTCTCAAATCTACTTCCTCAGATCTTGTTGCTAAGATCCAAACTCTCGACTCTCAAATCTACTTCCTCAGATCTTGTTGCTAAGATCTAAACTCTCGACTCTCAAATCTACTTCCTCAGATCTTGTTGCTAAGATCTAAACTCTCGACTCTCAAATCTATTTCCTCAGATCTTGTTGCTAAGATCTAAACTCTCGACTCTCAAATCTACTTCCTCAGATCTTGTTGCTAAGATCGATCTATTATACTCAATTTTACTTAAGCAATATAGATCACCTTTATTATGATTCTCTTTATCTGTACTTGTTTAAAATTAAATTACATCATAAAGATCTAATTACAAATTATTTAGAATTTTGAAATAAAACCAGTATTTTATCAAATGCTTTGAGATTAATGCATTCAAACTTAAAAAAAAAGATATATTCAGATCAATTTCAATATTATTGATTTTTTAATGTAAAAACTATGTCTACATAGATCTCAAACAATTTTATTAGATACTCTTTTTCCCAATTTTTTTCAAAATCTCTTTTTACATATCAAAAATTGTATTTTTCAATTTCATTTTTATTTTTTCCATATTTTTTTTGGAATTTGGATATGCGTCCAAAGTAGTTATGTCATTAGAAAAATATTAGATATCTGAAGAGAAAATGATAACTTAGAGAGTTTTAAAGATTTTATTTTCGAATACAAATATAGACCTCAGAGGAATACATTCTAAATAAATTTGTATCTGAGGGTGAATAAATAAGAACAAAATTTAAAGGGTTAGCATAAATAATGTAGAAATTAAGATTGGAATTTAAATTTAATACAAAATTAAAGGGAATGAATTTGCGATTAGTAGGGTATGGCAAATGGATTGGGAAACATTGGTTACACATGAAAATTATCAGATGTAAGAATTTGGTGCAGATATTTTAAAAATGAGATCTGAGTGCTTAAACAATATCTCAAAATTCAAATTTTCCAAATGAAAATTTGGAAAATTCCCAAAATGCAGAATCAACTGATGATTTTCAATCATTAATAACGCCAATACAAGAAGATCATTTTCCTTCTGCCAACGAACTAAAACAATGGTTTGATATTGCCCATGATGTTTTAATTAGTCCGCCACCTGAGAATCAACATCCAGAAATTGATGAAGAAGAGACACAAAAAGCAATTTATCTATTACAAAACTTAGACTTTCCTAAGAAATAAAATTATTTAATTTATTCTTGTTTGTTTTTTAATTAAACATGTATATTTATTAACATTTCCTTTTTTAATACCTTTCCAACTTCTATTAGTAACAAACACATAACTAATTTGAAGATTTAGCGTTATGAAGAAGTATCCAAGTAATAACGTCAATAATGCATTTGCGATAGGATATAATTGCACCAAAGGTTAAAACTTGTATAAAGAATGAAAAATGAAATTTAATACAATTTTTTTTCGAAAAAAATCCATGCTTGGCTAGATTTTCATAGTTATTGAATATGCATTACTGACATCTTGTAAAAGATGCCGATCAAGGCTTTCAAGATTGCTAAATTTCTCGATTAAAATTTACATTTTTTTTTATTTGTGTTTAATTACATTTTACAGTTTGCAGACTTACATAAAATCCGCAACATAGTGGTTATTTAATATTTGCCCCACAGTATTGTAGTTTGAAATTTACGATAAGATTATAATTGATAAAGTAAGGTTTTGTCATTAATGCATCTTATAAACTTTCATTGATAAATATGGATAGATAAGTTCTGTGTTCAAAAGTAAGCATTTTTTAAAACGCGCAATTATATCAAGAACGACTATCATAAATTCATGAGTATCGATGATTTTCGTTTAGGATGGACTTAATCGGCTTGATTGATATACATATTTTAAAATGGCATAGCTTTGTGCATGTTATGTCAAGCATTGTGCCAAACCAATTTAAAATGAAACAAATTATTTTAAAGAAACTATATATGAACTATTCGAACACTTTATATTAATGTAGGGAGCTATAAATTTAAATATTCTAAAAATTTATTTATTTGTTAAGAGTTCGGAACAAATTTATTATTGAATATATAGGAAATCAAATAATTATGCATAATCGCATAAAAAAATGCTGAAACAATGAAAAGAAAAAAATAGTTGCCCAATAGAAAAAGTCGAACCCATACCCCTACCCATTGAGTTATCCTCACTTTCAAGTTTCGATCGAAAAAAAGGTATTTAACCGCGTAACTCGCACCTTTTAGTCGTATTTCGAAGTTCTATATAGTATTAAAGATTAAGTTACATTATGTACAAAATAACTTTTTATTGTTATTTGATTTTGATAGCATTATTAGCTGAATATGCAAAATCTCGTAGAAATAATCATTTCATTCAGACATAAGTATTGGATTGTTTCCCAACAAGCATAATAACACACGTTTCATATTATAATTTATTTCATTTCTGTACAAAATTTAGATAACGATATCAAATAAAAAAAACTGTGGCATTTTTTTACTTCAAACTATCATGAAGTGTAACCAAATTGGGTGAGTATTCTTGCTATCAGTATGACATGAAAAAGTGAACGACAAAAATTGAAGATATTGTAGTTAACTCGGATTTTTTTAATTGCAAACACATCTATAATTTGTTTAAATATCATTTATTATATCAAAATCGAAAAATTCGTTTTTGGAAATCTTTGAATTTATGAGAAGTTCTACAAAGACACTTACAAATATAGCGTTTGCAATAAAAAGGCTCTTTAATCTTCTTCATCCTTGCTCAGAAACTTCTACTGGTTACCTTACGGGTAACCTGCAAAGCTGCTTCCAAGGCATCGGGAAAATAACGTATTTTCGTGAGACTACCTTTGTTAAAAGTAATATTTTTTGTCATTATCTGAGGAAACATTACTCAATGGCATAACAAAAAAGCTGAAACAGCGTTGAGCGTCATTGGATTTAGGTCCGACTTTGAATTAATGTTTTATTCAAGATTGAGAAAAAAAGTAAAAAAGACGATCAAAGTTCACTCAAATTTCCACTTTTAATTCAGCCTTATTTTATCTTATACATATATTATTGTTTGAAAAGTAATTCAGAAATAGAAATTTTTCAACAATCATCACTATTTATTCTGCTAAACTAGAGAAATCTGGAGCTTCAACAAATGAAGTTTTATAAACTTTGTTAATAATAATTTTGATGTCTTTCAAATCTAATTCATCTCCTTTAAATTTTTTTACGTGAATCTTTTTTATTTTTTTTATTTTTTTCTAAATTATGATAGGGATATGTAGCAGAACATTTATCTGTTGTATAATGAGATATAAATGAATCTAATGGTTGAATTGAATCATAACTAACTGGATTATTTCTTACAGTTTGAGTTACAGTATTTTCATTAAAGTAACATGTATGAACAAGATAAGAAATGTCTGTGAGATTGACATCTTATTCATGGCTAAAGTTTTAGAAACTTTGAAGCCTAAATTGATATGGAAATTTGGTTCGACGGTTCACTGAAAAAAATGGTTCTGGTGTTCAGGGGGAAAATTGGCAGAAAAATTAAATTTATTATGTTAAAGTAGAGAAATTTACTGCTTCAACAAATGAAGTTTTATAAACTTTATTAATAATAATTTTGATGTCTTTCAAATCTAATTCATCTTCTTTAAATTTTTTACGTGAATCTTTTTTATTTTTTTCTAAATTATGATAGGGATATGTAGCAGAACATTTATCTGTTGTATAATGAGATATAAATGAATCTAATGGTTGAATTGAATCATAACTAACTGGATTATTTCTTACAGTTTGAGTTACAGTATTTTCATTAAAGTAACATGTATGAACAAGATAAGAAATGTCTGTGAGATTGACATCTTATTCATGGCTAAAGTTTTAGAAACTTTGAAGCCTAAATTGATATGGAAATTTGGTTCGACGGTTCACTGAAAAAAATGGTTCTGGTGTTCAGGGGGAAAATTGGCAGAAAAATTAAATTTATTATGTTAAAGTAGAGAAATTTACTGCTTCAACAAATGAAGTTTTATAAACTTTATTAATAATAATTTTGATGTCTTTCAAATCTAATTCATCTTCTTTAAATTTTTTACGTGAATCTTTTTTATTTTTTCTAAATTATGATAGGGATATGTAGCAGAACATTTATCTGTTGTATAATGAGATATAAATGAATCTAATGGTTGAATTGAATCATAACTAACTGGATTATTTCTTACAGTTTGAGTTACAGTATTTTCATTAAAGTAACATGTATGAACAAGATAAGAAATGTCTGTGAGATTGACATCTTATTCATGGCTAAAGTTTTAGAAACTTTGAAGCCTAAATTGATATGGAAATTTGGTTCGACGGTTCACTGAAAAAAATGGTTCTGGTGTTCAGGGGGAAAATTGGCAGAAAAATTAAATTTATTATGTTAAAGTAGAGAAATTTACTGCTTCAACAAATGAAGTTTTATAAACTTTATTAATAATAATTTTGATGTCTTTCAAATCTAATTCATCTCCTTTAAATTTTTTACGTGAATCTTTTTTATTTTTTTCTAAATTATGATAGGGATATGTAGCAGAACATTTATCTGTTGTATAATGAGATATAAATGAATCTAATGGTTGAATTAATTCATATCTAATTGGATCACCATTTACAGTTTGAGTGACATTGTTTTCATTAAAGTAACAATTATCAACAATATTTGGTCTTGGATAAAATAAATAGTTTCCTTTATTTCCTATGAATGAACAACTTAAAAATGTAGTTGAATGATCATAACAATTAATTATTGAATAATAATTTCCTGTAAATTCATTGTTTAAATAATTACATTTTGTAATATTACAATCATTATTGAATAGTGAACCAACTCCTATAGATGATGAATTTGATGCTGTTGTGAAATTAATAATTCCTGTTTCTGTTGGACCTGTAATGATATATGCAGCATAATAAGTAGTTTTGTGATTAGATGTATTCATATTACTTACTTGGATATCTCCCCAAGCATGTTCAAGAGAAGAGTCAGTTCCACTACATTCTGAAACTGAACATTCAAATGCATAACTTTTATTTTTACTATGATAATATGATTCAATGTAATATCCACATCCTTCACTAGTACTTTTTGAAAGTAATAAACAAATATGAACTAAGACACATTCAGACTTTTGGATAAAGAATGATCCACCATTTTCTGTAGAACTATTATTGTAAAATGTGCATGTTTCGAGTAATACTTTGCTGTTGGAATTAAGGTAAATTGCTGTTTTTTCGTAATGGAAAGAAAATATTGCATCATGAATGTAATAATTGCCATTTCCAGATATTGTTTCATTCTCTGTTTTACTGTTAGGTTCGGTAGAGCTATAATATTCTGAAAAACTTCTTTGAAGTTGTATAATGTATTATTGCATGATTGATTTTGTTTGATTCACATTTCGGATTGTTTGTTCATGTGAATAATCTTGAAATGATAGTTAAATATAGTTTAGATGTAACTGACTAATCAATTAGATGCAAAAATTATTCCGACCAAACTTTTCCTATCGCCGTTTCTTAAACAATTCTTATGTCAAAATCAACTTTTAAGGGTGCGCTGGAGACAATATGTCACCCCCAGAAAAGCACTTTTAAAGTTAATATATTTCATCTTTCGAAACTTTCCATTCCACACATTGCAACATGATTAAGGTTAATTTTGAGTAATTGACCTATCGTCGCCTGGGCACTCTTAAGGTTTGGAAAATCTTTATTGGAAGAAATATTAATAAAAACACTTTACCATTTCACTTCCACAAGTAATGGCGGATCATTCTATATCCAAAAACACGAATTATAAGCCATTTCGCATAATATCATATATGAAACCATTAACATATAGGAATGTGGTGTTAAGTACAAACTATTATTAAATACACTGTGTGGTATTTAAAAAATCATTGTTTGAGAGGAAATTTTAGTACACAATGCTAAAAATTTTGATGGTGTCAGAAAGCTTACAAATATATATTCTCATACATACGATTATTTTTGATTCAAATGCTGTTCGGCATTAAAAGCAAAAATAATCATATATCTGAGAATTACACTTTTCCGACATTTTTGGATCGCTTCACACCCCTGACAAAACGTCGGAAAAGTGTAAATTTTCTGACAAACAGAGTTTCAGAACGTACTCAAACTGCGCTTTGTAATTTCTTCACTTTGTATGTGAAATATTAAATAGAAAGGGTATAGTTCAGAGGACATTTTTTGACAAATTACTAAAGAAGGATAAAATGTCTAATTGTGCTAGATATGAACCAAATTAGAGAATATTATAACAAAACTTTATTAAAAATAACAAAATAAATTATAAATAATCTAAGCATTTATCAAGGTTGTCAATTTCGAATTCTGAAATGCCAAGTAATGTTTGTGAGACAATAAGAACAGAAAATAGATTTGTCATTGATGAATTAGGGAGATAACATCGAATTTCTCTTGATTTATATGCAATTTCTAAGAAATATTCATGTGATTTATGTTCAACTGTTGTTTTGACAAAATATTCCGCAATTCGATATTTACCGGTATATTTAGAGTCAATTTCAACAATATCTTGATGTGGGAAAATACAAAACGAATCAAACATTTCGCTTGAATTCCCACAAATAAAACCATCATCAACAAAATCGGACAAAAGAAGGAAATATTCTGAAAATAAACGCATGTCATAGTTATTATATGAGATCTTTGTTTCCAATCGTTTGTATAATTGCCAGATAGAATTTGTAGAATTGTTTGGAATTGAAATATCTTCGAAGTCATTAAAATCAAATCGAATGGAAAAGACGTGTTTTTCGAAGTTTGTGATGATTCGAATGAATTCGCAGATGAATGATGGTGAATGCAACAATGAAAATGGATGATATGTAATTTTAAGAAATTCTGATGATGATGACAAAAAAGAAAGGAAATTAGAAAGATGTTTCTTCTCAATCAATCGTGAATAAAAGACTTTAAGACGATCGTTGACATCAAATGGAATACAATATAAAAATTGTTGATCAATTTCTGAAATATGTGTTGCAAAATCAAAAATGGAATTAACACTGACGTATTCCCTCAAAATACAATAACAAACTGTGAAAATACAATTTAACAATTCTTCGTTAGTTTTAACACTAAAATCTAATTCTGAAACTTTCTCAGCAAGAAAAGCAAGAACTTTCTGTTCTGGAAATCCATCGTTTTCCATATTTTCTGGGAGATTTAACGAATTAGACTTTTCAATGATTCTTTCATCAATATTCGGAAAACTAATATAATCCATCAACAGTTCTTCACCTGATTTGTAACAATAGTTAGGTAATTTCATCTGATCTTCAACTAATCCTTCAGGAATTAAAGAATCAAAATCAATTAAAGGTAAATCGATCTGTTCTTTAACATTTTGTAGTTCATCTGATATTATCTTGTTTCTGTCTTCTTTTTGAACATCTTGTGGCAGATTTAGTCGAAATGGAAGTTGAATTTTCGGAAATAGGGAATTTGCAAAGAAAATTGTTCTGTTAATAGGTTTTGTATAATCAATTAATTTGACTCTTGACGTTGCTACTTCAGGAACTTCAATATTTGCTTTGAAATTTAATTTTGTAATAAATTTTTCAGATTTTGATGTAGGAACGTTAATGTTTGACTCAAAAACAGTAGAATTGGGCCATATACAGCGGATAGAAGGTATTGGAAATGGATCTGCAAATCGATTTTGTTCAATTTTGTTCAAAAATATTGGTTTGTGCATAATTCTTAGTAAATTATCAATAAATATGAATGAAGTGTAGAAGTCATCGTTGTTTTCGCATACAAAAAAGACAGATTGGCCTTCAATTTCATGAATGCCAAATATAAAAGGAAATTGAGTAGAAGGGAACCAACTTTCATCACAAATAGTATTTATTGATGTATCTATGACAATATTAAACTCTGTTTTCCCATTTATCTTTTTTTGACTTTTATAATTTAAAAGAAGCTTTCCAAAGTTCTGCTGTATGCTTAGTTGGAGTATGGCTGGTACTGGTGTAAGATTATCTGGACTTATTACTGATCCATTAAGTAGATATTTAGTTGATATTGATTCGTCTGGATAAAATTTCGTAGAATCCCTTGATTTATTTAATATGTTGCTCATAACAGTTTTTTGAACTTCATTTAAGAAAGTGATGAGTATTTTATTGTGTAAATGTGGATTAAATGGAAGTAATTCAATTGTAGGCGACAGAGGAACGAGTCTTACGATATAATGTGGCATATAAAACATTTTTGCAAATTTTCTATCAATTGAAATAGTAAATAGGAAAGGTCCAATAATTTCGACAACACAATCATATGTTTTGCCTTCAAAATGCAGCATAAATTGCGAACCATACTTGATTGCAGCTACTTTTGGGTAAAAGTTTCTAAGGTTTTGGAAGTAACTTTGTCCAAAGCTATAATTTTCAACCATTTACCCAAAATGAATTCTTTGATATACTACAACCTGGCATGACAGTAAATAAGTTATAACTTTTCTGATTTCTGAAGATAAGACTCTAAAAATTTTTATAAATCAGATTATTCATAATCAAAGCATGACACTCCAATTTTGATTTTTTCTCACGGATTACTTACTATTTCACATGTTATGGTAGTTTTGATCAAAATCATTTTTCCAAATGGATTCAAGAACAGGAATTATGCACTTTTATTCGAATATATGAATATACATACTTAATTCATTAACCCGATCACTTAAAATCATTTGGTAAACAAATTGGTTGAATCAAATTCCATCAAAAGTTTATATTTCTTCGATTTTATTCAATTTTTACTCTACACAATAGAGAAACAATATTAGACTTTTTTTATTCCTAAAAATTTTCCGGAAAAATTTTGTTGGAATTTGTCACTTTTTTGATGTGAAATTACCAAAATGTTTTGTGGCAATAACAATTAGAATACGGATTTCACATAAAAATCATTATTCGAAATTATTAAACGTTCGTACGATTACATAGAAAAGTGAACATGCCTTTACTAAAATTTTTTTTTATTTTTTTGAAAGATGAATTTTAATGAAGCTTTTACTGTATTTCAAAATCCTAATATAGTGGGACAAGAACAGGAGTATGCCAACCAGATGCTCACCAGCATGATGGAAGAATCTCCTATAAATTTCATAGAAAATATTTTGAATTTAATCAATGACGATCAAATTCAAGATCGAGTTCGAATAAACGGCATAAAATTTCTTACTGTACCCCTCAAATCAGGCCAATCAACATTTACTTACAAATCCAAAATAAATATTCCGGAAGAAGTGATTCAGAACACGATAAACGCGATTGGTTCATTTCTTACATATCCCAAAGAGGTCAGCAGCGAAGCCGCCAAAGTATTTTGCTTTTATATCCGAAATACTTACAATGATCAAATAATTCTTTCGAGTTTAACGACATTACTACAAATAGTCACACCGGAGAAGAAGCCAGAAGAGAACGAACTCATACTCAACCTGTTTCGGCAGTCAACAAAAGAAAGATGGCACGGATTTGACACATTAGAGCTTATCGGCACTTTAATCAATATTTTATCGATCGAAACTCTTACGAAAGACTCAATCTCATCAATTCTGAGGTCCATTTGTCAAATTTACAGGGAACCGTTTTTAATTGACGAAAATACAAATTTAGATTTTGTTTCAACACTATTAGACCTTGGCTGGCATTATTCCGAAGATTTTCCCAAAGAATGTTCCGATCTTTTAACGAAACTCTCAACATCTTTTGCAATTATTTTGAATTATCCTGAATTTCCAGAAAATTCATTCCAATGTCTCCAGAAGTCTCCCTATTTCATCAAACTGTATAGAGGAAGGTACATGGAAGAGTATTTCAAGTTTATGTATGATAATCATTTAAATGAAATCCTTGGAATTATTTTTCAAATACTTTCGGAAGAAATAAATGAAGAAATAAACGACGAAAACAATCATGACAGATGGGATGATCCTATACAAGTATGTCGTAATTTAATATATGAAATATATCAGCAAAGACGTGAATTACTACAAGAACTGTTTGAACAATATGTTTTAGAACATATAAATGAAGAATCAACAGGAGAAAAATATGTTGCAAGTTTAATTAATTTTACTTTGTATACTGATACTTTTAATATGACTGATAATGATTCACAACAAAAGATTGATCAAAGTATTATCACTTCTCTGTTATTAAATGATCCAAATCCTTATATTCATAGAGAAGGATTGAGTTTGATGCAAAATAGAATTGTAAATAAACAAGTAAATCTAACAAACGAAGATTGTCAATTATTTTTGGAAGATTACATGTCAGATTTAAAGCCGATATCAAATGGAGGCTGCCAGTGTTTGAATGCGATGTGTATGAATGGAGATCCTGATGTTTCAAATCAAATTATATGTTTGTTGTTGCAACAAGCACAGAGTTCTACAAATACTGATAAAGTACAAAATATTTTGTTTGATGTAGCGAATTTGGTAACAAATGTACCTTTGGAAGTTGCGCAATCATTCATTTCTGATGTATTAAATTTAGTTTTGAATTTGGAAAATGATTCTGAATATTATGGTGCTTACGTCAAAATATTATATAAATTAATTATAAAATGCGGGCAAACAGTGGAACCAATTTATAATGAACTTGTTCAATTGATTGATGCATTGTTAAATAACGAAAGAGAAGATGATGCAATGTATATAATGGCAAGTTTGATTGAATCTTTCGGTGAAAATGTCCCTGATTTGATAAATTTGAGTATAAATAAATGTCTTGAAAGAATTCCTAATGCTGATAACTTCCAGAACCTCAGCGCTATTTGTACTTTGTTGTATAATGTTATAACAAATATTACTGATGAAAATAATCTTAATATAATCATTGAATCAGTAATGAGATACATAGATGAAGATGTAAAAGGTGACAATTTGTCACGTTTATATTCATTGATTTATTCAATTGCAAGCATCAATGGAGACGTGATAAAGAATCACGCGAATGAGTTATTCAGACTCAAAACAAATAATTACTTTGATTATATAACGAGAAGCAAAATTGATGTCGCAAGATTTGTTATAATTATGTGTCAATGCGTTGATATAAATAATATTCCTTCTTCTTTGCCGCAGTGGTTGAATATTGGAATTGATGCATGTATAAATATTGTGAAGTACTCAGGTACAAATACATCTGAAGAACAAAAAGTAGAAGCTGTCAATGGATTGATTGATATTTATGAAGCTGCAAATACATTCGGATTGATGGAAAATGTCACTACTATTTTCTTCTATATTTACAAGGATTTCGAGGACAGAGTTCCAGAAGAAAGAAAAGAAAGATTCCACATGTTATGTCCTCCTCCTGATGAACAGAAAACTCAGGCATTCGGTCAGTTTAAGGTATCTATTCTCCAATCATTTGCTCAGAAATAATCATTCTCTATATAATATTATTATGTATATAAAACAATTATTTATTATAGAAAAAAATTTTTTTTTCATATTCTATCTAGACTAAAATCATGCGAATAGTTATTCGACTAAAATCTGAGAATGTGACAATTTTAAGATCAAAATGATTCAAATCTTTCATTACGGCTCCCAAAAAACAATGACATTATTAAAAAATTATAGTGATGATTGAGCAAAATCAAAAATGATCCCCAGCATAGTATTTTTTCAATTAATAATTTTTCCTTTTGATATGAATTTCTAGTCATTATTTTCTTTGGCTTTGAAGGTTTTGGGTAGCTGAATCCTTTCATCAACATGCAGGAATCAGTTTGAATAGTCCAATACTGCTCAGGTCTGATTTATTGACACTCAAGTTTGTCAAGAAAGATTTTTTTGCCATTTTTCACAAATCACAAAAATTTTATGGCAAATTTAATACTTTCCCTGTAATTTTGAATTGTTGCATCCAAATATTTGAAAATATTTATATCATAGTTTCTGGCTATTTATCAAAAACTGACATCGTCGGTTTAAAATTAATGAGTGTTGACGAGATTATATACTCAGAAAAGTATTATGATGACGTCTATGAGTATAGGCATGTTACATTACCAAAAGAAATCAGCAGGAAAGATCCGAAGGACCACCTTTTAAGCGAAGAAGAATGGAGAGCTCTTGGCATCCAAATGAGCCCAGGATGGATCCATTATCACAGACATAATCCAGAGCCAAATATTCTCTTATTTAGAAGAGAACACCATGGAAATGTTCCGAAAGATGCCCTTTAAAATTTTGGATGTAGTCTATGCACAAGGAATCAGTATAACACAATTCCAATCATACAATGACTATAATACCTTGACATGTTTGTAATACATAAATCGCCATTTGATATATGAAATAATAAAATTTCATTTTGGAGTTTTATAAATCTTCTACATAATATGTTTGTCTATGTTATATACATTCTCAGCTAATTAATTGAAATTTTCGAAATAATTTTTTAATTATGAAAATAAATGCAATATGACATCATTTGTACCCTAAAAACATGGTCAACTAGCTATGGCGAAATTCAATGATCATTTAATTTATCATGAAAAGCACTAATTCTGGATCTTACACAATTAGGCATTGAAACACTAAAACATATATATATATATATAATAAGTATATCACCAATATCTGGTAGAAAGTGCCAAAAGTTTATAGGAAATTTTATATAATATGAAATTGTCTTGGCTCATGAGACAATTTCATTAGAAAATATATACAGTGAGGTTAGATACAAAATGTTTATTATTTATAATCAAAAAACAAAAATAAATTCTAAAATTTTCGAGCAAATTAGGCCAAAAATAGAAACAATCAATAAGATTTACAGTTATTTATCTTGGCTATAAGGTCTTTGAATGCTACTTTCAATGTTTCATTGGTCGATAAAATTTTTTGATTTTCTTCTGTTTTTTCACGAAGTTGTTGCTGAATTCTATTAAGGTTATTGGTTAAATTTTCATTTTCAATGCGAATTTTTTCAAGAGCTTGTTTTGTCAAATTTAATTGAAAATTATAATAATTTGCGGAGTCTGAGAGTCTCATATTTTGTTCCTTCAAACTATTGCACTCATTTATTTTCTGTTGTAATTCATTTTGATTAATATAAATCCAAGAACATTGTTGTTGCAAAGATTGATATTGATTTTCTAATTCATGAATTCTCTGGTTTTTCTTAGCGATTTCAGCACTATACATTTGAACTGTTTGGTTCATTTCCGAAAATTTATAAGCTTTATTGTTTAAAAGCGCTAAATTTTCTTGCTGTCTCTTTATTTTAGCCTTAAGATTCTCAATTTCCTGGTCTTTTTGAAGAATTATATTTTTATAATCAGAAGTCCGGCCAGAAAGTTCATAACCACAAATTTGTAGATTAAGTTTTTTAATTTCTCGATCTTTTATTTCGATTTGAGATTGAAGATCATTGAAAATATTCTGATTATGTTGGTATATGCTTTTCAAATTTTGATAATCAGCTTGTAGTTGCTGATACTGTTTTGTAAGAGCTTTGTTATTGCTTCTTAGCTGTTTGATTGACTGCATTGTCGCTTGATATTTATTTTTAGAAATAGTAATCATTGCGAAAAATTGAAAAAATGCAAAAAATAAAAAAATTGACAAAAATTTTGCTTGATAAGACATCTAGAAGATAATGATATAAAAAATATTGTTAACCTGATACAATTCAAAATCAAATGTTAATTACTTAAAAGATGAAAATTGTGAAATAATGAAAATTCATTACATAGATTAGACCTATAAATTTACTTATATTTTAATAGTTATTGAGTATATATCAAGGTTCCATCAAAATCCGTTTTCCACAACAACTCTAAAGAAAAAAGAAATGCCATAATGCGTCAAAATCGAAGAATCTTGATAATTCATTTCGAAAATAATATATTATCACGAGTATGATGTACTTTTTAGCATCAACAACGATAGTTCAAGGTATTTTGTGCGATGACCAACAAAATTGAGAACTCCTTTCAATACTAATTGGCGTGAACAAAAATTTAGAGGAATGAATATACGAGTATAAGGATGTCAATTCGGAAAATTGTTTTCATTTTAGGAGAATATAATTTTCCTTTTGGAAAATTTTAAAAATGAGACGCGCAGGATTCGAACTTTTTTAAAAGTTGATTTAAATATATTCTAGTGTGGTTTCTAAGGATAATATCATATTTAAAATAAGAATATACTAGTTTGGGTGGTATCAAAAGCGTCAATTCGCTCAGCGAAAGCTGAGCTAGCTTCGTTCTCGAAAGAATAGGGAAGGAGTGAAAGAGAGTGATACAGATGTTGACACATTCATATCATTTCAACAAATTTTGATCAAATTGAAATGCAATGAAATTCAATTCACTTCATATCCTTCAGTCAGTACATTGACATCCTTCTACATCACAATGATAACTCGTGCATCAATAGTTCTACAACTAACTCAGAAAAAACAAGATTTTTCCTTCCAGCTTACAGCTTTTAAAAAGTTTCGATGATAAAAATCACTCTACTCTTGTTTATCGATATGTTGTGATAGTAGGTAAACGTATTCTTATGGATATTAATAAAAATATTTTTACGAAAATCTGAACCAATTACAGAGTTATTCATAAAGTTTATGATAACTGTAATTACTTCATCTTTGTTTTATATTTGAATAAACAATTTAATTTAATTTGCATAATTTTTTTTAGTTGAAAGACAGGAAACTTAGTTGAGTTTGTATTATTTTTATCGTTCAATTCATTGTATATGTGAGTGATCCAGATATTTAAGATATTTAGAAAAAATTTATTACCCAGATTTTCCTTACTTTTACCACTCCCCATGTAATTTCTGGGGAAAACGATAATTCATTTTTTTTATGGATGAATAGATCGTTTTCCTAGAAAGGACCTCATATCTCTGGCTAAAAAGAGTGTCAGATCCTAAATAGATTATTGATCTAGTGTACAAATCCAATAAAAAGCCTATTTTTTGGCTTTTTTGGTGCTCATTTTTTCGAAGATCTACATGAATATGGGGAAACCATCGGATTTTTTTGGTTAACCCACATCTTCATGTAGTCTGGACTATCTTTCCTCGAAGGACCTCTTTACGGGTGTAAAAACTCATAAAGTTCTCAAAAGATTCATTCTCGATCTCCATGCTGAAAGAATTTACAATAAAAAAGAGATCTACGCATCAAACTACAGCCATAAATGAACTGAACCCCTAAAGCTCAGCTCTTAGTTTATCAAAAACGTCGAAATCCTTCTCATTGCAATCAAATTTTCTCAATAACTCATAAGAAAAATCGAATTTTGATTAAGCCGATGTTATAGGTATCACAAATACTACAAACTTGAGCAATATCGAAATTGCCAGCAAAAGTTTGAAATTGCATTGCTCATATTTGTTTTGTAAACTAAAAATCTGCTTATATTATTCATTAATTTTTTATATATTATTCATATACTTTAATAAAAACAATACTATTTCACCTTAAAAATGAATTTCATAAGTCAATATTATTTTTTTGAAAATGTATCAATTTTCGATTAAAACAACATGAGAATAAAATTTACGCAAAATTATTTTAAAAAATGGTTTTAAAAATTGACAATTGATTAAGAATAAGATTGGAAGAAGTTTTGAAGTTGAATTTTAAGAAAAAAAATTCGGATATTATTTATGGATCTAAGTAATCTGATATTTGAGTATCGGCACTATGCATAAAACATATATTTATAGTTTTTGGATTTTTATGATTTTAAATATATTCAAATTTGGCAATCCAATAGATTTTTAAAAAATAGGTAAATAAAAATAGATTACATATGCAGCAGATTTAGAACATGAAACAAATCTTATAGTGACCCAAAAAAAAAATTCATGATCCAAAAAAGAAAAAAATAGGCCAAATGGGAATCAAATCTTGGCATAATGAATCATTATGTAGGAAATTTCCACTACACTACACCGGCAGCTCAAAAATACCCTTGGTAGTTCTATTTAATAGCTACACCCAACGATAGGCGGTGTCCCCAGCTTTAGAGGGGTGGTAAAAGTAAGGAAAATCTGGGTAATTTGATTAACAAATTTTAATCAAAATAGCAAAAATCTATTTGATAGCTGTAAGCAAATAATAATTTCTATTTCAACCAAAATCACTTATTTTCATCTAAACGTATAAAATTGTCAATTTTATGAGAATAAATTTAAAATCTCATGAAATATAAAGGAGAGTAATATTTTTCAATTTTCTTTTTTTCTTTCTCTCAAATATTTTCTATTGGGAATTTTCTTGTTATCAAAAAATAATTTTAATATTTGTTTATTTCATTACATACAATAAAATTTTAAAAACTCTATTTCTTCACAAGAAAATTTTTATCCTTCATATGAAGAAACATTTTGTTCTCCATTTGATGCTGAGTCTAAATCTCGATTTTTGAATTTTCTTCTTTCCAAATTTCTTTTTTCCAAATTAGAAGTTTAATTCAAATTTTCAATAGTTTATATATTTTCTCAAACCGTCTTAGATTTTCTTACTTTTTGGGGATTTTCTTTCAAAATATACAAAAATAGTAATATCAATACATGTGTCTAATATACTTTAAAACCATCGTGATAAAATTGAAAAACGAAGAGTTCTTCTCTCCAAATTTTTTTCTAAATCAAAAAAATGAGATAAAAAAATACGTTTGAAAATTCATTTTTAGCATTTTAGGAATTTTCTAACTTTTCTTCCAAATTGACATCCTTAACGAGTATCATTTGCAGATTTTGCAGTACATAGTATTTAGCAAACAATTTTACTAGCTCTTTTGAATCATCTTACAAAAATCGATAATTCCGCTGAATTATGTAAAATAAAAATGTATTAAATAGCAACAAAATTATTCAAAAATGTAAATTGAATGGACATACTATAACGGTATAGAAATATTCATCTTTCAAAATTGAAAAATTAGTAAAAGGATCGATATTAAATATACCTTAAATTCTCGGTAATTCCAATCCTCACAAATTTCGATAATCTTGATTTGATAACATTACATATCGTATACACAATTAGTATAATTTGTATTATTAGGTTAAGATATTATTAATGATGCAATTATGACCAAAACGTTGAGTTCTAAATTCTTTGAAATATTATATTTTTGAATGATCTATTTGCAAAAAATTGGTTGATAGATTATATATTTGTAATTGGTTAAATATTTTTGAATTTTTGTATCTTAAATTGAATGTCAGAACAATTAATTTGAAGGATCTCATAGAAATTATATTCGCTAAAAAACCCGCAATGACGAGTAGAACATTTACATTTATGGTTCTACCTTTCAGATCTTTAAAATCATTATATACTGATTTTGATTCAAAAATAGTTTCTCAATTTATTTTACTCATTATTTTAAAAATAGACACGTCAATTTATCGCGGATCCTCATCAGTAAGAAACAGAGTATTTAAACAATGAAAAATGAAGTTCAGTCCAGTAGATGATGCAAAGTTGATTAAGCTCGTATCCAAGATGGATAAAGTTGATTGGGTAAAAATATCCCACAAGATGAAAAACAAGACACCAAGACAATGTCGAGAACGGTGGAATAATTATTTGAATCCCGAGCTCCATCAAGTTGAATGGAGCGAAGAAGAGGACACCTTGCTCATTAATAAATTTAATGAAATAGGTGCACATTGGAATGAAATTGCAAAATTCTTTAAAGGAAGATCGGGCAATAACGTACGGAATAGATTTTTAACTCTATCACGACGAAATAGGAAGAATAAGAATACACAAAATCATAAAGAAGAAAGTTCAGATGACGGAAGTATTAAAGAGCTCAAACCAGAAATGATAGAAGAAAAGAAGATACACCCAGGAAATAGCTCAAACTTCCAAGACATTATCGATATGGTGTTCAAAAATGAAGGAGTTATCGATATTTTCGAGAAACGGGAAGGCGAAGATCAATTCGCGTTTGAATTTATTTAATTTTCTATGTTATGTAAATTAACTATGTAATTTCGTGCTATATTTAAATTTTTTAGCATTTGAAATGTCTGTTTTTTGTGAGAATTATTAATTACAAAAATTTGAATGAATATTGAATAAAAAGAATTGTTTAATAGAATATATATGGATTACTAAATAATTTTTCGATGAAAAGATTTTGAAATATACGATATTTATTCAATTATTTGTATTAGATTATCAAATTTGCGAAATTCAAAAATCAATTTTTAAAGGTCAAGAAGTACTTAATGTTTATAGTGATTTCATGAGAAGAATTTTTTTATATTCAAATCAGATCGAAATTTAAACATTTGTCAGTTATATTGTCTCATTTATTACATTATAATATTCAAAATAAATTCAATAATATAATTTATTCAAAAAATAAGTTCTGAAAAGATATAATAAAAATTGGGAATTTTGAAAATAACAAAGTGAGACTGTTATTAATCATTTTTCATTTTTAGGAAAAATATATTTGAGCGACCATCTTTCTTCACAACATTGTAATATATATAAGTTTGCCTTTTGCATTCCTAAAAATATTTTTGATTTTGAATGATTAGCGGTTTTATAAATTTCAACATACAAAAAAATATATTTCATGGTATAAGGTATCTTAACTTTTAAAATTCATTTATTTTTAACGGCTTAGATTCGGAAATTTTGAATAATACTTTTCAAAATTGGAAGTCTCATCACACTTTTCAATGCTCGATTTTTAAAAACTGTTTAAAAATGGAGCATATATTGAAATAGTTTAGAGACTAAAAATTACCACAGACTATTTCAGAGGATTGAGTTGCCACTCAATCCTCTGAAAAGTCTGAGGTAATTTGCAAAGTTTTTATTGCATCACAAAAATTTCATATCAGCTATTAAAATCTACTATCCTATTTTAATACAATCCTATGATATCAATTTTATAACTTAAGATTCGTTCTATTCAAATCAATTCTAAATGTTCAAAACATATAATCCTAAACCGCACCCAGTTGTTGGGCTATATTTTCCGATTTCATCGGATTTTTGACTGTATTTAATTAATGGTTCAACTTATGTACCTAATATCTCCTAAATCTTCACATCTATATGTAAATCGTAAACTCTTAACTTGTCATTTCTTTTTTCATTCAAAGCTTGATTATCCAAATTAAAATACATAACTTTGTATTTAAATTTTATTCATAAAATACTAAATGTAAGCATTTCTTAAATAAAAAATCTCCTATCCATTTCTTTTCATTGATTTTCACAATGATTTTGATTCAAATTTCTCAGATATTCATTGCAATCGGATTAAAATATTATTGTATCATTAAATTTTCTTCAAAATCCTATCATTGCAATTATTGACTCTCAAATTTTCGTTTCATTTCGAGTTTTTTAGCCAGATGATATATATTCCTCCTCATTAGTTATTCAGCCTATTTTCCTCATAAAATAGCAGATTTCCTTTTCAAAATCGAAATCCACTCACGCCAGTCACAACGAAATATTCAAAAATTGAATGATCAAATTATTTTTGAGATGAATTTCCTTTTAATATTTGTATAAATAATGAATAATTTCGCATAATTTTTCCCCGAATCATTTATAATTTGAGAACGACGATAAGAATCAAAATCTATTCAAATGTTCATTTTTTTAAATAAATTAATTTATTTGCTTCTCAAATCTATCTCATTCCAGAATACCTCCTTTTACAAAATTATTCAATTCAAATTCGATTATGTACTTTTGAATTATCCCAAACCAGTTTTTCTCAAAAAATAGTTATACCAAATATGTTTTCCGATCAAAAAATATATTCCTCTAGCATGTTTCCAGCAAATGTCTGTCAAATAATATTTCCCTCAAATCAATAAAATTTTTTAAATTCATAACTACAAATGGATATTGGATTCGGCGATCCTAGTTTGTCTAGCACTCAACTCAGACAAAAAGCCTATTCTGTAATAAAGAACAGTGATAGGCCCCTAGCAAGTAGTGAAATTGAGAAATGGATTAGAAACAATGATTATGATCTTTGGTGTAAGGTTTCCAACAAATGCAAAGATTATGTTCGTGTCATATTGAGCCAAACAAGAGGACGTATCATTGCCAAGTTTAAAGCCCTCAAACCTGTTCCTGGTATTGATAAGCGCTCAACTTTTTACGGACTCTACGGAAGGAGCTATCCGGCAGATGCATGGGCAACACTATCTGATGGATCAAAGCATAAGCCGAGACATCATGATGATGAAGATTTTGAAGAAAAATATCAAAATGCCAAAGAGGAAGTATCACAGTATAGCGATGATTCCCAAGATTCATCTGCCCAAATATCGGAATTACCAAAGAAGATATCTCCAACTCCAGTAAAACCAAAGGAAAGAATTCTCCTACCTCCGTTACCCCCGTTCAATGCAAATCTGGCAAATCCTTCTATACTCCCATCAGTTTTACTTCCAAACCTTTTCTTGCAGCCATCAAATATCAACCAAGTTGGCGTATTGCTTAATTAATTTTATGGCTTTGTTTTCTTGTTAAATGTTTCACACTTGTTAATTGCCCTCTTTTTATCCCGATTAAATTTCCTATTTGAATAAATTTTTTAAATTTGTGAGAAGCTTCAGCTACCCAATTCAATTTGTATGACATTCAAACGATATGAATTAAATGCCAGAAAAATATAACCTCGATTAGATATTTATAAATAAAATGTAATATGTAGTTTTTTTATTTTTAATTTATAAAATTACCGTGTGAAATTGGTGACAAATCACCTCTCAAAAATCAACTTTATTGGTTTTGTCTTTATGTCTTCATAACACTGATTTAAAAATGTATGTAAATAGATATTATCAACCTTTTTATGTAAAAATGCCTTTTTATTGAATACATCAGCGTGGCTTATTGGTTTAATCAATTATCTATCAATGAATGAGATAATAATACATTTTTATTGCGGATTATATCCTTACTGATTGATTTTACTGTATTTAATCGTGAAAATAATTTTATATAACGAGTTTTTTGAGCATCAGCCATTCATCATTTATCACTTTATTGTTTAGTGGATATATAAACAGGTTCTCACTTCTAGCAGCATTTCTATCGTCATGATCAACAAAATCTTTTGTCTAATGAAATACAACTATATTTTGATAGCCTACCAGTTGACGTACATTGAAAGGAAGTCATTATGCATCGCTTGGACAAACATAGAAAAATTGAAAAAAAAAATACAATCAATTTGGAGATAATTATTTCGGGGTAATATTTGTTGGCTCAAATAATGACCAAATAACTATAATTGGCATAATCCAAAAACTTCGGATTTCATAAAGGAATAAAAAAAAATGGATCAAGCATCCCTTATCCCAAGCAATAAAAGGAGTCCGGTTCCAAGTATCATATATGTGTGTACAAAGATATTCCCAATACTTACGTTCTTGAATTTAGTATTTTTGAACCCAATTGTTCAGATTATTGTTTTCATTTTAGTTTCTTTAGCAGATTTTTGGTTAACAAAGAATGTTTGTGGTATGCAACTTATTGGGTTACGCTGGTACTTTGAATTTCAAGCAAATGGGAAGTTAGCTTTAAATTTTTATTCAAAACCAGATCCATTTGTTCCAACCGAGCAAGATTCTAATACATTTTGGATGCTATTTATAACAGAAATTATTGCATGGGCTGTAATAGCAGTAGTTGAGCTATTTCTCCGCAGTTTATTACTATTCTTAAATTCTACAATAATAATGCTAATCCAACTCTTCAATTTCCTTCTATACGTTAAAGTGCATAAATTAGCAAAAGAAGCTATGGAAAGAGAAGTTTTACATCAAATACAAGGGGAAGCTGTTAGTTTTCCTATGGCAAAATCTGATTACTCAGAAGAAGAAACAGTTGATGAACCAGTTGATCCTGATATATTGAATAAAATCCAAATCAGTGACTCGGAATCAAATGATCAACCAGATACAAACCAAAATCCTGATCAAGATAATCAGCCAAGTGTTTAAGTTTATTTTTTATAGTTTTTATTATTCTTTATACAGATTTATTGTTTCTATTAAATATTCTTTTTTCATTAATTGTAGACATGGCTTTACATATTGTGGCAGGCGCCTAATTTGAAATTTTAATTGTTTAAATTTCTTATTTCTAAAATTATTTCTAAAAATGTAAATTCTACAATAACAAATGATAAATGATCTACAATTACATTGCATACAATTGCTATATTAGCAGATATTGCATGAATGTTAGAAATATAGAAAATAAAATTTTGGATATTATTAACATACAAAGAATTTTATTACTCATATATATTGAAAGACAGATAATAAAAGTATTAGAATAACTTCTGCTCTTGAAGGAAAGGAATTGTATACCAGTCTGGAGCACCAATGAATTTAGCAACAGTTCCGTTTTCACTTACCATTATAAAACTATTTGCATCAACGGGAGTTGCACAAATTGGTCGACTTCCGAATAAATTTCCTATATCTTCTGTATGTATTCTTTCATTGATATCTTCTGTATCAGTGATCCTGCATATCAAAGTATTGCCTGTTGAAGTTGTAATTAAGAAGATTTCGTGGAATAATGGTCTGATAAATTCAAAATTAGAATTACTGAAGGAAACAGTTGCAAGAGGAATTAACTGACCAAAATTATAAGATATTAGTGAATTATTTTCTGTACAAACAAGAGTTTTTGAATTGATCAAAGAAATATTTTTCAATTTTGCTGCTGATTTGATAAACTTTGCAGATTGTAGTACAATTTCCTTTCCATTGATTGAGCAAAGGCTAATGTTATCAAAATTCTCTGAAACTGCAAAGAAATCCTTATTTTCAATGTAAATCAATTGCGAGTAATTTTGAGATTCTTGCTCGTTAGGTTTTTGGAATATATCGCCAAAAATGAGCTTTGATTGAGTACTGATAACCAAAACGAAATTCAAAAGAATTGAAGCTGTTGGAGGTGTTGGGGAAGATAATTCCCACAAGTTTTGTATATCTCCGTTAGATTTAAGCATCTGTGTTGAACAATCTTTCTTGATTAAAATGTAATTATCAACATCAAAAGGAATAACATGAGAAATATCAGTTAGCTCTTTGTTAACTATTGTAAAACAGTTGGAATTTACAGTGATAATAGATAATATTCCGGTATCAAAGTATAAAATAAATTTATTTTCGGCTGATCGCTTAAAATCGATAATCATGCCATATTGGATAATTTTATCGTAAAGAGGGGTTAAATTTTCTGTGGAATATGCGAGTAAATTTGTATTCGAAATAAAAACTACGATATTATCACTATTTTGTGTTGCAAATGAATAAACAGGGATAAAATTAAGCTTATCTCCGAATAATGCATATGAAAACAATCTACCCATTGGTCTTTTCCATTGACTATCAATAGGTAAAGAATTCATATTATAAAAATGAACTAGAGAAGATAAAAAATTATTATTTATATTCTGACATGCATTACCAGAAGTTGTTTTACTATCTTTCATGAGTTTTATCACTCGAAGTTGAAAATTAGGAACTCAAAAGGGGCTTTAAATTGTTCAAAATGTATTGCAGTAAATATTAAATGATTTACTCGCTTATTTTCATAGATGTTTTCATTCATAATGTTATTGGTCAAATTATATGAAGGTGTGCATTATAATGGATGATATTAGTGATTGCAAGCTTGCAATTATTCTGATCTAGAACATATCTATCATTAACAAAAAAAAAGTATGAAAAATGTAAATAGAATATTTATAAAATGCATCTATGCCTGATTCTGATTCTGCATATTGCTTTTCTTTTCTTTCTTTATTATGATATCTTTGCATTCAGCCCGACTTCAATAATAGCGGAATTAAAATTCATTACGCTATCATGGTGCACTGTTAATATTGCAAACTAGAAAAATTATTCGAAGGACTTTCTACATGTAATTAAATGGTTTACTTTCTTGTGAGTTGCAATAATCTTGCTAATTAGGATAGTTTTTGGGTCATTATTGATTTTGTAATTTAATCGTCGTCGTTATCGATTTTGTAATTTAATCGTTATCGTCTTTTTCTAAACGTGCATTTTTTGCTTTCGGAGCTATTGAACATACATTGGCCCTTACCAGCAATTGAAAACTATTTTTCATTATCAACAATTACATTACTCCGAGTTATTCATCAATCAATGAAAATCGGTATATAGTCCATACTTCAATTTACAATATTGGCAAGTCCAATTTCACTTGGCATATTTAACTCATATAGAAAAACCAGTTGGAATCGGCAAAATTATCTTTAATTCCATACATAAGAAAAAAAAATTATAAAGTTCTTCAATAATAGGAAACTAATAGTTTAAATAGATTTACAAGTATCGCCCATCTACTTTTGATATAATTCACATATTAAATGTAGAAAACTGGTTTAAAATAAATATTTCAAAAGTTCGAAAACGATTTATGAAAAAATAACGTGATGACATTTACTAAATTTGCTCTGTATTAAAGTATCGATGATAGAAAGAGCATATTTTGTAAATATTTCAAAAATATTTAAAAGTCGGAGAAATTGTATTGTAATGTACTATAATTATGTTACAAATCCGATTCAATACTAATCCTTCGCTATTGAAGTTGTTTTGAGAAGATATTCTCTAAATTCTTGATAAATCTTTAAAATTTAGAGTAATCGTTTTGTAAACTTAACAAAACTAAAATGTATACCAATAGATTGGCATTTTCTACGTTTTCAAAGTGAGAGTGTGTAAATTCTTTTATCCTATTAAGGTTTTTAAAAAATTTAATTAACTTAATTTATATGATCTGAAATATATGACAAGTTAATATGGAGAATTCTTTCAACCCAATTTCAATTTATTGAATTTTCTATTCGAATTCAAAAATTTTCCCAAGAAGAAAAAATAATTAGGAAATTTAATATGTTAATACATAAAATATTTTATTTATTCAAAGAATTCAATTTTCTATTGGATCAAAAAACTTGTGTTAAAGTTCGTATTTTAAGATAACTATACTTTTAGAAGCTGTTTTTATTTTTTTCACCGGGATTTTATTAATTTAATTCTTTCAAAATTTGAATCTTATTGTATATCACCGGACTATGATCATAATAGAGTTGCAATCTCTAATTATAGCCACATTAGTACTCGTGGGTCGATATATCATGGGAGATACAAAATTATTTGAATTTTCTTTTATTTTTTTAAAAAATATTAAAAAAAGTAAATAAATAACTAACAACACAGCATCACTTTTCGTAAAATGCTTTAATCCTAGTCCTTTTTCCCCTTAATTTTTCAATCTCTCCCAGGTTGAAATTTATTCCGGGAATTTTTAAAGATGCTTGGTCAACATAAAATTTCATTAAATCTTCCACAGGAGTCATAAACTCTGAACATTTGAAGCGAGCATGAACTGCATCATTCAAATTTTTAAGAAGATTTTTGTTCGAAAAGTGATTCAATACGGTGATTACATGAATACAAGGTAATCCGTATAATTCGATGTGCTTACATGTGCATGAATATTGTGAATCTGACATAATTTTTACGCAATATGTATAGCGACCAAAAGTAGTTAGTATAACTAAGTCGTGTACTGTGGCACTGCGCGCCTCCGTACACCACTTAGCGGTTTTGACACTTTACGAAACCGGTAACGTATATTTTACAACACAACCATAACACCAACTTAACCTTAAATATTTACAAAACCATCTGACACATAAATGATTTCACTAACGATTTCACTAACTACTTCACTAACGACAACACTAACTTAACCTTAAATATTTACAAACCGCCAACCACTAATGACTTCATTAATGTAAAAATAAACGTTCTCACTTACAAAAGTATTGCAACTCCTCCCATTGCTGTGCTTCACATAACAGCTCATAATCTTCTGACTCACTTTCTTCTTCATATAGGTCAAAATCACTGTCAAAATGAATGTTAGTAAGTTTTGACAAAGCTAATGAAACACGTTTACCGTTTGTATCGTATGCTTGTATAAACTTTCCATTCTTCATTCCTTCATAAACGCTCAAACTAACTTTACCCTTTCTCCCTCGTATCTGATAGAATGTATTTTCACGAGGAACGAAGAACAAATTCTTGAACTCATGACCGTTGTAGTTTGTTATCTCAATAGTTTTCGTCATTTATATAAAAATAAAATAAAAAATTAATGATATCACCACCCTCACACGTATGAAAAACATAGCACAAAAATAATGTTTATGTTAGAATGTTAGATCTAACACGTTTTCTAACCTCATTTCTAACCTGTTGAATTCATTGCTTTATAACTCTCTTCCTTTCTCCAACTCTTCTAACTTCTTCTTAAGTTCAGCAATGTTGTCCTCATGAAGTTTAATCTTTCTCAAAATTCCTTCTTTATCTAATGGTTGCTTTATCTTTCTAAACTGAACTCTACCATCCTTCATAGTATGAATGTAAAAACCTTCTGGAATAGTTCCTGATTTAATGTATTCTACCAAAAACTTTTGTTTCATTGCTTCAGTGACTTTATTTGTCATTTCAATCAAATAAAAATTTTAATATTAAATAAAAATAACGTTATTTTTTCAGTAAGGAAACGCAGGAGTTTTACGATTTATTTGAGGAGTAGGTTCTGGTTTAAATGTTGGAGTCGGTTTAGGAGTTGACTTTTGAACAGGAGTTTGTACTTCCATAGGTTCAGGAGTCATTGAAGGTTTTGCTTGTGAAGGCGTTGGTTTTGGCGAAGGTGTTGGAGTTTGTTTAACTTCAGCTACTTCAGTATTATTTACAACATTTGCTTTATTTCTTTTCAACATCATAACTGCTCCTGCTGTAGCTAGCAAACCTAGTGGGAGACCATATTTTATATAAGGACTTGACCAAATGCTATTTTTGACAGGAGCTGGTGGAACACCTAACCTTGGTGAGACTGCTCTTTGCCATTGTGCAGCTCGTAAGAAATATTCAATACGTGCTCCATAATCGTTTGGTAAAGTTTGTTTCACAGATGGTGAAGGTTCACGAGAGCTTGATGAAGAACTTATTTATAAGCTTTAAAAATAAACGTTCATCCTTTATTCCTCACTGTCGTCCGTAGCTAAGTTATAGTCATCTAATCTTATTATGGGGATGCCATTAGCACGCACCTGAATGGCAAAGCAACAATCCCTCATAAATCCAATAAGTGGCTTTGGTACATTTTCGGTTGCTAGTTCAATAGGTCCTTTAACAGACAATTTGTATGTTATTGGAGCAGTAGATGTTTGACCTTGCTGGAAGCAAAAGTCCACTTCTGTTGGAAAACCACATAAGAAATGTGTGTTGTCATAGCTATCCCATTTATGTTCCACACTACCATCATCCACCAATGACCTCATAACATCTTCATTAAATCCTATCATATCATTGTTTGTATTGCAGGCGTTCGCAACCATTTCATAAAATACAGGTCCATATGATTTTTCGGGTTCTGCAGGCATATTTCCATAAGCTCCCATGGAAAGCTGAAGATATTTAAACTTAGGGTTCTCAAAATTAACATAATAGTTGTCTTTCTTTCTAAATAGTGCCCAAATACTTTTAACATTAATAGGCGTATAAGCTGCTGTAAATGTTGCACTTGAACTATCTGTATTCTTTGAGAATGAACCGTCCATAGGAATCCAATCCATAACTTTAACAGGAAAACATAAAGCCTCGTTTGTATAATGTTCTACAAGTTCTGTATAAATGTTAGGGTCTAAAGAGAATGACTTTGGATGAATGAAACATTCATTAAAATCCATCTTTGTTCGAAATAGTTGCTGGGTTACAGTTGTAATAGTAACTGTTCCACTAGCTTCTATTGCCTTCGTTATCATAGTGAATGGTTCATTCCATGGAACAAATTTATTTGTCGGTGGATTTGAATCTGAAGCAAATGCAACTTTAAGAGTTGGATTGAAAGCAATGATATCATTTACAGATATAGATGTGCATTGTAAGGCGTCGCTACTGAACTTTACTTTAAGCTGAATGTTTCCTGCAAAAGCTGGAATAAATCGAATAGCTTCTAATGGAAGGAATCTTCTAACAGGAATTCTTAAACGAAGCTTAAAATCAAATGATTTTCCTGCTGTAATTGGACCACTAACAATTTGTCCTGTTCTGCATGTTCCCGAATGACTCCATACATCTTCATGTCGAGTCTTTGAGAAAACATCTACTTTCTTTATTTGTTCGGTAGTTTGTGAGTTTGAAGTTATATATGCTTCTTCTCGTGCGTTGTCTTGAGAATATACGATACGACCATTTGCAAGGATTTGATATCCAGCAACTGCATAGAAAGCGTCATCGAAACCAATCCAAAATCCTGGTGGGTTTGTTTTATTGGAACCTGAACCAATTTCTTTATCTGCAATAAATTGACCTTCCATTTTATACGTAATGAATGTATTGTAAAGGTCCAACATATTTTCACCAGGAGGTGAGAGATTGAATGTTACCCATGTGTTATCTTTAGCAGTTCCAGGTTGTGATGGAATCTTTGCGTCAGAATATTTTCTATTAGTGTCACCAATTTGAACTGCATTGTCTATGATATCGAAATATGAGCGAATCTGATGAATATGCTCTGCTGGAGTAAATTCGTTTAGCTGTTCGTTCTGCATGTATTTTACTTCGGATAAAAATATCTATTTACTTCATTATTCTCAATCTTCTTCTTGGCATTCGTGGTGGAAGTTGTTTCTTGACATTTTCAATGAACTGTACATTCTCTTTTGTCTCAACTTCTTTCACTGGTGGGTCAGGGTTCTTTGACTCGGTTTGTTTTTCAATGAAATTCACGAACTTTGCAATAAGCTCTTGGTTCGTTATTGAAAGTACATCTGGCTTCTTTTCTTCTGGTTCTATTGACTTTTCAGTTTGAACAGAAGGTTTTATATGGGCTTCGCCCTCGGTGCCATACACCTTAATGTTGTCGCTCTCTGCATTCGCTAATGGAACCTTTCTTTTTCTTACGTATATTTTACCATCTTTACTCTGACTTACGTAATAGAAAGGATGTTGTATTCCTCTTGCGTCATTTAATATAATAGACTCTCGCTCTGATTTTGACAAGCTCATTTTACATCGGTTAAAGTTTTAATTTTGTTTTTTATCTGCAGTCAAATGACTCAGACAAGCTCTACGGACAAGACCCAGGGGGTCATAGATGTTGAAGCATTGAAGAAAGAAATTCGTGAGCAAATTTTATCCGAACTGAAGGAACAAAAACAAGAACAAAAGCCAGAGAGACCAAAGAGAAAACTTAGTGAAAAACAACTTGCTGCATTAGCTGCTGGAAGACAAAAGAACCCACGTTTGCTGACGAAGAAAGCTAGAGAAGAAGCTGAAGCAAAAGCTAAAGAAGCTGAAGCAAAGAAAGAGTAAATGGTTTATTTTTATCCGAATTAAATGTATAGACAAATACCTTTATCTGTTGCGTTCAGTAGTGAAAACCCTGACGTCAAAATAAAGGGGAACAGAGTAACGTTTAAGTTTCCAACAGACTGGATTGTGAACATAAATGAAGAGAAGTACTTTGGCATAACATCTATGTATATAACACATGCATTTAGGAAAGTTGACTTTATACTTCAAGTCGAGATAGAAAATGACGAACAGTCTTTAAGCGCCCAAAACATTCACATATACAAATACTTTAAAGACGATACAACATTGTTGCAATGTATGATTTCATTTAATGAAATGTTCGAGAAAAAGTTTAACATTGAAGTACAAACTTTACAGCCTTTGCGTGAGTTTCTTGCACAACTGAAAGAAGAAGGTAGTCAGCCACAACTTATAGACTTTCATTATGAATTTAATGAAAATGAAGATGGAACACATGACTGTCAGTTTGTTATATATTCACCATTCAATGAAGTAGCTAAAAAGAAAGAAAATCCATTACGTATAAGGTTTCAAATCTCTGAACCCAATGAAGACTTCAAGAATGTTTTCAATTATGATGCAATGCTTCCGAGGAAAAATGAATTTTCAAAGATTGTAACACCTGGCATTTGGGATAGAAAGCAAGCTATATTATATTCAAACTTAAGTAAGGGAGTTGAAAATGAGTTCATTGGTCATACAAGAACTTCACCACTTCCTAACCCTAAATACTATAAATTAACTGGCTTCAATCGTGAGTTTTGGATAGACATGTTCTCCACTCATGACCATAACTGCCCAGTGTTCTTACCTCCAGACCATAAGGACTGTCTCTACATTGAAGCACAACTCTTAAACTCTACCATCGCAGTATTGTAAATGACCACATGGGCTTCGCCTTGCCGCTAGCGGCTTATTTTTATCACGAATGACCTCATTGCTGACAAAAATAAATGACCTTATTATTTTTCTCATTCATGACCTCAGAACTTAAGCTTTCTTATGAATGAAGTCTTAGTCTGAATAGAAAAGTTAAACTTTTCAGCAAAGCAAGGACTAGAAGACTTACATAAGTCAAATCCAATCTCTTGACCATCATGAAGTGCTTTGTAAAGTTTCATAACACTGAACTCAGAGTCTTTGTCAAATTTTCCTTGCGGAACCATTAAACCTTTATCTTCATTGTAATAGCATTGTATAGCTTCAGGAAACATTTCATTAGCTGTTAAAGCAAGGACGTCTTGTTTGACACCTTTGCAACGTGCATGGAATGCAACTTCATTTAAATCGTTAGTGAGTAAGTCTATGTAAGTCTTCTTTCCACAAAATATTGACTTGTATGCTAAACTTTGTTTTCCAGGTGTTATTTCTGCAAAGTCGCTATGAAATTGACCAAGGTTTTTACCAATGAGAACTCTTCCATAACGTTTCTCAAACTCTTCAGCTAAACGAGGGATATCTTCATTGTAGAGATGCATACTGTCGGTATCGCTATAAAAGATGTCCATTCCTAAGTCTTCAGCAGTACAGAATACTTCACACATTATTCTCTTCGACATAGACAGAATGTTAACACCAAGTGGACAGAAGTTAAAGTGTCTGCAAATGCTTTTCGTTAGCTTGAAAATAGTTTTATCTGAACCATCCAAACCTTCAAATTTAATGATATGGTTGTAGTTTCTGATGGCATATCTTATAGCATCTTTGTCATTTACTATGGTTATTTTTGACTCAATAGGAGATAGAATAGTTTTGCCATAAATACTGTTCAGAATGAGCTTTATATTTTCTTGCAAAGGATTTCCTTCTTTCTTATACTTTAACCTTAACTCAAACAACTTCTTTACTTCATCTCTTATTCTAATATCTCTGTTTCCATCGTAATAGTATCCTTGCAACACTTCACATTTGACACCTTGATATTTTATGAGGTCTTGTAATGTTATATGGTCAACATACATTAAACAGCAAGTGTTTGAACTTCTGGGAACGTTAAGTTCTGGATTTAGTTCAGGGTCACAAACTATTAAAGGAAAGTGTCTATGTATTCCAATCTCTGTTATCTTAATGAGAACAAAGAAGCCAGACATAAACTTTTCACCAATGGGTTCCTTTTGGTCGTCATCGAATAAATGTCTCATGAGATACTCTGTGCTTAACATTTCTTTCTTCATAACCTTTGGAATACCTTCTAAAGTATAAAGTCTTGCTATAGCGGATGGATATAATGAAACAGCATCGAAGTCAGCAATGAGTTTCTTTTTGCTCTTTTGTTTCATGTTATCTGACAACATACATCTTCCACCTTGAATGCATCTCGAAATAAATTCTCTTGGTTTATTTGAGAGGTCATATAAATTTCCATTCGGGAAGTACACTCTGTTCTCAAACAATTTGTTAGCAATAGAACAAATACTAACGTAGTCATATACGTTTAAATCAAATTCTTTCAATATGTCATTGCGGAACTTAACAAAACCTTCTCTTAAAATTCTTACATCTTGTTTGCAATAAAATGTGCTATATTTTTCTAAGTCGAAGTGGTTCTCATCTATTCTGCAACCTTTGATGGAATCTATGTTTTTCATGAATGTATCTGCATCCCGGATAAACTTACATGCTTCAGAAATGACACCAGTTCTGTTGTCATTTGCTAACAAAACACTGCTGTAGTAGTTGTATGGAAATACTTCTTTCGGTCCTGTTTGTAAGTTAAACATAGCAGGAAATAGTTTAAGCTTCTTATTTATAACACTGTAAGAGTCTTTTATAATAATTGCCCTTCCTTTATATAAGCCAGTTATTTGCATTGTTCGTGAACCTTTAATGATGGGAGTTCCTTTCACTTCTGTCATGTGTCTTAAGATGAAGTTTATATCATAACTGAGGTTATGGAAATATATTAAACTCTTGTCAGGAAGTCGTTCCAAAAATTCTGTTGCACAGTTCTGACCCCAAATGCTTTCACTCACTGAACCATCTTCACTGTCATAACAGATGTTAAAAGCTTTATGAAAGCCGTCTGTGCTACACTCAAAGTCAGCAAAGAAAACGTGCTCAGGAATGAACTTGCACTTATTTTTATTTACTTCTTTTGACTCGGCTTTCTTCTTCAGTTGTACACAATACTTTGGAGCATATGTCAAATCTTTAAATGGTGCAAGGTTCTGTTTATATAAGTCAGTCGTATATGTGAAAAGTTCTCCATAAGAAATAGGTTCGAAATATTTGCACTCCCACAATGTTTTCATAACATCCCATAGCGGTGTTGTTCTATCCATGCGAACTACATATTTATCTTCTCTCTTTGTATAAATCTTCATCTGTTTCTCAATGTTCATTCCACCACACTCCTTCAAGATTTCTATATAGTTGCGAATGAAATATGTTGTCATTGGAAGTCTTTCATTTAGCATGTAGTGGTCTTCAACAAGAAGTAAGTCAATAGTTCGAACAGTTTCACATTCTTTTGGTATGTATCTCTTTATTTCATTATGTCTTGAGTCATTGAAGTAACCAATGGTAACATTAAATGCTATACCTGTTGCGTCAGAAATTTCTTGTACTTTACTTTGAGGAAAGTCTCTAACACGAATGACTTCTCTCATGTGGTCAATAGTTTCTTCATTTACTCCAGCCTGAATGCAAGCATAAACGAAACAATTGTCTTCTGTCATAAGTGCTGCAGTTCTTTTGTTCAGTTCATTGAAGATTTGGTAGCGTTCAAGATTTATAGGTAATGTGCAAAGATACTTCCAGAACTGACCGCTTCTCTTCTTATAAAACTTCTTTTCACCAAGGATTTCATTCCAGAAGTCATCTATATCTTGTTTATCTCCTGTTTGTTTAAGTCTGTTCAATAATCTTTTCTGTCTTTCTGTCAGTGTGCTTTCATCTCTATATGGTCTCTTTTTTGGTTTGCCTTTCTTTACATCTGACATCGTTAAGCCTTCATATTCTGTTAAATCATACATCTTTATTTCAGTAAGATTCTTTATGTTTGTCAAGAAGAAGTCATAGTGCATTTCAACAATACCTGCAGCATTTGCTTCTATCTCTGATATAAAGTTCTCCTTCAAGAGCTGATGTAGTAATGTTCCAATATTATTGAGGTTTAACGTAGAACATTCATACTTTCCACCAAGTTTATAACATACCATCCATCTCTGTTGTGAGTTTATTTTAATTTTCTCTAAGAGTCTCATGAAAACCTTACCGAAATGTTTGTGTAAGTAGTCTCTGTTTGGTTCATCTAAAGCTTCGATGTTAAAGTCAATGAGTCTATTGCCTGACTTCACATTTCTCTTCCTATTCTCTTCATCTTTCTTTAACCATCTCTCACCTTCTTTTGGTTTGTCGTCAATGGAACGAATGACATCGTTAGCTTTGCGAACTTGTTCTATAGCATTTTTAAACATCTCTCTTCTCTGTTGTTTCAGTGTGTCGTCTCTTCTTCTTGTTTCACCAACGTTCGCATTTGTTATGTCAAACATCTCACGCCTTACTTCATGAGGTATTGAACGTCTATGATATAAGTCAATAGCAACGTCATTTAAAGGAAAAGTTCTTGCATGGACTTCGTCCTCACCGCGTTGTGGCTTTATGAACTCATGAATTCTATCATAACTTATTTCACCATTGTAGTCATTGAGGATGTCAGCGAGTGCCTTTTTGTTTGTTGCGTAATGCTTTGCAACATCTATATTAGCTTCTGTAAGAAGTTGTTTTATTTCCGAGTGTTCTAACTTAGACAACTTCCGATACATCTTTAGTAGGAAATAAAAAAATATTTTTTTGAAAAAATTAGATTAGATTTTTTTAGGTTATTTTTCAAAATAATTTAATATTTTTATTTTAATGAAACACATGCAAGATTGCAAGTTCTTTTCATACAATGCTCTCGCTACTGCCATCAAGAATGAGTTCAATAATGCTTCAAATGTTAATGTTATCTTTAACAAGAAGTTTGTGAAAGAATCTAAGTTTGGTCAGTATGTCAGACCATTAGCTATTGTCATTGACCGCAAACGTTATACTTCACAAGAGTTAGCAGTAGTTTTGAAACAAAAGAGTTTCTTCGTGAATGTCAAAGATACTCATTATACTGTTATAAAGAACTCTAATATTGACTTCTTCAGTATTGTTTTAGATTTATCGCAGCAGAAAGAATATAAGAAAGGTGAAACAAATGTGAAATATTATCCTTCATCTCTGAAGACAATAACGAACAAAGATGTTATACAGAAATTCTTACCAAAGGTTGAAGAAGCTTCTATTGACATTGACGAAGAAAGTGAAATGGTTGAAGAAATAGACCCTGAAGCTATTTAAGCAAAAATATATTTTTGAATAACTGAAAGTGTCACCACGTCACCATGTGCTACCAGGTTAATTAACTTCTTTTAAAAATGATGACAACATGACATTTTGACAACAGTCCAGGAAATAAATTTTATCGTTAATGTTTACGTTAATGTTTTTCATTAAATTTTGACAAAGTGCAAATCTTCACTTCGTCAAAAAGTTAATGTTTTTCATTAAATTTTGACAAAGTGCAAATCTTCACTTCGTCAAAAAGTTAATGTTTTTCATTAAATTTTGACAAAGTGCAAATCTTCACTTCGTCAAAAAGTTAATGTTTTTCATTGAAATCGGTAAGTTTTCATTCTTCCTCTTTGAAGTTATCGAAATATTCTGTTATTTTTTCCTTCAGTAATGGTAAGTCTTCTTTGAATGTAAGTATTGTGCAACCTTTGATGTCATAGTGTGTTTGAGGAAGAGTATTTTTGACAATTTCCTTTATTTGCTTATTCGGTGTCATTGAAATCGGTAAGTTTTCACGATAGAACCAATTTCTGTCAGATTTGTAAATCTTAGCAAGGTCGTAAAAGCTTTTGTTGTTTCTTCTGACTAAATGCAACATAACCATATCTCTGTCTTCTTCTTTCTCCAACTCTTCAGTATATATCATATACTTATAACTCTTTTCCTTTCCTTTTGGTACTGAACGTGGTATTCTTTTCTGTATGCTTTTGTCTTTGGATTCAATGACTTCATCTTTTGCTTGAAGTTTCTTTTCCATCTCTCCACGTTCTGCTTTATATAGTTCATCTAACATCATGAAAATATAACAAGCATAACGAGGTGAAGCCCACATTGCTACAGCATTTACTAAAAGTCTATGAACATAATAACCTTTCAAACCAGGTGCCAAATTCTTGCGATTTTCGTACGGAATCTCTTCTCTCGGTTTTCCGAGGGAAGCAATCATATGAGGAAATTCTTCTAAAAGTTCTTTTGTCTGTTGGTTTTCAAACCAATGATATGCTTGCTTTGTAGAACGAAGAGCATTCATTATACTTTGCATTTGATACATATCATCTTTGACTGAACGAATGAGGCGAAGTTGTTTGTTATATTGTATGTACTCGTATTCTTCATTTATGGCTTCATGAACGATAGCAGTTGTTGTGTTCTCTAATGTTGACATTACTGTCTTTACATACAAAATAAAAAAATAAATAAAAATAAAACTAACTTTATTTTTTTCTATCTTAAGGAAATTCATTATTTTTGTGTTGAATTCAGCAAAAATATATTTTAGGGTAGATGGTTAGATCTAACCTCATTTCTACCCTCATTTCTACCCCAGTTATTTTATAAACATTTTACATGATATACGTTATGAATTCGTGAGATTCTAAACAGTTTGTAGCTTCTATTTCTTCTTTTAGTACATCGAATGTTTTAACAATGCCGAAGGTTTCTTTATACTTCTTCTTGACGTCAGATAATAGGAAATCGTCAGCAGTTGGATAGTTTTTGTTCAGAAATGCTAACATGTCCATTTTATCTTCTGCTGGTTTCTCTACTTCTTTCTTTAAGTCAGCATAGTCGTTTCTCATACGTTCTATCTCTTTGACGGAGTAGTTATATTTCCTCATTGCTGCTTTACATTTAGAACATTGTGGATTCATTTTTGCGTTATACATTGAAATTTGACCTGCTAGAACAACTAAGGCGTCAATGGTTTTCTTTAACTCAAAAGCAGTTGGTTTTATCTGTTCATTCCATACCTTACCTCTTCTATCTTTATCTCTTATCTGCCATACACATTCTGCAACTAATGAAACAAAGTTGTCGTATGTCTTAAATTCTTCGGATTTATATATGTCAGAGATGTTCTTATATACTATGTCGCAATCTTTGTCCATAACTTTATGGTTGCAATGATATCCTAGAAACTCATAATTTACTTTACGTATGAACTTCTTTATTTCTACTGAGTCAGTTGGTTTCACTTCTATTTCATCGAATTCATGAATAGTGAGCTTTTGTTGGGATTTCAGGCAATTTGGGTAAATGGTCAATAATGTCCTGCATGTCATAAAGATATTCTTCATTTTCTTCATTCTGTGCGGTACAGTCTAAATTACTTGTTAAAAGTTCTTGCTTTATCTTCTGGATTTTTGTTTCAAAAGTATATGAAGAAGGAATAAAGCTTTTCATCTCTACTAACATAGATGTTGGATTCATGACTAACGAATTTGGTGCTGTTGTTTGAATTGTTGTTGTGCCGATTGTTGAAATCATATCTTTTATACAAAATAAAAAATAAATAAAAAATAAAACTAACTTTATTTTTTTCATCTTAAGGAAATTCATGAAAATTCAAGACCCTTTGGGTCTCGCCGCTTAGCGGCTGAGGGTAGAAATGAGGGTAGATAACTGTTATTTTGACGAAGTGAAGATTTGCACTTCGTCAAAAAATCCCTGAAATCAAGAATTAATTCCCGTCAAATACAAAAAATGAGGGTAGAAATGAGGGTAGAAATGAGGGTAGATAACTGTTATTTTTGACGAAGTGAAGATTTGCACTTCGTCAAAAAATCCCTGAAATCAAGAATTAATTCCCGTCAAATACAAAAATGAGGGTAGAAATGAGGGTAGATCTAACCATCTACCCTAAACATTATTTTTGGTCATGGACTTCGTCCTCGCCGCTTTGCGTCTTTATGTTAAAATAAATGGTACCATTAATGATATCATGACTGTTCTCGTTCATGTCTGATTTACATCTAATGAAAAAGTTTAGAAGAATTTTCTTATTCTTTCTGGCATATTTTTGTCTTTCCAGTACTCCCGCTCTAATGGACCCAGATGTGTTGGTTTAGATTCTCTCAAGTTCTTAGATGGTATAACATCTTCAACGCCTCCTTCATATCTTACTTTATAAATGTCATCGTTTGTGTTATAGCCAAGTATTTCAATAACCACTCCTCGCTTTGCTTCGTCAATGGTTTCAGCAAGTTTGCCATTACTACTTTCGACTAATTTATGACGAGGGTAAAATGCTATGGAGTCGTCAGCAGCTTTTATAAGATATCCATTACCTTGCGTAGAGTCTACGATATAATAATTTCGACTTAACCTTAAACGTTTCTTTGTCAACGGTTTGTCGTCAAGAACTACACGAACTTTTGTACCAGGAATGAGGGTAAATTGTGTTGAATTTCTGATATTTTGCGTTTGACTTCGTTTCTTTTGTATATACTTTTCTTCTTGTTGTTGTGTCATTGAATTTGGTGTATGTCCTGTTGTAGAATGCGTTGAGGAATTATATACTTCGAGAAAATGTTTCATTGTTTCTTCGGTAAAGTCTCGCTCTTGGTTTAAATCTCTGAGAGTCCTTATGAAGCGGTTTATGATGCCGAGTATGTTATGGTTATGGTCTTCAGTAGTGTAGTGAGTTATGTTATGCTTAATGAGAAAATCTGTGATTTCATTGCTGAGGTATGCACTGTCTTGGTCTGATGTTAAAGTACTTGGGCTATGTTCTGCTACAAACTTTTGTAAAACTCTTAACACTTCACGAGTTCCTTTGTTCCTCATTGGATATGCATATGCTTTACGAGTGTTAACATTTATGAAGATGAGGAATGGTTTATGTCCTCCTTTTCTGCTTTGAATGAGAGTGTCAAATTGGTATGCGTCAGGAGTGTTGGAGTAAATTGGTAAAAAGTAGTCGTAAGGGTTTATTTTTGTTTGATGTACAACATTTTTGTCAAAGAACCTTTTCACTTCAGCTCTGTTAGTAAATCCCCAACTCTTTGCAGCTTCATTGAACTTCTTAAATGACCTCCATGGATGTTGTTCGAATACTTCTTTCAAGCTCATTTATGTAAAGTTAAAGTTTATTCAAGACGGTAAGTCCGCAAAGCAGGCTCAAGCGCGTTCATTGAACGCGGTACCATGTGAATATAGTCACAAATGGTGGCATATAATCTTCACCCGAGCCTGTTGGATTTGTTGTGAAAGTGTGTGAATGATTTCCTGTGGTTCCACAGAAAATACCTGTGCTTGAATCTACTGGGTCACTTGAAATATCATATCTATGCATTCCCTGTCTATCCGAACCTGCTGCAAGATTTGTATAACCTCTTTTTGTTATTGAATGTGAATGACTACCTGTTGTGTTTGTAGTTCCTGTATGAGTGTGCGGTGGAAGGTTTGCTTCTTTAATTTTCTTCGAACCACCTGTTTGCTTTGAAGAGTTCGCACAGTATAAGAATTTATCTACAATCTGCTCCCACATACCAAAACCTAAAACTGTTTCTGGATTTGTTGAATTCAGTGACGTATAAATAGAGCCTATAGGATATAATGTTTGAAGTATTTCTGTCTTTAATGTTTGAAGCTCTGTTTTGTCTGCTTTCTTATCTAACATTGTTGGTAGTTCATATGCTTCAAAGTTTCTGGCATGATCTTCGATATTCCTGCAACTCTTATCTAAATTGTTAAGAGTATCTTTTACGCTTGTACTTGGATTTTCTAATGGTGCACTTGAACCAAGGTCAAAGTTCAATATTATGTCGTCTGCTCTAACAGTAGTGAAGGATTTATGTGTATGGTTCTTGTCGGCTTTCTTATCTAACATTGTTGGTAGTTCATATGCTTCAAAGTTTCTGGCATGATCTTCGATATTCCTGCAACTCTTATCTAAATTGTTAAGAGTATCTTTTACGCTTGTACTTGGATTTTCTAATGGTGCACTTGAACCAAGGTCAAAGTTCAATATTATGTCGTCTGCTCTAACAGTAGTGAAGGATTTATGTGTATGGTTCTTGTCGGCTTTACTGTCTAATGTAGCTTGAAGTTCATTTATATCGGAGATGTTGTGTTTATGAGATTTCAAAACTTTGTTCATTGCTTCGAGTTCATCTTTGTCAGCTTTACTTTTAATAGCATCTTCAAACGTTATTTTTGCCTTAACTCTCAATGTAAATCTTGGTTCAACTAATACACCGTTAACATTGAAAGTAGAGGCATAAATTTCACCGGTATAACCAAATGCTTCTGGTGCTTTAGCTACATCATACTGTACAGTACAGCTTATGTCATAACCTTTAGCACGAATGTATTTATATCTTCTTTCATTAACATTTTTTGTCTTCGCTTCATCACTTCGTGTTAAATATCCATGGTAGTCTGTTATAATCTGTTCGTCTGAAGTTATATAATGAACGTGGTTTTTATCTGCTTTTTCGGCTAATTTCTCTTCTATCTCATTTATTTCAAGTTCATGCCTACCACCACCTCCCGAAGAAGTATTTTTCTTCAGCTCTTGAAGAACGTCCACTTCGCCATCTTTAGTGTCAATAATGAGACTTTGTGTTAAAACCTTTCCTGTCTTAATGGATGTTTGTAAAACTTCTTCTTCACCGTGTTCGGGATCATGGTCGTCATCATATCTTGTGAAATCAGAGATGTTGTCATACATTAAGCATATCTGTCTCAAAAGTTCTGCTATTTGAAACAGGAACGAAAGATATACAGAACTTTCATCATCTCCTAAAGTCAAGTCTGCTTTCTTAAGTATTTCTTGAATGTATGCAATGAGAACAGAGTACCTTGGAAAATATTCGAACAATATATCATTAGCTGTTGGTTTTGGTGGTTCTTCTGGAGTTTCTGCATCTCTTGACTTCAATGCTCTTGCTCTCAAAGACCTAAATGTTAGAGCACCAGGTTTTACAAAGGACTTTATAAATGCTTTAATAGTTCCTGGTAAGTTATTGTTAGCATTAAGTAAGTTCCTTATGCTTCCATCATGTACGTCCATAGCACTATGTAAAAAATCTATACTTTTCTTGTAGTCAGCAATAGACTGACTGTGATTTTTTAAAGATTTGTCAATACCTTTAAGCCAATCTTCATGCATGTCTGATACTGAGCCAAGAATATCATTTGCTTCCTTTAGTGTATTTTGTGCTTCTCGTAAAGTATCCAATCCCGTACGTGCATTGTTTGCTATACGTCTTACAGTATCTATTTGACTCCTTGTTTCTTGCATCCAACCAGATAAAGTTTTAATAGTATCCGAACCATTTGAAATGAAGTTCAAAGCATTTTTAACGTCATCTAAAGCTTCTTCACCAAGTACTGCCCATATCTTTCCGATTTGGTATTGAAGAACTCCATATGAAGCAGCTGTTAAACCAGTATTTATAAGGTCCCATATCCATGATTTAGCAGTTTTTCCATCCTTTCCATCCTTTCCATCCAAACCGTTTTCGCCTTGAGGTCCTTGTATTCCTTGTATTCCTTGTATTCCTTGTGGTCCTTGTGGTCCGGTGTCACCCTTCTCTCCTTTCAGTTCATCTTTATGTTCGTTATAATATTCTAATGTCATAAGGTGTACATCGTTACTGCTACCAGCAACGCCGAGAATTTGTTTCTCATTCATGACTAAATTCTTTAGGCATTTAATGTTGTCGTCAAATCGAAAGCTCTTTAACAATTCAATGAGAACATTTAATACTTTCACTAATGAGGCATCTACTGTAGAATTTATATATTGCACCGTTCCATCATTTATGATGGGAACCTTGCTTGTTGTAATGAATGGGTCATAAGTGTTAAAAGTATCGAAATCAATGACTTTTTTAGTTTTTCCATCGTCAATGACTAAATCATTGCCTTCAATGGTTAAAGTTGAGTTTTCGTTTACTAGTTCATGTGCTCTTCTTGCTTCATTTGTTTCATACGCATATGCAGCAATAGTCATATTTTAATGAGAATAAAATGTTGTTCTATTTGCAAAGTACAGACCCAAACGAATACGGGACAGTAAAGCTACAAACAAACTTAGGTCTACAGAATGAGGCGCTTGCATTCAGAATGGTTGACTTCAATACTATTGCTTCATTCGTTATAACTGACGAAACAGATTTCATGGAGTTTGAAATAGATGGAAAGAAGCACGAAATAAGATTTCACAATAATGTAGAATATAAGATGGAAACATTAGCTGGAGTGTTAAATGCGCTCATAAATACTACAATAAACAAGGAGAACGAAGAAAACTTAATGAATGTTAAACTTATTGCAGGAGTTTTGAAGTTCAGTTATGCGAAAGAGTTTAAGATACCAAGAATGAGTCATAGAGTACAACTTCTTTTGGGAGCATACCATATGACATTTCCTTTGAAAAGTGTTGACAAAACGATTGAGATGAAATCTGTTCCATACGTATGTTATGGCAATTGTTTGTACATTGAGTCAAAAATAGCTAATGTCACAGGTATTTCAGGAGTTAATAGTAAAGGTTCAGTAGAATATAAATCCTTCTGTTATGAAGTAAATTCAATGTTCATTCCAAACGTTCCTGTCATAGCAACTCATTTAGGTAAATGGGTTCGCATTAGTCCTCATAATTTGAAAGACATGCAATTCAGACTTGTTGACTTTCAAGGAGAGCCTGTAGAACTGAAGGCACCAGTGCGAATGACTGTTGAAGTTGACTTTTTAGAAAATATTAAATGCAACAGCTTACAAGAGAACTCAGAGCTAAAAATATAAAGTATGAATGTTATGTATTAGGTCATGAACTTTGGTTGTTGCTGTTTGACGAAACAAATGAGTTAGTTATGTCAGTCAAGAGAACAGAAAAATATTGTGTTAGTGAAAACTGCACCAAGTCAATAAGATTAGGTTTGCATTATGAAGATGAGTTCGATACTGTTGAAGAAGTTTTGGATAGATATTACAAATTGCTTTAATTTACTAAAACATATTTCAAGCAAAGTTTATATTCTGTTGAAAGTTTTGTATACTCGTTCGAATATTTATACTTAAACTCAACTCCTGTAGTTCCTGGTGTTTCAATGATGCGGATGTTACCTATTTTCATGAATAGTGGAGTTTGACCACAGCATTCGATTTCAGGGTCGAGATAGTCAATGACACATTGTTTCCCTGTTATTCGTGAGATAACATTTTCAAGGTCCTCCTTTGTTAGAATTATTTGGTTCTTGCTTATAAGATTTGTCAAAAGCTTCTTATCGTCTTTGAGTAAAATTGTTTGGTATAACTGAAGAAGGTAATGGTCTACGTTATCTGAAGGATTTGTTTGAACATTTGTGTAAGGGTTGTCGTTGGCTTCTCTTGAAAGAACTTGGTCCAGTGGTGGATACTCTAACTTAACATCTGATGTAGCGTTAGCGTTTGAAGCTGTGTTTAAATTCACCGACTTAAGATCTGGTTCTTTTTCTTTCAAACACTCCGAACTATAGTTCTTTATGACAATATTGTTTGTCGTTCGTAAGTCAACATTTGATGTTGGTTCAATTGGAACATTAACGGCACCAGCTAAGATGGATTTGCTTCTCATTTCATATAGAATAAAAACCTTTTATATGTATGAAATGAACAATATACTCGACAAGGGTTTGAATGTAAAGCTAACGAATGAAAATATTGTTGAATTCACTGAGACAGGAGCTGTGTATAAAGATGTAGAATTACTGAACAAAAGAGCAAAGGGAAGAAGCAGGAATATGAACAAAGGGTGGAAGCCTATAAAAATTTATGTCAATGATGGCTCAGGAGGTTCAAACATAAAGTATGCAGAAAGTTATAGAGTTTATGCTCTCAAAGGTGAAAAGCCTTCATTTAAGAACAGCTATTCTAACACATATCCTCAAAAGCTAACGGATGGGGAAGTGGATGATATGAATGACAGCAAAAATATTAACAGAAATGGCGACAGAGATGCATGGAATTTGTTTACCATCAGTCAATTGAAGGTTAAACTTTAAAACAATGTTGGTCGTTCCCATGGAATATTTTTGACTTTAATGGTATTAGTCATGATATGAATCTCAAGGTATGAACGAGGAGAGATGAGAGACTTATATGCTTCCCAAATTTCTTCAAAAGGTAATGTTATACCTGACTGTTTCCAAATGAGTTCAATATCATAGCGTGAGAAACCTTGAAAGATAACGAAGTCAGTTATGAGACGTTTTATGTTTAAAGCAAGAAAACGCCATGTTTGCATAAGTATTGCTACAGTTAAATGGTAATGTCTGACTTTAGTTATGATGTTAGCTAATGGTGAGTCTGGTTTTGACACTAAACCTTTTCCGGCGAAGTCGTCACAAACGAGCAGAGTGTTTGAAGGATACTTTTTGAAGGGGTATTTTGAAAGTTTTGATAGAATGTAGTTTGTCAGTCGTTTCATATCGTAAACTCCTGAGTATTGACGTAAGTGGTGTTTGTCAATAATTCTTTCCATCTCCTCAGAAGTCTTTTGCATTCCTGACTATATGAACTCTACGATGGCATAATATTTCCTCTTACGTCGAATGTAACGTTGAAGAAATTCAATGAGTTCACTGTCTGGAACTTTAACGACAGAGGCTTGAACTTTTGACATAAATGTTTTCGCTGTTGAATCCATAGAGTCTGAAGTTGCTGATATAATGATTTGGTCATAGTAAGAGTCGTTTCCTAAACGCTCTGTTATGAGTATATGACGAATGAGGTTAAATGTCTTACCTGAACCCATCTTTCCACAATAGAAATAAACGCCATTTGAACAGAATTCATAATCTTTGCTGAAAGGAAGAATAAGAGAAGAGTTAAGTTTGTCTGTAGTTTCATTCATGTCTTCATCTACGTCATGTATTAAATGCTTCATTTTATCTCCATTAAAAATGCAAGTCAGAAATATTCAGAACATAGCACCGAGTCTAACTGACAAGAGTATAAAGATATACTATGAACACGTTATGATGAAACCAACCAAAATTCAAGAAAGTCAGTATACTTATGAATATCCAAGACACTGGGTAGAGTATGTAGGAGGTGAGAAAGCTATTGAAATCAGACAGGTTCGAAGTATTCCAGCAGGAAGGACAATATTATTGAAGAACTTTAATGTTTTGAGATATAATGATGAAACAAAGAAGCAAGATAGTTTCCCTGTTGCTGTGTATGTGAACTTAGACACAGGAGATGACATGAAAGTTTTTAACACAAAGCTTCAAACGGTAGTGAGAGAACAACTGACTGCGGAAGGGCATCCATTACCTTCAGAAGTTACCATAGCATATAATTTTGAAACAAACTCAATAGATTTTAAAGTCATCTCTGCAAAGAAGTCAGGTTTTACATTTAATGAAGCAGATGTATATTCGAATGAAAACTTCAAAGCTATTGCATGGTTAGATAATGACGATTGCTTTAAGAAAATATTTAAATACAGTAACTCAACGATGTCAATAGATGACCTTCGTGGAATGTTACCATCGACGTTTACAGTTGAAGGCTCAGCAGGATTGCTTACAAGATTGTCAATTGGTGGTATTTGGTCTCGTGAGAACATTGTTATAAAATCCAGTATAAGTGAATTTGCTGAAGAATCTATATTATGTCTTTCAAACTACATGTATTCGCCGCCAAAGCATTATAGTATAACAAACTTTGTCAGTAAGTTTAACATAAGACTTGTCGAACCTTCTTCAATGAAAGATGTTGTGCTATAGGGTGTCCAAAGGTGTGTTTAGCACAAACCTGAATACTGCGAATAGAAATAAACAAGTTACATATATATAAAGTTTATTTAAATATAATCACCATTGGATTCAATCACGCGTTCGCAGCGATCGATCCAGGCTTGAAAGACACGCTTTAAATCATCATGAGAAAATTGCTCAAATTGCTCTCTTACAAAATTTTCAAGATCATCTGGACTCGCGAATTCGCGTCCTTCAGCTCTCTTTTTTAGCGTGCCGAATAAATAAAAGTCAGAGGGTGCAATATCAGGTGAATAAATTGGGTTTGGAACAACTTTGACATTGTTTTCCACCAAGTAATTCATTACCTTATGACTTTTGTGAACTCTTGAATTATCTAAATGAATTGCAAACTTTTGTTTTTGTTGTTTGGATTTCTCAAACTCATCAGAATTGATAATTTGAGTAAGAACATTGTCAATTAGATACTGAGCATTCATCGTATTAGGTTTTTGAAGAATATCAATTGCGATGATGCCATTCACGCCCCAAAAAACCGACAACATCATCATTGGTGTGTCAATTTTTTTCTTCGGGAATGTTTGCGGATTTTCATCCTTCGGGATCCACATGATTTTGGCTTCTGTTGCATATTGAAACCAAGACTCGTCCCCTGTTACTAAAAAGCGAAACTTCTTGGATTGATACGCACCCAATATAGAGAGGAGCTCTTTCGAAGATTGGACTCTAGATTTTTTTGAACTGAATTAAGGTTGTGCGGAACCCAACGTGTATACGCTAGTTTGTAGTTCAAATAATTGTGCAAATAATAACTGACTGTTGTACCTGGTATCTTTGTCATCTCCTCTATCCTTCTGAGTGATGCTCTTGGGTCTTCATCTAGCGCTTGAAGAATTGCTTTGATTTTTCTTTGATCCGGCGATTTTTTGTCAATTTTTATGATGGGCGCCTTTTTGTTCATGAAGTGATACATCCTAACATGATACGTTACAGTGGAATAGCTAGGAGCATCCATACCGAAGCATTTTACCAATGTCTCGTAGATTTTTTTACAGTCTTTGCATTTTTTTGCAAGAGCGAGGATGTTTTCTTTATGATTCATTAAAAAAATGAAAAAAATCCCGCCAAAATTTCCCGCGAAACTGCCTCTTGTCTCAAAATTCATTTTATATCCCGGCATGGCGCCAAAATACAACATACTCATCATATACATATATTCATATTTTTTATTATATATTTATAATCAGCATATATCTCCTTTAATAGTCTCATATAGAGCGCTGTGCTAAACGCACCTTTGGACACCCTATACCTAAAGATGGAAAGGATGGACTCATTATTGAGATGATTTTAATAGCATATTAAATGAGCTTGTTCTTGAAGGTCATTCATGATGAAATAACTGTTGTAGAAGATGTTAGCAATTGTTCAGACATTTTGAAGCGTATAGATGATATAAGAAATAAGTTAGATAGACCGCAAAGCGGTGAGGGCGAAGCCCGTGAGAACGTTTATGCTTCATTGACTTTCTCCAGTAACGAGAACTTTTATGAGATAATATTGAAGAGAGATGATTTTAATATGGTGTAAATGGTAGCTTGGGCAGCTTTAGGCGCAATGGGAACAAAAGCATTAGCATTTGGAGCAAAAGCACTTGGAGCTTATGACGCAGTAAATAAAATGAGTGGAGGAAGGGTTTCAAAGACATTAGATGCAAATAAAGGAAAGATTGGAGGCTGGGTTGCAAAGAAGTTAAGATTAAATAAAATAGGGCTCATAAATAAAGCATCCAATTTGGTTGCGACTGAGTCAGAAAATGCTTTAGGAAAGGACGATGAGTTTGCAAAACACGCAAAAGACTTTAATGACCAGATGAAAGGTGAAACAATGCATTTAAATAGAGTCGATGGAACTAAAGAAAATGTTTCTTCTCCACCAGTAGTTCTTCCGTATGGTCCCTATGGAATGTATGGAAACCCTTACGAAAGACCATTTGACCCATTAACTGGTGGAAGTAACTGGTATCATTACGGCCGAAGAAGAAAGACAGTCAAGTTGGAGACAGACGTGAAGAAAGCAACTAAAAAGAAACCAAGGAAGAGAGTTATAAAGCAATGAATTCAACAGGGTGAAAAACCGGGTGAAAAAAGAGGTGAGATTTCACCACTTCACCTAAATTTATTTTTGTGCTATGTTTTTCATACGTGTGAGGGTGGTGATATCATTAATTTTTTATTTTATTTTTATATAAATGACGAAAACTATTGAGATAACAAACTACAACGGTCATGAGTTCAAGAATTTGTTCTTCGTTCCTCGTGAAAATACATTCTATCAGATACGAGGGAGAAAGGGTAAAGTTAGTTTGAGCGTTTATGAAGGAATGAAGAATGGAAAGTTTATACAAGCATACGATACAAACGGTAAACGTGTTTCATTAGCTTTGTCAAAACTTACTAACATTCATTTTGACAGTGATTTTGACCTATATGAAGAAGAAAGTGAGTCAGAAGATTATGAGCTGTTATGTGAAGCACAGCAATGGGAGGAGTTGCAATACTTTTGTAAGTGAGAACGTTTATTTTTACATTAATGAAGTCATTAGTGGTTGGCGGTTTGTAAATATTTAAGGTTAAGTTAGTGTTGTCGTTAGTGAAGTAGTTAGTGAAATCGTTAGTGAAATCATTTATGTGTCAGATGGTTTTGTAAATATTTAAGGTTAAGTTGGTGTTATGGTTGTGTTGTAAAATATACGTTACCGGTTTCGTAAAGTGTCAAAACCGCTAAGTGGTGTACGGAGGCGCGCAGTGCCACAGTACACGACTTAGTTATACTAACTAAAGTTGCATAATATAATTCTTGAATTGGATCATATAATACCGAGCTAAACATATCTGAATGTTTCAAAGTTTCATTTAGATTTTTGATAATATTATCTGATTTAAAATCACCTGTTAAAACATTTTAACAAGATTGAATTCATGTTCAATGAGACGGATAATTAGTTCGGTGGGTTCATATGTATCCCATTTATCTTTAATTTCGGCATTAAGGGATTCAATAAGAGATGTTGTGAGTATGCCAGCGGTGTAGTCAGCGAATCCTTCAAATGGGTTAATACTATCTAAGTACTTAAAGAGATCCTGATTATTTTCGCGGTTTGGATATTCCTCTTGTAAACGAGTTTCTAACTTTTTAATCAAGTCAATTCGTTTTTGAGGATGGTCTGCGTAAGCGACTTCAACAATTTCGGAATAGACATTGATGTATTCCCTTTTTGTTGCAAAATGACGTAAGCAAAATTTATGAACGCAAGAAAAGCCTGATTCTCTAACAGCAGCTATAATTGCCGGACCTTGATCGGAATAAATATTCTTGAATCTGCTTGGTGGAATAAAAGATTTCAATTTAGTGAGTATATCCTTAATTGTTATCGTATTTTCACTAACAGACCATGCAAATGCAATAGGGATAAGTCTATTATTTGGTGCAGGTGTACCAATAATGAGTAAGTTTCCCTTTTTAATACAAAATAAAAACGTTCCATCAATTTGAATTATTCCGCAAAAAGCTTGTGTTTGCATGTAAAAATGAGTTATTGGAGGAATTACAATAAATGAATAAATTTGAAAGTCTTTTGAATTTTCAGGTAATTCATCACCTTTCTTAAATGTATGCAATTCAATTCATTGTTAACTTCTTTAACTAAACATTTCGCAGAATCCTTGTTCGATTTTGTTTATTATTGAAAAAATTGTTGAGAAATAATTGTAAGATTGAATTATATCCCCTTTTGTGGTTCCTTTAAGTTTATTTACTATATTATGGAACATCGTATAAGTTGCATTGGGAATATTCAATTCTTTTGCAAAAATTTCTTTGCATTGAGGAAACATTATCAGAATTTGCTAATTCATAGACTTTTTTTCCTGCTTGCAACTAAGAATTTTTGGTATATTGTTACTCGGCTTGCATTGCTTTGCTCTATGCTCGTGTTTTAATTACTGGAATGAAGAAAAGTTGACCATTTTCATGAGTCTTTACAAGCTCCATGCAAAATTGGCAGTTAGGACAACGAAACTTTTTTCCTTGCTCAAAATTTAATGGATAAAAAGAATTATATGAATCTTTTGCAATAAATATAGCAGCTTCTGTAGGATCTGTAAATTTTAATTTGCTATATCTTTCCTTGAGAATTGGAATTGGGGATTTTCAGGTATTTCCATTCTATATTTCAATTTTTTACGGAATTCAATTCATTTTGAATTAAATCCAGCATATCAGCTCCATCTCCTTTTTCTTCATCAACAATAGCTTGGATGGATACTGATATAGTTTGATTCTCTTCCACTATTGTCGGTTCGCTTTCCGACATGAGATAAAATTGAAGGTTTAACGTACTTTTGATACTCTGAGTTAAAAAAAGATTTTCTTAACATAATTTGATTTATTGGTCCTTAAAAAATTCTGATTCAAAATTGAATTGAATCGAACGAGTTTTCCTTTTGAGTCATTTCAAATATTCATGAGAAAGAAAAAAAATTCTAGCAATTTCAAATATTTTTGATTTGATTGAATTCAAAAGTGTCACAAATATTCAATGAGAAAGAGAAAAGAGATCGAATATGTTGTTTCTGAGCGAATAGTCAAGCAATATTTCGTTAAGTACAAAGATCAGCATCCGGAAAAAAATAAATGGGTATATCAAAATGAGATTCCGCAAGAAATATTTGAAAAATATCTAGAAACGAAGAAAACAGAAAATATTGATGAAATGTTACGCTGTACTCGAATTGTTCATGTTGTTGATCAAGATAAAAAAGAATTTTATCTTGAATTTTAAAAAAAAATCAAATTCATCACATATTAAACAAGAATCTAGATGAAGAACATCAAAAGGCTTATATAGATTATCTTGAAAGTTTACTCAAACTTGAAATAAAAAATAAAAATTAAATTAAATTAACCCTCGTTAGGATATCGTTGCAAATAAAGATCTGTTTCTCAGAAAGATCCTGATTTTCTGATAAATATTCTGTTGTAACTTCTACAAGGTTTAAGATATGAAAAACATTTTTGAATATTTCATCGCTATCAAATCTGCGGAAACATCTGGAATATAATTTCAAATATTTGTGAAGATTTGAATTCTCAATTGCATAATTAATTAAAAATTCATGTGAATTTAAAAAATCGGTAGATGAAATTTGCATGGGTATAAGAGGAAGTACACAATAATACCCCTGAACTACATACTCTGTAAATGAATAGTGAGGAGAAAGACTTCGCAGAATTTCAAGTGTTTTTATGAATTCTAAAGCCATCTCAGATGTTATATCGACTGCTTTATAAAATAAAACTATAAATTTGAGAAGATAAACAAAATCTTCGTTATTTATAATTGAATTCACGTCATTAAAAAAGTTGAAATAATTTGATATTAGTATATCCGAACATGGAAGAGCAGTTGCATATCCTGGGTAATATTTTAATAATTTTGTAAAGAAATTTGCAATTGCATAAGTTGAATATTGATTTTCGTACTCAATAATACTAGAAAAAATTTCTTTCTTGAGTAAAACTGCGTTTTGGAAGAATTCAACGTCAAGAATATTGTTTTTAATCAAAGCAATAAATGTATCGATGATATAGAGAGAATTGTCACTGCTGCTTATGAAACGTAATATCTCATCATATTGATCGGAAAATGTTGATAAATAAAGGTATTGTATGTTATCTAAAGCTTTAAAATGAATTAATTTTAATGAAAAAATGAAAAAAATCTGGTTAATATAATGCGATAAATATTCGAATAAATTTTCCAGTAGTATCAAATCTATTTGAAAGATATTCGAAGAAGTGATATTTTGAATTGTGAATTTTAATATTGTTTCATTTTGTGTAGATTGCTCGATAATGAAATGTATCAAAAGATTCATTGAATATGAGTCAATGGAAAAGCTTAAATCCTTAGGGATATCCAAAATAAATCTTAATAAAGAAGATTCGTCTTAAAAATTAGCTTCCGAAAGTTCTATTTCAGTCGGAGCTGGAAGATTCCGATCATTTATGAATCTCGAAACGACAGAAAATTTGTATTGTTTATATTTCATTATTCGAAATGATAAACTTCAAAATCTAAAATTTATTTTTTTACAATATATTTCATCCTATTGTCAAGGCTAAATTTTTCACCGGAAGTGTATCAAAAATTGATAAGATTTACGGTGATCTAATTATGACAATTCATTGCATCTCGTGATATAACGCAGATATAAACACAACTGATATTGCATAACTAATAATTGAGTCAAATAACTAAATTATGTGTTATATTTTACACATATTTCTTCAATTTTGTAATAAATGGATGTTTAACACTAATTTTTTAAGGACTTCGACTTTAGCATCACATAAATATGTTATTTTCTATATTAAAACGTAATTTTGGTGGTCTTAGAATAGAAAAATATGCAATATTCGTGGAGATAATGAGGGTTCTTAAACATGTTCTTAAAAATAAATAAAATACCCAGATTTTCCTTACTTTTACCACTCCCCATGTAATTTCTGGGGAAAACGATAATTCATTTTTTTTATGGATGAATAGATCGTTTTCCTAGAAAGGACCTCATATCTCTGGCTAAAAAGAGTGTCAGATCCTAAATAGATTATTGATCTAGTGTACAAATCCAATAAAAAGCCTATTTTTTTGGCTTTTTTGGTGCTCATTTTTTCGAAGATCTACATGAATATGGGGAAACCATCGGATTTTTTTGGTTAACCCACATCTTCATGTAGTCTGGACTATCTTTCCTCGAAGGACCTCTTTACGGGTGTAAAAACTCATAAAGTTCTCAAAAGATTCATTCTCGATCTCCATGCTGAAAGAATTTACAATAAAAAAGAGATCTACGCATCAAACTACAGCCATAAATGAACTGAACCCCTAAAGCTCAGCTCTTAGTTTATCAAAAACGTCGAAATCCTTCTCATTGCAATCAAATTTTCTCAATAACTCATAAGAAAAATCGAATTTTGATTAAGCCGATGTTATAGGTATCACAAATACTACAAACTTGAGCAATATCGAAATTGCCAGCAAAAGTTTGAAATTGCATTGCTCATATTTGTTTTGTAAACTAAAAATCTGCTTATATTATTCATTAATTTTTTATATATTATTCATATACTTTAATAAAAACAATACTATTTCACCTTAAAAATGAATTTCATAAGTCAATATTATTTTTTTGAAAATGTATCAATTTTCGATTAAAACAACATGAGAATAAAATTTACGCAAAATTATTTTAAAAAATGGTTTTAAAAATTTACAATTGATTAAGAATAAGATTGCAAGAAGTTTTGAAGTTTAATTTTAAGAAAAAAAAATTCGGATATTATTCATGGATCTAAGTAATCTGATATTTGAGTATCGGCACTATGCATAAAACATATATTTATAGTTTTTTTGGAGTTTTATAATTTTAAATATATTCAAATTTGGCAATCCAATAGATTTTTAAAAAATAGGTAAATAAAAATAGATTACATATGCAGCAGATTTAGAACATGAAACAAATCTTATAGTGACCCAAAAAAAAATTCATGATCCAAAAAAGAGAAAAATTAGCTAAAGGGAATAAAACCTTGGCATAATGAATCATTATGTTGGATGTTTCCACTACACTACACCGGCAGTTCGAAAAATGCCCTTGGTGGTTCTATTTAATAGCTACTCCCAACGATAGGCGGTGTCCCCAGCTTTAGAGAGGTGGTAAAAGTAAGGCAAATCTGGGTAATACAAATCTTTATTCAATCTTTTGATATTGTTGGTCCTCTCTTTGTGAAAATACTTAACTTCAAAGAGTATTATGTTTTACCTAGTGAGGACCTTAAGTTTGCAAAAACATAATAAAAGTAAAATAAAAAAGATCGGATTTATCACAAAACTTTGAGTATTATAGGATTTAATATATTTTCTTAGTAGATTATATGATTTAGTTTCTTAAAATCTAAAGTATTTCTTGAGGAAAATATAAATTGAAATTCAAAAAGTAAAAAAAATGTAAACAAATCAAATTTTAAATGGACCAAATGTTGATTTTTCATTCGTTTTCTCATTATCGAAAAAAATTTGGAAAGCTAAGAAGTCAATAACAAGTTATATAATACAACAAAAACCACATCGGATATGTTTTCATCAAATAGTCTCCTAGATTTGTTATGAAATTAAAATATCATGATATTTTAAGGGCTTTTGATTTCAATATTAGAATTATTCAGTTATGTCGTGCTAATATCAATTGCTTTATACAATTAATCGTTTACAAGCTGCAAAAATCGAACAATAATTTGACTTTGTAAAAAAAGTGCGTCATTTTTATTCGTTATACTTACAAAATGTAAACATTACGAGAAACATTTACATTTGTAAATGTAACAAGTAAATACATCAGATTTAAATTGTAAATGTAGTTTATCTCTCTCATCTCCTTTTTAAAAGGTATTACATACATACGAACGCATGGGTCACTCAATAATTAGCGTGATAATAATTGAGGATGGACTGTAATCGTAATTTTATTTTTGGACTTATATTTCGACATTTTGAAGTCGCTTGAAAGTCTTGCAAATGATTAAATTTGGAAAATTTGACCTAAGTCTGCATTATTTTGATGACTTAAACAATTCTATAAATCTGTTTTCCTAAAAATTTAAAAAGATATAATTTCAATTTCCCTAAATTTATGTAATTCATATATCACCAAAATATTTGGACTGCATTTCGTTTGTCTGCACCTAATTAAAGTCTAAATACCAATTAATTTTGGAGTTGCATTGCTTTTAATGTAAAAATGCACGTTTAGAAAAAGACGATAACGATTAAATTACAAAATCGATAACGACGACGATTAAATTACAAAATCGATAACCTCTCATAGTTTTTTTGACAATTAAATCTCAATTGCATATTTCGAAGGTTATTTATTCATACGAACTACTTTTTTATCACTTAGCAAAATTACCTTTTCTTATGCTGGAAAATCACAATATTTCAAATGATTCCAAGAAGCTGTAAATACTATGATGGATTATATTAATACTTGCGATGGTCATTATGAAAAGGGAATGGAGCTAATACATCATTAAAATTGATTCTTCATTCTTAAAACTTTTGATCGCATCAAATTCAAATAGTCTTTCAATTTTGAATGTGTTTTGAAAACCTTAAGGTTTAATAATAAGTGAGGCTTTAAATTTTATGCTAATTCATTTATCTGGTAAAATTTTGTAAACCTTTGTAAAGTGATATTTTTGTTGAAACTAAGATTTAAAGTTAACAGCTTAAAATTCAAAAGTAAGAAGGAATGAGGACTCTCATATTGCATGAAATCACCCTTTTCTGCTTTTTATTGATGTACTTAATAACAAGTTTGAGTTTTGTAAGTGATGTTAGTTTCAAAGTCGAAGAAAAAACGCTCATAACAAATTCACCATACTTAATTACGAACGATACATCATACGATAAAGCTCAAAATATAATTAGTTTGGTTTCAAATTTAATCATGCCTAATCAAACCAAAATAATTCCAAGTAGAATTCCTCCTATTGAATATAAACCAGGAGATTGTATAAAAATAAAGAAATATATTCACCCCCTTGATTTCCCTGGTGTTGACGTTCAAGAATTGAATTTAAAGATCCCAATACACGATCAACGAGTTCTTAAAGCTATTCTTCCAACAAACTACCAGATTGTATTCTTTTCAAGTGCAGCAATCAGAGAATTTACCAGATTATATCATTTTAAAAACGCATTGGTTACATATATGGGGGTTTTCTGCAAAGATTGTCAGGTTAAATTCCCTAATGATCATGTTGGTGTAGATACATCCTCAATAACTGTCTCAAACAGAGTTATTGAAAATCTAATTATAGGTAAAACAACATTCATTCCATGGGGTCATTTCTTAACTGATTCTCCAATTTCATCCTTGCTCTACCTTCCGGAAGAAATTGTTAACAAATCACAATATTATTTCTACAAAGAAAGCTTTTTCTACGGTGACAATCTTAAAGCTTTTGGGTGGGGACATTTGCAAAGGGCCTCGCTTTATCGCGATGCAACATTAGTTAAAAACTTATACATGGCTGTTCCAAATGATTTTGTGAATGGTCAGACATATTTCTTTAGACTATTAAGAGAAAGATTAATGAAATTATACAAATGTGAAGATATAAAACCAACTCAGGGCACTATTTCAAATAAAGGTCTCTATAAACCTAGACATATTTCAAATATGGACAAACTTATTGAAAGAATCAGAGAGACGTATCCAAACATAACCTGGACTTACCATTCAGATGATCAAATATCAAACACAGCTGTTGCCATCAAAATCCTATCAGCAACAAAGTATTTTGTAACTCCATGCGGATCAGCAGCTTTCAAAATATTATATATGCATGAGAATACTGGTATTTGTATTGTAGGAATGGCTATAACTGACTGGGCAAATCTTGGAATTTGCCAAGCAATGGGAATTTGGTGTACATACTCTTATAATCCAACTCTTCCATGGCTTGATAGAAGTACAGGTATTATTGATATCGAAATGAATTTGAGATTTCTTTCTTATCTTATTTATGCTGTTGACAATCAGAAATGGCCAACAGTAACAAAAGATAAAGTTGAATTCTTGTTTGAGCAGGATATGCATAGAAAGATCCTTGATATTGATCCTTCATCATCCCTGCAAATTCCTTGCAATATTGATAAGTATTATGACAACTTAATTCACCACAAATCTCAACCTAAGAGATGTGAATCAATTAAGTCGATCTATTTCGATAGAAACGTTCCAATGAGATAAAAATTTATTATATTATTGTTATGTATATAAAATAAAGCATATATTGTTAAACCCAATGTCTGTTTCACTATATGTTCATTTAAATACATTCGATACAATATTTATGTATAAAAGATAAAAAAACTATTGAGTAGCATGGAATTTCGAACTTTCCCAATGGTCAAAATTTTTAAATAGATGGTTATGCTGGCTGAAATACGGCTGAATTTTTGAGAGTGCATCGCGGCGGAATTTCAAAATTTTCGTCTCTTTGAAAATTAAATAATATTTATAACTAGCATAGCTAGCATAGGCTAATATTATGTTTATTCAAGCAGATTCACAAGCTAAGGTATATTGGCACTTTTCGGTTTTGGTCGCTCCTTTTTGATGTCTACCCAACAGGCAGCACCAGTTGAAGCTCAGGCACAAGCTCCACAAGAGCAGCAACAGCTCCGCGGTGAGATGCGCGGCCGTCGTGAAGGCCGTGGTCCACGCGGTCCACGCGCTCCACGTGGTCAACAGAAGGGCGGATGGCAGCCACGCACAAAGCTCGGCCGTCTCGTCAAGTCCGGCAAGATAAAATCTATCGAGGAAATCTTCTACCACGCTATCCCAATCAAGGAAGCTGAAATCGTCGAGCATCTCCTCGGAGAAGATCTTAAGGACGAAATCATGAAGATCATGCCAGTCCAGAAGCAGACACGTGCTGGTCAGCGTACCCGCTTTAAAGCTATTGCCGCTGTCGGTGATGGCAAGGGCCATATCGGTCTCGGCATCAAGACAGCTGCTGAAGTTGCCAACGCTATCAAGGGCGCTACAATCTACGCTAAGCTCTCCATCCTTCCAGTTCGCCGTGGCTATTGGGGCAACAAGATCGGTCTTCCACATACAGTTCCAAACACAGTCACAGGCAAGTGCGGCTCCATCCGTATGCGCTTAATCCCAGCTCCACGTGGTTCTGGCATCGTCGCTGGTACAGCAGCTAAGAAGCTCCTCACAATGGCTGGCTTCGAGGATCTCTTCACATCCTCTCTTGGCCACACCAAGACAACATTCAACTTCCTTGTTGCTACATACAAGGCCATGGAAGAGACATTCAAGTTCCTCACACCAGACCAGTGGGAGGACCGCGCTTTCGAAGAGCACCCATTCGTCAAGAACTCCGACTGGCTCCACGGAAAGAAGAAAGTTGACGCTGAAGAGTAAATTACATATTGCTTGAATTAACAAAATATTTTACAATCCTCAAAATAGATTGATACAATACAAGAATAAATTCTAATGTAATATAAAATAAGTTATTATTTGTAAATTTTATCAAAAAGAGAAAAAAAAATAAATAATTTATCGTAAAATTTTTGATCATTTTGGGCTAAATGATTAATAAATAAAAATTTAATATAAAATAAATTGTTTTCTTGATTTTACTTTTTGTTGTTAATAATAAATTCACCATAAAATCTAAGATTTTATTCTTATTTTTCAAAATTTCAATGATTTTTGGAATAAAAATTATTCATTTATATTTAGTGTTATGTAGATCTTTAGAATATATTGCTTCTTTAAAATGCAATTCTAGTATCATATCATTAAAAAAGCTTAATATGTTAATATTTTAGCTTCAATACTTATAAATTATTAAAATCACTTTTATGAACTGATTCCAAACATCTAATAACAACCATTTCATCCTTCGATACATCAATAGTGCCAGTTTATTCTCATATTTCCATTCCTATATATAAAATCAAGATTATAACTATGAAATAGCAATCTGACGAGATTTAAAGAGTAGCCTAGCAATCCCACTGCTTAAAAAATTATCAATAAGTTTATAATCTCATTTTTCGCCCAAAACATTCAATAAAATTACAGACACTCATCATATTTATCCTACAAAACACATATTTTACTTAAAAAAATGAAATGCATGACAAATTTTTAAATGTCAATGATAAGCATGCTGATCATCTTCTATCTCTTTTGGGCATCACATTCGAAATTCTGTGTAGGTCCATTGATTCAAAATTCAAAAGAAAATGAATGGTTTTTACAATGTGTTCAATTATTTCCAATGAAATTACTGCCATTCTCAAATTAAATTATCAAAATAGGTGCATGTCAGATTCTAAGCATTTCTATCCACAAATAATTGCGAGATTAAAGAAATATAGGAAACTAAAGAAAATCAAAATCGAATAGTTCTATGAGAAAAAATAATGCAAAATGCATCTCTATTTGATATATATTATGTATTCATTGACTTGAGTATCTGAACTTTTCACTGAGGTCTTCAATCTAAAATCAAAGACCTTTTTAAAATTTACAATACTATTTAAACACAGCTATTGAAAATTATGACCAAAACCGTTATGACATTCAAATGTTCAACTCGAATCCTTTTGAAATGCCCTCAAACATGGGAGGCATGGTTCCGCAGCAGCAGTGGAACCAGCCACCTCCTACATATCAGCAGCCTCCTCCCGCTGAGGCTGATGACGGAATGGGCGGCGAAGACGGTGATAATTCAAAACGCCCACCAAACGCCTTCATCCTTTACAGCCAGGCAATGAGACCACAAGTTAGACAAGAAAATCCTTCATTGTCCAACACTGAGTGTTCCAGACTCTTAGGAAAAATGTGGAAAGAAGTTCCGAATGACATCAAACTTCAGTACAAACAGAGAGCTTCTGCTATGCAAGCTGACTTTAAGAGAGATCATCCAGATTACACATACAGAAAAGCTCGCAGGAAACGCGCTTTGAACGAATTATTAACAAAGTCTTCCCAAGTTGCCCCAGGCATGTATCCTCCAGCCATGGGAGGTGATTCTGCCGCCTGGCCACCACAGGGAGGCGTTTTCCCAATGCAGGGCATGGGAATGCCAGGATTCTCCAATTTACCTGGCCAGCCATCTTTAGGCTCCGTTCCAAGCGTCCCTGGAATGCCTTCTAGTCAACCACCGGCAATGTTCGCTCCTCCAGCCGTTCCGGGAACTCAACTGTCAACTTCCCTTAATCCAACTCAATCTCCAGCTGCTACAGCATCTCAACCACAAAATCAACCACTTTACCAAATGCCAGGATTTCCAGGAATGCTTAATACATCTGGAATGTTTGGATTCACAGGCAAATAATTTATTTTATTTAATGAATATTTCCGAATTGTATGAAATATTCTTTATCGTTCATACATTTACGCCATCTTTCGCCTATGATATTTATATCTAAAATATAACTTTCAGAAATTTCCATTGCGAATTTTGGAATTTGTGAAGTAAACCAGCCATTTACAGATAAATCAGGATGCAAAGATTATGTAGGTTATAATGTAACTTACAAAATATCTAGAATGCATGGTAAAAATTATGAAATCTTGAAAATATTGAATTATCTTAACAACTCTTCCAATATATTATTATATCTGGCAAGTATATAAAAATGTTCAATTAATGAATCTAGAATATTATTTTTTTAAGTGATTTTTATTGAATTTTACATTCATCAGCGGTTATTCTTTCAATTTTTTGAATGCATTATGCATGATTTGTCTAATATTTTTATATACAATGATATTTAATTATTAAAATTGCTTTCTGAAATTGAGAAGGTTCGTTAGGTTTTCTTCCCTTTCAAATGTCGAATCAGCAATTACCAAACAAAAGCTTTGATGAACTCGTTATGGAATACAAAGATTATATCGATGTGTTTGATAGCCTGTTTAAGCTGAATACACATGATCCAGATTATCTTTTAAGTTTGTATCAGCAAATTAAAACAGTTTTAATAGAAAAATATTGTTTTTACACTGATCCAGTACTTTCATCTATTGATGATGCTTGCGATAAGAATAACAAATATGTACGGGAGTATTGGAAACTTTTTAAAATGATTTGTGATGAATTTCAAGTTCATTTTACAGATGAAGATTTATGGTCTGACTATTTTACTGCATTAATTAGTGTCGTTTATGGTGTCAAATGGTATGTTAATGATTTTTTTACAAATCAAACTGAAGAAGAATTATTAAATATTCACAGAAATTTTCCTATTCTTGAATACACAATGAATGACGACATCATGAAATTTAAGGAGTATATAACAGAGCATGGTTTCGATCCGAAAGAAACATACTTAAAAAGCTATTATCATCGTTGGAATTTACTTGAATTCTGTGCTTATTATGGATCAGTAAATATTTGGAAATTTCTTTTATCAAACTTCAAAATTGAGATATCAAAGAAGTGCTTGGAACTTGCTTTCTTTTCAGGTAATGTTGACATAATTAATGACTGTACTAACGCAGGGATTGAACCAAATGATACTTGCCGTGAAAATGCAATTGCTTCTCATAGAATCGAAAGCATTGAATACTTGAACGAGCGATATGGTTTTGATGTTAATATAATGTATGTTACATATTATTATAATCTTAGATATTTCTTGAAACTTCTTGATACCGGGTTTGATATTGATATGTTGTTTAACTATAGTCCTGTTTTTTGCATTCCTAATTTATGTCAACATCTTATTGATAAAAGGGCTGATATTCATAAGAGTTTTGGAGATTCTACATTCAGAATGAGTTCTAAATCAATGAAAATGCGCTTGTTTCTCATAGAAAAAGGTGTTGAAATAGATAAAATGTGCATCTTCCCTGCAGCATTTAATAATTATCCTGATCAAATAAAACTTCTTCATAGTCATGGTGTAGATATCAATATGAAGAATAAATATGGGGAAACACCATTACATCTTGCAGCCAAGAATAATAGCTATGATGCATTGAAAACTTTGATTGAACTTGGTGCAGATTTGAAAGTTAAAGATAATTTAGGATATACTCCATTTGATGTAGCAAAATATGAGTCATTTGAAATACTAAGTAAATATGAAAATTAATAACATTATATTTTCCATTGCAGCTGATAACTCTTTTTAAACAAAGTTAAAATTTTCGATTATTTTTTTTTAAAATCAGATCTCTATATCATTCCCATAGTTCATAGAAGTAATAACTAATTTAAACCCACATGATTAGTGAGATATCTAAAATTCTGATATCCAATCGTATCTCATTTAGTTGTTGAAAGATAATTTTTTACCCATTAAAAGTATGTATTCAATATAATCTTTCCGCAACATAATTATAGTCCGATTATGATTATGATTTTAATCATCGTCACTTTTGTAGAACTAATGAAGCAATTTTTCAAGAAATCCAACGATCGAATTAGAATAGCAGTTGATGAAACACTTGAAAAAGCAGGAGCAAAGAAAATAGAAGAGGTTCCCGATTATATTGAGAGAAATAACACTTTAATTTTCATTGAACAACATGCAAAGAACATTCAGAAGTCCTTAACATGCTTTACAGCATCTCTTAAGAATCTAGCTGATTCACAGAAGGAAACAGCAAACTCATACTCAGAAGCATTTGAAAATTCAGAGGATGATCTCCATGAAATGTCAGAACAGCTCAAAAATGTTGCTGGTGATGTCGAAAACATTACAAAAGAGATAAGCACACAGATTCCACAACAGGTTATTAAACCTTTGGAAGATTTATTGCAAGAAATCCAAAGAATACACCAACTCTCTGCAGAACGCCGCAAATGCTTTATCCTTAATAAGAACGCCCAAAATAAGTTTGTTAAAGCCCAAGAAAAAGGCAAAAATACCGAATCTCGCGGTCAAGAACTTGTATCTAAAAAAGCCGACTACGACAAAGCCCACGAGACATACATAAAAGCTGTTGATGATCTAAATTTGCGGAAGAATGACATATTCTCACAAACTTTCAAAGATTCATCAGCTTTGATCGGAAAAGTTGTCACGCAAATCAGCAAAAACTATCACGATGACTTCCCTTCATCCCCTGTTGATACTTCTGAATGTAATTTCCCACCTTTGTAAAATTTGATATGTTATAATTAATAAAAACCTTAAAATAGTTTATTTGTATGATAAAAAGACTCAAAGAATCAATATTTTTCAATTAAAGAGGTAATTCCTTTGATTTCAAGATGATAAACTAATATTATTGTAAATATTAAATTATTATGATACAGCAGCTTGAATGTCATTAAAAACTAACAGTTGTATTTTTATGTCTTGTTCATTTGTGTATATATTTTATTTTTGATGATACTATACCCTATAATTCCTGGGTTGTCAATTTTTTGGGGGCCTATGGAGAAATTTACTTTATCAATAGCGCACCATAGATTCGAATCCAGAGCCTATAATTCTCGAAGTAGATGAAGGTACCATAGAATAACTATGTGGTGTAGTTTTTATTGCTATTTAAGATATCACATAAAATATATTAATCAAATAATAAAAATTTCAATAAAATTAAATAATTGTTATTTTTATATAGAGTAGATATTATTTCTATATTTAGATTAAGGGTTTCGTTTTGCTAAAATTGTCACTTTTATAGCATATTTGTTTTTGGATGTTTTGCGAAACCAAAAAAAAACTATGATATACAATGTGTGTGTAAAGAAAATACTTTATTTACTAGTTAAAAAATCATTTGGTATTGATCAAGTTATTTTTTCTGGATAAGATATTATATGGATAATTGGATAGAAAATACAATTATATAATCTTGTACCTGGTTTAATTAAGCTAATTGTCATCAGAAACTTGTAATTTTTATGAATTTCAGATTTTCTTTTCATTACTGCTTTTCTTAATAGGTCAAGTTCTTATTTACGTTATAAAGTATGATATTTACAAATATCAAGTTATCGTGTTTTTTGAGAAATTATGAGAAACAAACAAAAATGAAAAAGATAGGAATAGCAATGAATAGTGATGTGGGTATAGAAAATGTAAGAGATATGAATGCAAAGCAATCAGTATTTAGGACATTGACCATAGATTTCGAAAAAAAAATGCTGCATATTGAGCGAAAACTATGATTATATTATAAGGCTGTCATTTAAAGCATAATGAAACTATTCCCTTTTCATTTTAATCGAATAAGATAGTAAAGATTTTTGAATTAGCTAGAAACTGATGAGATGTTTTCACAAATCAGATTTTTAATCTCTATAATGCATAATTCACTCAATATCTCAATTTTGATATTGCGAGATATTTTTGCTATCGGTTTCGCAATTTTGACACAATAGCAAGAGGGTTCTATAAGCATTATTATCAACGTAGAATCTGAATATCATATCAGAAAATGTCGCAAATCCGACATTTACCCGACCAAATAGCAAAAATAATTGAATACTTTTCGCAAAAACTTTAAAAATCGATAAAAATATGAAATATAGATATTAAAGAGACTTTTTATATAATATTCATAAAGATTTTCCATAAATATGATACCGCAAAATTAAAAAAGTGACGTCTTGAGTGGAGTCAAAGGTCGAAATTGCTAGCTAAATGTTTTTTTAGCGAAATTGCGTATTGTACGTTTTTTTCGCAAAACGAAACCCTTATTTAGATCGAAAAAATAAATAATTCTGAAGTACTAGTAATATTCATCCATGATGATTTATTTTTCAATATTATACAATAAGAAATATATTTATAAGTTTTTTTTTGAAAAATGTTTAAAATTGAGAGATCAAAATTTCGATTTGTGAAAAGAAATCATAAATCAAATATGTCCTAATTTTTGTTTTTATTAGGGTATACATGTTTTATACTCGAAGTACGGTATGTTGTTGTTTTTTTATTCAATAATTAAAAACTTGCATACAGGTCGTAAGGTGTTGGTATATCGTACACAGAGGTTACGCACATGTCCAGGGCAACTATTTGTTATGAATGAGTGTATTTTAAAAGATTTGAAATATCATAAGATTGATCCAAAATGGCATTATAATAAATGTTTTTATCCAATGTTAATTATATTTTAAATAAAGTAACGCAAAATTAATGACTTTTGAAAATTGAGAGAGAGAACAAAAAATAGAGTTTTGAAAAAACTAAATGTTGAAATAGTTTGAGATATCAATAAAATTAACAGTGAAAAATATTAATCAGAATAAATACAAAAATTGGGTATCTTATTGAAAAAATATGTGAAAAAGAGTGAAGATCAACCGAAATTTTATATTAATATAAAGGGTTTAAAAGAAATGTGAACGTAAATAAATATAAATTAAAAGATATAATTAAATTTTTTAATAAAGTTGAATCAAAGACAACAATTGATAGACAATTGTTGTCTTTGTGTACAACATTCACTTGAATTATAAACAATAACAAGTGTTTGTTGTTCACTGAGCAACTTTGAGAAGAATCATTTGTGATTCTTGTCAAAGTTGAATCAAAGACAACAATTGATAGACAATTGTTGTCTTTGTGTACAACATTCACTTGAATTATAAACAATAACAAGTGTTTGTTGTTCACTGAGCAACTTTGAGAAGAATCATTTGTGATTCTTGTCAAAGTTGAATCAAAGACAACAATTGATAGACAATTGTTGTCTTTGTGTACAACATTCACTTGAATTATAAACAATAACAAGTGTTTGTTGTTCACTGAGCAACTTTTGAGAAGAATCATTTGTGATTCTTGTCAAGTTGAATCAAAGACAACAATTGATAGACAATTGTTGTCTTTGTGTACAACATTCACTTGAATTATAAACAATAACAAGTGTTTGTTGTTCACTGAGCAACTTTGAGAAGAATCATTTGTGATTCTTGTCAAAGTTGAATCAAAGACAACAATTGATAGACAATTGTTGTCTTTGTGTACAACATTCACTTGAATTATAAACAATAACAAGTGTTTGTTGTTCACTGAGCAACTTTGAGAAGAATCATTTGTGATTCTTGTCAAAGTTGAATCAAAGACAACAATTGATAGACAATTGTTGTCTTTGTGTACAACATTCACTTGAATTATAAACAATAACAAGTGTTTGTTGTTCACTGAGCAACTTTGAGAAGAATCATTTGTGATTCTTGTCAAAGTTGAATCAAAGACAACAATTGATAGACAATTGTTGTCTTTGTGTACAACATTCACTTGAATTATAAACAATAACAAGTGTTTGTTGTTCACTGAGCAACTTTGAGAAGAATCATTTGTGATTCTTGTCAAAGTTGAATCAAAGACAACAATTGATAGACAATGCTTGTCTTTGTGTACAACATTCACTTGAATTATAAACAATAACAAGTGTTTGTTGTTCACTGAGCAACTTTGAGAAGAATCATTTGTGATTCTTGTCAAAGTTGAATCAAAGACAACAATTGATAGACAATTGTTGTCTTTGTGTACAACATTCACTTGAATTATAAACAATAACAAGTGTTTGTTGTTCACTGAGCAACTTTGAGAAGAATCATTTGTGATTCTTGTCAAAGTTGAATCAAAGACAACAATTGATAGACAATTGTTGTCTTTGTGTACAACCATATAATATTAACAATAACAAGTGTTTGTTCACTGAGCAACTTTGAGAAGAATCATTTGTGATTCTTGTCAAAGTTGAATCAAAGACAACAATTGATAGACAATTGTTGTCTTTGTGTACAACATTCACTTGAATTATAAACAATAACAAGTGTTTGTTGTTCACTGAGCAACTTTGAGAAGAATCATTTGTGATTCTTGTCAAAGTTGAATCAAAGACAACAATTGATAGACAATTGTTGTCTTTGTGTACAACATTCACTTGAATTATAAACAATAACAAGTGTTTGTTGTTCACTGAGCAACTTTGAGAAGAATCATTTGTGATTCTTGTCAAAGTTGAATCAAAGACAACAATTGATAGACAATTGTTGTCTTTGTGTACAACATTCACTTGAATTATAAACAATAACAAGTGTTTGTTGTTCACTGAGCAACTTTGAGAAGAATCATTTGTGATTCTTGTCAAAGTTGAATCAAAGACAACAATTGATAGACAATTGTTGTCTTTGTGTACAACATTCACTTGAATTATAAACAATAACAAGTGTTTGTTGTTCACTGAGCAACTTTGAGAAGAATCATTTGTGATTCTTGTCAAAGTTGAATCAAATTTTTATTTATTTCATGTATTTCTTTTTTAATATTAATATTCTTATTATTATTCTACCGTTTATTAATAAAAATATTTCTTGCAAAACCTTAAAAATAAAATTTTGGATTCTTCCTTCTCATATACTGTACCCTTAGTTCTTTATTTTTAAAAATCTTATTTGGCGGTTACTCTCAATTTTCTGAGCAATGAATTTATTTTTTTATATCAAATTTTAATGAATATCAAATCTTATAAACAAGATGTTGAAAATATTGATATTGGTGATTGTGTCTCCAAGATACCATTTCCTGTTGACAAAATAGATGCATTTGACGAAAATATCCTTGTTTTTACCCGGATTGTTATTTATTACGACTTTAAAATTTTAGCATTAGAATCCGATGATACATATCTATGTTATTTTCAATGGCAAAACAAATCAACACATAATAAACAAAAGAAAATAGGTACATTATTGTATTCTTTAATGAATAACGAAATTTCACTAGTAGACTTTATAATGCAAGATCAACAGTTCTCTCTTAACCGTTACATATGGTGGTGTCTAGACCAAAGCGTTCCAGAATTCTTCAATCAGATACTTTTCATTGTTTTTACGCATTTCGATCAAGATTTTATCTTTTATAGCGGTCTTTTTTCAAATATTATTGATAATTATAATGATTACAATTCTAGCAAGAAAAATTTTTTCGTTCAGATAATTTGCTATTGTATCTTAAATTTCGAATTTTCACAGAACGATCAACAAATAATGTACCACTTTTTATTGGAGGAAGGACTACTTGAATCATTTAATAATAACAGTCTAAGATTTAAAATTGATTTATTGTTGGCTCTTGAAAAATGCTATTGCATATTCGGAAAGTATGATTTTATGCATGACAAAATTGAATTAATAGATTTATCATATGAGAGCCAATTATTCGAAGAAAATTGCCCAAATTTCTTAGAATACTTGATTGAATTAACAGATGAGGATGGTTCATAGAAGTTTATATGAGGATTTACTTTGAATAAATATAATTTTAATGAATTAAAAATTAATTTTATATATTTGGCTATTGTTATTATTTTTAGAGTATATGAGTTGGGGCAAAGTGAAACAAATTTTTGACATAAAAGAAAGTCTTTGAAGAGAGTTAAAGAGAAATTTTTAAAAGATTAAAAAAATAGCATATATAAAATTTAAGGATTTGATATGGTAAGGAGATATTATTTGTGACTGTCTCACAGAATGAGACGTTTCTCTACAATCTTCTTATTCCACATTAATTTTCTTCTCAAATCAAGTTTTTATAGTATACTAATTTTTATTATGAATATACTATAGAGGCATTACATACAAACACACCTATTCATCACAAAAATTCACCTAATCTTCCAATCTGTATGTTTTATCAATTGTTATCATTTCATATAATAACAATTTATATGTTTGACTAATCTAATTTCATATTTTCCTATTAAATACTAATTTACACAAAAATGGTTTTATCAAATCTTTATGAAGTTATTAAATTCCAGATTATATTGCTTACTTTGCAAGCTAACTATAATATAGTGTGATAGCCTTATTGAACTTTGATCAAATACTCCTTCGTCCGTTAAAAATTAAGATGCGTTTAAAAAATCGGAAAAAAATTCTTTTGTTTTATTTTTAATTTTTCAACCGATAAAACTTTTTAGAAAAACTCCAAATTCCAAGAAATGCTTAGATTCAATATGAAGAACATATTCATACAGTCATTTCGTTTCAAATTTCAATTTTCAAATCGAACAAAGCTGCAAATTTGAATACTTTACAAAATTTTGAAACGTCTTTTCCCGAATGAATATTGAGTTTCAAGCCGGACAAGCTATAGCAAAACTGATCCTTATGACCCACTCTATCATTTTGGTTTTTTTTGCAAAACGTGGGTAAACACCCATCTCATAACACATTTTTTGCAAAATTTGGTAAAATCCGTGTAAATGCTCAGATACATGTGGCCAATAATATTTGAATACTGACAGGTCCGGATATTAGGTTTAAATAGCTGATTTAATTCGAAATATAAAAAAAGATGAAATCTCAATGTAATATAGTAAATTAAGAATCAGTATGAATGGTTATATGATTTTGATAAAAGAAAACTGAATGAAATAGAACAAAATTTGAATCTCAGAATTTAAAAGTAAATAGAGAAGAAAAAGTGGATTTAAAGGAGGTTTTATGATAAGGTATTGTCGGGTATTAGAAGTGAACGTGTTGAAAAGAGATATTCCGTTAATATGAGACAAAATTAAAACAAGAATTGAAGATTGTGTATGAATGTGTCATTCTGGGAGACTTGCATAGACAATGTCTCCCACAATGACACATAGCACACAATAACAGTGCACTGTTGCACTTTGTTGACAAAAGATACACAATCAGAAGAAGATTGTGTATGAATGTGTCATTCTGGGAGACTTGCATAGACAATGTCTCCCACAATGACACATAGCACACAATAACAGTGCACTGTTGCACTTTGTTGACAAAAGATACACAATCAGAAGAAGATTGTGTATGAATGTGTCATTCTGGGAGACTTGCACAGACAATGTCTCCCAAAATGACACATATAGATAAATAAAAGCATAATATGCTATTTTGTGTGTCAAAGTATTACAAAATGATTCTTCTAAAAGTTGCTCAGTGAACAACAAACACGTGTATATTCATAAATAACACGTGTTTATCGAACACATAGACAACAATTGTCTATCAATTGTTGTCTTTGATTCAACTTTGACAAGAATCACAAATGATTCTTCTCAAAGTTGCTCAGTGAACAACAAACACTTGTTATTGTTTATAATTCAAGTGAATGTTGTACACAAAGACAACAATTGTCTATCAATTGTTGTCTTTGATTCAACTTTGACAAGAATCACAAATGATTCTTCTCAAAGTTGCTCAGTGAACAACAAACACTTGTTATTGTTTATAATTCAAGTGAATGTTGTACACAAAGACAACAATTGTCTATCAATTGTTGTCTTTGATTCAACTTTGACAAGAATCACAAATGATTCTTCTCAAAGTTGCTCAGTGAACAACAAACACTTGTTATTGTTTATAATTCAAGTGAATGTTGTACACAAAGACAACAATTGTCTATCAATTGTTGTCTTTGATTCAACTTTGACAAGAATCACAAATGATTCTTCTCAAAGTTGCTCAGTGAACAACAAACACTTGTTATTGTTTATAATTCAAGTGAATGTTGTACACAAAGACAACAATTGTCTATCAATTGTTGTCTTTGATTCAACTTTGACAAGAATCACAAATGATTCTTCTCAAAGTTGCTCAGTGAACAACAAACACTTGTTATTGTTTATAATTCAAGTGAATGTTGTACACAAAGACAACAATTGTCTATCAATTGTTGTCTTTGATTCAACTTTGACAAGAATCACAAATGATTCTTCTCAAAGTTGCTCAGTGAACAACAAACACTTGTTATTGTTTATAATTCAAGTGAATGTTGTACACAAAGACAACAATTGTCTATCAATTGTTGTCTTTGATTCAACTTTGACAAGAATCACAAATGATTCTTCTCAAAGTTGCTCAGTGAACAACAAACACTTGTTATTGTTTATAATTCAAGTGAATGTTGTACACAAAGACAACAATTGTCTATCAATTGTTGTCTTTGATTCAACTTTGACAAGAATCACAAATGATTCTTCTCAAAGTTGCTCAGTGAACAACAAACACTTGTTATTGTTTATAATTCAAGTGAATGTTGTACACAAAGACAACAATTGTCTATCAATTGTTGTCTTTGATTCAACTTTGACAAGAATCACAAATGATTCTTCTCAAAGTTGCTCAGTGAACAACAAACACTTGTTATTGTTTATAATTCAAGTGAATGTTGTACACAAAGACAACAATTGTCTATCAATTGTTGTCTTTGATTCAACTTTGACAAGAATCACAAATGATTCTTCTCAAAGTTGCTCAGTGAACAACAAACACTTGTTATTGTTTATAATTCAAGTGAATGTTGTACACAAAGACAACAATTGTCTATCAATTGTTGTCTTTGATTCAACTTTGACAAGAATCACAAATGATTCTTCTCAAAGTTGCTCAGTGAACAACAAACACTTGTTATTGTTTATAATTCAAGTGAATGTTGTACACAAAGACAACAATTGTCTATCAATTGTTGTCTTTGATTCAACTTTGACAAGAATCACAAATGATTCTTCTCAAAGTTGCTCAGTGAACAACAAACACTTGTTATTGTTTATAATTCAAGTGAATGTTGTACACAAAGACAACAATTGTCTATCAATTGTTGTCTTTGATTCAACTTTGACAAGAATCACAAATGATTCTTCTCAAAGTTGCTCAGTGAACAACACCCATTAATTCTTTTTGATATTACACATTAAGCTAACCAACCACACCAGTCATTTTATTTATATAGCTTTTATCCGTAACATTTTTAAAGGATTTCAAATAATTTACTTTTTCAAATATTTACTAGTTAATATCTCAATCAATTTATCCTCTTATTTATATTTTTAAAAATTTTCATCTCCATCACCATTCAATTTGGAATCTCATTTTTAAAATATCTTAATATAATCAGAATTTTATTAGTAGGTTAAAATATTTGCGAATATTAATTATTTGGATCAAAGCTTTCATACGATTACATTAATTTTTTTAATCGAAATTCTATTTCATTACTACTCAATTTTAAATCATAGCAGCATTAATAGCTCATCTACTTGTATTCCATCATAATGTTATTTTATTCAATTTTTATATATCTGATTTTCATATTTTTTCAAATTCTGTCGCAAAATCTTTAAAATTGTTATATTTCCTTACAACACGGTTAATATAGTATTCTCCTTAACTTGTTTAAATGCAATTTTGCAATATTTGGAAATGATCAAAATATCCTAATGTAAACGTTTGCTCTTAAAATTCAGTGTCATAGTCGATTGTTTCTAACAAATTAATCTTTTTTGCATTGATTTTCGAAGTATTGCATTTTCATTACGGCCAAATCTGCTCTCTTTCATTAGATTGATAGCTCACAATAGTTCTTGTAATCAGAGAGGAAATATCTTACGAAATATACCTCTAAATTTTCACTTTATAGATAAATGTTATATTTTTCCGTTACTCGATTATTGTCCAATAAAACCACAATCATATTAAACTTCGTCCAAAATAAACAATAAAGAATAGTTTTTAAGTTTCTTAAACGGTTTATGAAGGTTCATATTTAATCGATTTTTTTATTTTCAATTCATGTATCTATAGTTCGTTAGTCTATCATCCCTTCATAAATTATCTGCAAAGAATTTTGTAGAATCTCAACTCTGTGAGGAACTACAATAAATTGAAAAGTCATTTTGTGATATCAAAATCCAATATATTATTCTTTCTAATACATATTAATAATATCTTGAGATGTAGTACACTATATATATACTTTCAAAAATCTTATATGTTTATTAGTTATTGAGATAGAAGCGATTTCATTCTTTGAAAATCGACGAAAAGTGCCATATTCATAAAATTATAGGGTAATTCCAACAGCTCAATAACATTGAATTATAACATTACAATTAGGTAATAATGAAAATCAGAATGTTTATTGCTTGAATTTAAATATGAGCTCACTGAATAAATGAGTTAGTGTGAGCATTACACATTGTAATTATTATTTAGGCATTTTCACCTGAACCCGAGTCAGTTTTGGATTTAGGTGAATCTTTGCCTTTCTTGAGTAATAGAATAATGACAACAACAATGATAATGATAACAATGATAACAGCAATAACGATCAGTGCAATTTGATATCCTTTCAATCCATTATTATTGCCATAATCTTTTGTATCTTTTTCTACTTGTGATTTTGTTTTGATTTTATCTTCACCATATAATACCCATTCTTTATTCTTATCGAAAAGCATTTCCTCTTCTCCTTTTGGAGGATCAGCAATTTTCTCAAATTTGAGGGAAATATCACTCTTCATTGTTCCTTTGGCAGAATTTCCCTTTTCGAATTCTTCCCCAACCTCTGTTAATTCTCGATTTGCTCGTACAGATGCAGAAAATACTGTTGCATTTGATAACGTATGATATTCATAAGTACCTACAATGATAGAAAAGTCTTGGCTAGAGGATGTATTTGTTATTTTCTTAACCGATGTGTCAATGTTATAATATCCATAGTGCTCAGCATATGAGGAATACTTTTTGGTTTTATTATTATATTCAATGGAAATTTCTGCATTCCAATTAAGAGATCCAGATGACTTTGTTGAAAAATATGTTATAGATCTATAATCTGACATAAATTCAATTTCGTTACTAACATATGATTTCTTTTCAACAGTTGAAGGGCTAGCCGAGACTATTTGAAGTTTACATCCAGGATTAGATAGACATTTAACTTGTGAAACAACTTGTGATGATGAAGTGTTGCAAGAAACAGCAAATGGATTTTTTTTGTTATTGGGCTACTGTAATTACCTTCTCTATCTCTTATATTTTTATATCGTGCAGTTACTTCATAATCAGTGTTATTACTTGCAATAAAGGATGCACTTTTAAAACATCTTACTTCATCTTTTTTCATTGTGTTAAATCCAGAATCTATGTATGTGCAGTTTGGGAATGGCACCTCCTGTTCTGAATTATCAGAAGAAACAATTCTGTTTAATGCGAGTTCTTTAAAGAACATTAAAATAAAATGAAAATATTTTTATGAAAACCCTTCTATCATTTCGATTTTTATTTATTTTGTTAAGAAAAAGATGTGGATATATAAAAATTGAATCGAGTTCAAATTGAATAAAAAATGCACTTCTCAAAAATTTCACGCTCTCAAAACTGAGAGATTTTTGATAAAACATAAATGAGACACAAACATTTTCATTTATTGAGCTTCACACTAACGCACATTAGTATTTGCTTTCCAAGTTTAGTATTTTCAATCAACATTCAAAAATATATTGAATTTTTTTTTAGATTTTTGAATGGTTTCAAATACAAATAAACAGTCTTAATTGTTATTATCATATCTTTATGAATGATTTCCAAGTATTGTAATATATATTTACCTTATTATCATATCTTTCATATTCAACTAAAATTATATTTTTTTTCTCAAAGATCAAGTTTATTATTATGAGCATCAGTTCATCATGACATCATCTCATTAAGTTATACATCCAAAATCTAAATATTCAAATTAATGAAAAAAAATTCAAATTTATTATCAATATGTAAATAATTCTTTCTATCAGGATCCATATAATTTCTTTAAACATCATATTATTCTAACATTATACTAAATATATTTTAAATTCGATATGAAATTTTCAAATATTAAACATAAATACAAGCATTTTATTAATTTATAACATGTAAATTATTATCATATATGGCGCTTTCTTTTCAAAGGAACATCAAGAGCTGGAGCTGAAGACTGATTGAATATTGGGGCCATTGCAAGTTGTGGGGCAGGTTTTAATATGCGAATTCTCTTTGATTCTATCTTTGGAGCAGAGAACTTTCCACTTGATGGTGTCTGAGACAATTCTGGAGCTTCTTTCTTTGCTGAGAAAGAAGTAGGAGTTTTAAGATCAGGAGCTGTTGCTTTGGATGAAATTACATGTGTCATTGGAAGGAGGGGTGGTTCCTTAGCTGAAATTGAAATATCATCCAAGTTTGGTGTAGGAACCTTACTCTTTGGAGTTTCGTGAATCGAAGGAGCTTTCCTCCTTCTTATCTTCTTCTTTGGCTGATCAATAATTGGTGGTTCCTTGTTTTCTTTCTTAATTATACGCCTCTTCTTCTTAGAAGCAGTAATTTGACTCTCAATGATATTTTCATCATCAATTGCATCCAATTTGCAACTATCTTTGGACATTTCAATGTTATCTAATATCAAACCAATCATATCCTCATCTTGTTCAATTACTTCGTTATTTACAGTTGGATTGAGTTCGAATTCATTTGTTGCATCATTTGTAACAGCTAAATCGTTGTTAAATGAAATAACATCATTATTCTGAAGATTTATTGTTGAATTATCAATAACATCATTATCTTTGTCTATAGTATTCAACAATTCATTCGAAATTTCTTCATTTTCAATTTGTATATCAGTAGATTGAAGTTCGATGGTTTCATTAACAGATAAACAAATTTGTTCATTATTAATTATATCACACCTGTCTATAAGATTATTCTCAATTATATTGTCATTATTTTCTGCAAATTCTGTAAATGTTTGATTGCAACTTATTATTTGATTATTTGCTTGATTTGTATTCAAGCAAAATACAGAATTATCTCTTGAATTCTTGAATAAATCACATGAATCAGTAAATGCAAATTCTTCTTCTTGATAAATAAATGATAATTTGTCAAATTGAACAGTGCTAACTTGATTGAAATCAGAGTCATTTCTCATTTGTTCATCATTGAAAATCAAATTGCAATTATCAATTAATGAACTATTTTCTTCAATGAAAGTGATATTATAGTTATCAACGAAGGCTTCTTCTTTAACATAAATACTTGTTTCTTTGATTGCATTTTCTTCTATTTCATTAGATGGAATTGAAACATCCTTAAACTGGTCAATAATTGATGAATCTTTTTCATCAACAACAATTCCAGAGTTCTTAATTGTATCATCAACAAATGATTTGTCATCTTCTTTGCAATTGATTCTCATATAATCAACAAAGGTTGAATCATCTTGTTTATAATTAATATTTGTACAATTATCGACAATTGATGAATCAATTTCCATTTTGATATTAGAATTATCAACAAAGAATGAATCATTTTCTTCATTCTTAAGAACTGAGTTATGTAAAGCTTCATCAACAAATGAAGTATCATCTTCATTGCTATTAATTCCCATATTCTCAACAATAATAGAATCATTATTTGAAATATTCATTGCGTTATTACTTCCAGTAAATAATGATTCATCGATAATTTCTGTTTGTGGAATATTGTCAAGAGAGTATTTTGATAATAAGTTAATATAATTATCAGTAATTGAATCTGATAGTCCATGAACTTCACTAAATGTTTCATCAGCTTGCAAAACATTAGAATTGTCATTATCTCTGATTTCTTTTTGTTCTGAAATTAAATTGAATAATTTCATTGATTCAGAGTTATCAAAAGAAATAGTATTGTTTTCTGATGATATTTCATGGAAGATAGTATTTTTAGATGCAATGAAAACAATTGGAAAATCTTCTGTAACGTTTTCTGAAATTTTGATTTGATTTTGATTGATTTCATTGTTGAAATTGTTTTCAGTTTCTAAATGCATTAATGCTGAATTATCTTTGATTATTTGATTCATTAATCCATGTGAAAACTCATCTTTCAGTTCTTTAATACATCTTTTTGTTTCTTCATCAATTAAACCATGATTTACAGCTTTATCGTTGATATCTCCAAATGAATCGCTTGCAATGAAACAAAAATCATTGAATTCCTTGATTCTTTCATTTGAATCATTCTTAGAAGGAATATTTTCTAGTTCTTTAATGATTTCATTCGAATCGTTATGAATTAAACCAGATTCATTTAGATCTTTGAATTTTTCAAATGAATCAATAGATTTCGTTGTAGAATCACTAAACTCTTTGATGTTTTCATATGGATCTCTTTCAACTAACTTAATTTCATCGAATTCTTTGATGTTCTCAGATAAATCTTTTTCAAACAATCTAAGTTCATTAAGTTCTTTGATGTTTTCATTTGAATCATTATGATTTAGATCAGATTCATTAAGATCTTGGAACTTTTCATATGAATCCTTATGATTTAGATCAGATTCATTAAGATCTTGGGACTTTTCATATGAATCCTTATGATTTAGATCGGAATCATTAAGATCTTTGAAGTTTTCATTTGAATAATTCTTGGATAAATTAGAAATCAATAAAATAGAATGAATATCTGATAAAACCGTTAAATTATTGTCGTCATTCATGTTATTGTTCTTGAGAACGAAACTGTCTTCATCTGGATCAAATTTCATCTCTATTACATTTCCTGTTTCATTGATTAAATCATTTGTTTCAGAAGTTAAGTTAAAATCATTGAAACATTGAATGTTTTCTGTAGAATCACATGCAATGAAACAATATTTGTTTTCATCAACAACCATATTCATTTGGTTGATGTAATTATGTGAGTAGACATCAGATAATTCAATAAATTCATCATATGTAACATTGTAATCATCTGCTTTTTGTTCTTTTTCTTGGTTTTCGACAACTAAATCTTCATTTTCACTTTCAGATTCAACAATTTTGGATTCATCCTTTGAATAAACTAACTCTGTGATGATACAATTAGAATCTGAAGAAATGAATGGATGAATATTTTTAATGTTTTCATTGAATACTTCTTCATTTTGATAATTATTTATTTCTGTATTATCAATTAAATCTGCTTGAATGACATTTGATGAATAAATATCTTCCAATTCTTTAATTTCTTGATTATCCTGATATACGAAGTTGCCTTCATCTTTAATATCATTGTTTCTTGATGAAACATCTTGTAAAACTTTAAATGAGCCATTTGAATCATTGGAAATAAATGAATGAATTAAATCATTTTCAATAATGTCATTTTGACATTGATCAATCGAATAAACATCTTTGAGCTCTTTGACTTCATTTGAAATAAATGGATATAATGAATCTTTCTCATTGTTAATATCACTGAGAATCATATCGTTAATCTTACTATCTTCAATTATATCTAAATCTCTTTGCTTAATTGAATAAACATCTCCGAGTTCTTTGACTTCTTGGTTGGATTCTGAAGAAACAAACGGATATAATGAATCTTTTTCATTGTTTAATTCATCAAACGTTTCATTGCCAAATTTATTGATATTATCTTCAAGTAATTCTATATTACTTTGTTTCATTGAATTAGGGTCATTAAGTTCCATAATTTTAATATTTGAATCAGTTGAAATGAATGGATAAAATGAATTATCTTGAATTTTAACATCATTAAATTGTTCATTAAACTTATTTTCTTCAATAATTTCTAAATCTCTTTGCTTCATTGAATATACATCTTTGAGTTCTTTGACTTCTTTGTTAGAATCTGATGAAATGAACGGATATAATAAATCTTCCTCGTTGTTAATATCATTGAGTATTTCATCGTTGAAATTACCATCTTCAATTATTTCAAAATCTCTTTGTTTAATAGAATTAGGATCTTTGAGTTCTTTGATTTCGTTGTTAGAATCTGTATCAATGAATGGATACAATGAATCTTCTTCATTATTAATGTCATTGAAAACCTCATTATTGAACTTACCATCTTCTATTATTTCTATATTTTGTTGTTTAATAGAAGTAGGATCTTTGAGTTCTTTGATTTCATTGTTGGAATCTGAAGAAATAAATGGAGACAATGAATCTCCTAGGTTGTTAATATCATTTTGATTTTCATTCTGAATCAATGGATAAGAATCTTTGAGTTCTATAATCTTACTGTTTGAATCAGATGAAATAAATGGATTTATTTTATCTTCTTCATTATTAAAATCAATTTTATCTTCTATTAGTTCTAAATCTTTTTGTTTTTCTGAATAAACATCTTTGAGTTCTTTAATTTCTTCGTTTGCTTCGTTCGAAATAAATGGAGAAATTATTCCAATTTCATCAATATCAAGATTCCTTTCTTTGATTGAATTAACATTTTGTAACTCTTTGATATCTTTATCGGATTCACTACTAATAAATGGATAAATCTTGCCATTATCTTCAGTTATATCAATGTTTCTTTCTTTGATTGAATAAACATCTTCAAGTTCTTTGACTTGATTATTAGATTCATTTGCAACGAATGGATAAAATGGATCTTCTTCTTGATTCATTCCAATCAAATCGATATTTCTTTGTTCATCTGAGGTAACATCATTTAATTCTTTGATTTCATTGTTTGAATCAGTTGCAATGCATGGATAAAATGGATCTTCTTTTTGATTAATTTCATCGTTTAATAATTTAATTTCTGTTTCATCTTCTGAAATATCAATATCTCTCTGTCTAACAGAATAAATATCCTCCAATTCTTTGATATCATCAACATTAAGATTTTTGTTGTTAAGTGATGAAGTATCAGGTAATTCTTTGATTTCGTTGTTTGTTTCACTACAAATGAATGATTTTTCTTGATTTATTTTTTCTATTAGATCAATATTTCTCTCTTTGGTTGAATTAACATCAGTTAGTTCGTTTATTTCATTGTTTGAATCCGTGCAAATAAATGGATAAATTTGATTTGAATCAGCATTAATAACATGACTCATTGAATAAACATCCGGTAATTCCTTGAAATCTTCTTCATTTGTGTCAATGGAAATAGGTTGTAATTCTTTGATTTCATCGTTTGTGCCACTAGCAATAAATGGATAAATAACTTCACCTCCAAAATTAATATCATTATTAATTATTTGTTGAGTTATTTCATTTTCTAACTGTGAATCTGAATTAGTTTCTTCGAGTTGTTCTGAAGTTAATGAAAATTCTTCTGAGTTAACATCAATCATTGTTTGTTTAAGCGAATAAACATCTGGTAATTCTTTGATTTCATTATTAGTTTCATTTGCAATGAATGGATAAATAATACTTTGTCCATTTTCAGTTATTTCTTTGATATTCTTCAAATCAGATGAGACGAATGAAATTTCTTCTGATTCAAATTCAATCATTGCATGTTTTAGAGAAGAAATATCTGGTAATTCTTTGATTTCATCATTAGTTTCATTTGCAATGAATGGATAAAATATGTCTTCTTCTGAATCATTTATGTTTTCTTTGATATTCTTAAAATCATCTGAAACAAATGAGATCTTTTCTGATTTAATTTCATCTTTTGATTGATTAAGTAAATAAACATCTGGTAATTCTTTGATTCCATAATTGGTTTCATTACAAATGAATGGATAAAATTTGTTTTCTTCTGAATCATCATGAACAACATTTTGTATATCTGAAATAACATCATTGAGCTCTTTGATGTCATTCATCGATTCATTGACAATAACTGGATAAAAGATTTCTCCAATTTCATCAGCTAATTCGATTTCCCTTTGATTAAATGAACAGAGATCTTTAAGTTCATTAATATCATCAGTTAATAATTTGTTATAATAAACATCTTCTTGATAATTTTCGCTTGTTTCCTCTTCTTCATTAAATGATATTTCTCTTGAAGTAATTCTATTTTTCTCTTTTTGTTTCTTGTTTGATTGTTTCTCATCTATTTCATTTTCATTTGCAATTAAATTATTTGAAGAATTATCTCGAATTTCTTCATCAAATTTGTATTTTGTAAATGAAGAAACATCTTTGATATCAATTTTTGTTTCAACAGCAATTAAAGTGAAAGCATCTTTTTCCAAAGAATAAACATCAGGAAGTTCAATAATTTCTTCGTTTGTATCACAAGCAATATAAACAAAATCTATTTCATCTGATTTTCCAATTTCAGTTGATTCTTCATCAAATTTGAATTCATCAAACATAAAATCAATTGATTGAGGATTAAACTCTGTTTGTTTCGTATCTAAACTCTCAGATTGAGACATTGATTGTTCTTCAATTTCTTTGAAATCAATTTTATTTACATCTCTGTTATCATTGGATTTCGTAACTCTTTTCAATTCTTTAATCTCACAATCACTATCTATGGCAATAAAAATGAACAAATTATCTGACTTTAAACCATTTTCTTTTGCAAAATCAACAGAATAAACATCAGGAAGCTCTTTTGCATCTATTTGCTTATTCATTTGATTACAATTTCGATAAACGTTTTCATCAACAATTTGATTAACTTTTTCTTTGTTGAATTTCAATGAATTTACAGCATTTGTTTCTTCAATGTTTATATGACTAAATAGAATTAATTCATTGTTTGATGTAATTGGTCCGATTTCTGTGAAATTGTCTTTAATTTCGTTATTTGCATCTTTTGCATTGAATAATTCTTTGATTACAAATTTAACTGATTCAATTTGATTTGCTTCTTTATTTAAACCGGTTTCATTTAAATAATCTTGTTTACCATCAACAATAATTTCTGTTATATATTCATCTTTATCATTTTGCTGTATTTGGATTTGTTTTGTTTCTTCTTGTACATTATTAATTAAATCTCTTTCTTTGATAAATATTTCTTCTTGTTTGTATATTTGTGGATTTTCTGCTTCATCAAATATTCTTTTTGAATCAAAAATAGAAAAAGTTTCATTGATATCTTTGCTTTCTGAATAAACATCATTTAGCACTTTAAATTCATTTGATTTTGATTGTTGAAATGTTTCATAATTGTTCATTATATTCTCTGGTAATTTATTTATATTTGGATCAGTATTTTCATCATTCATCATTGAACTAACTAAAATTTTGTCTGTAAATGATGAATCTAATGCATTAAAATCATTGCTTTGATCATTGATCTCGGTAGATGAAATTTGTTCTTTTGAGCTATTATCAATGTTAGTTCCAATGATATTCTCAAAATTGTATGTTTCAGAATTGAAATTATTGTAATTTGGAAAGAAATTATTCCTTTCATCATAACATTGAGGATTTGATATAATTTCTTTGCTTTTTGGATTGAATACATCATTATTTCCGTAATTTGAAGAATCATGTAATTCAAAATCTTCCGAAATTGCAATGAAAACTGATTGTGGAGTTAATTTTAGTTCTAAACCACATGTTTCAAAAATCATTGATATATCATTTCTTGGAACTGATGAAAAAACTTCTTCTTCATTGATAAATTCATCTTTCTCGATATTATTAGGTTCTTGAAATACATTCGAAGTTAAACATTGAACCTTTTGAGGTGTAACTGTTTCTATTTCTTCTTCTTCTTCCTCTTCCTCTTTTTTCGTTTCTTTATTATTTACTGGAGTTAATTCATGAAAATCATATTCAATTTCTTGCATGTTTGGCATATCATTCGTTAAACATACATCACTATGATCAAAATTGTTAAAATTGCTAAAATCTTTGAAAATTTCTTGGAAAATTTGAAAATTATTCTTTTGAATATCAGGATCATAAACCTCTGATGAATGATCATCGTCAATTTCGGGATTGTGTTGCTTTAATTCATGAATTTCATCAAAATTATTATAATTTTTGAAACAAAACTCGTCTACAACTTCAACATCTTGATACATCGGTGATATATTGGAAGAAGTATCTTTTAGTGTTTCAATAGGATCGATGTTTGCATTTAATAATTTTTGTTCAATAAAATTTTGAGAATTAAACAATTCTAAACCCATGCTGTTTGGACAATTATGACATAATATGCAATTGTCATCTTCAAAATCATTTGGATTAATAAATGATGGAGGATTATTTACATTAATAAGATTTTTGAGATTTTCATCTGTTTTAATGTTGGTCTTCTCTTCTTTTGGAAGAATTAATTCGACTTTCTGCTCCTTTTTACGATGTGATGCCTTTTTCTTTGGAATTTTCTTGCGTTTTTTAGAAATTGGAGGGGAAGAAGGTGATTTAGAAATTTCAGAATCAAATTTGACTTCTCTAACTTTAGGTGATAAAATAGACGAAGATTCACTAAGAAATGAAGTTATTTCAGAAGATTCAAGTGGATGTATTTGCGATTCTGAGTTTCCACGCTTGCCTTTTGTTGGTGTTTGTAACAAACTAGATTTTCTGTTGGATAATAGTTTATTATTGGCAGTGTCATCTGTAGATAAACCACGAGGTCTAACATTAAACTTTTTCTCTTTACGAGGAGAGATACTTCTTGTTTTTGTAGGAGAACGAGTTGGAGAATTATGAGGACTCGCTCTTGGTGTATTATTTTGTGATGAAGTTGATAAATCGAAAAATGGATCTGTCAATGATCTCTCTGGAGAACGGAGAGGAGAAAAACCTCTTTCTTTGAGTTTATCGTTTAATACTGAATGCTTTCCATTATTATTTTGATTATTTTCACTGTCATGAACAATTTTCTTTGCGAAAAACTCTGATTGTGCAAAGTTTTTGCTCAAAGGTAGTAATTTTGTAAACACTTCGGAATCTAAAATTTTATTTTGTGGTTCATTAAGTGTAATATTTTCTAATTCATTCTTAAAATCGGAAATAGTGGTTTCTAATTGTTTTGGTGGTTCTATTTTCTTTGGAGCTTTCTTGGGTTTCGGAGTTTTTTTGAACAAATGATGTTGAAGAAACACATCCTTTGGCTCTAAAGCTTTTGAAAATATATTCAACATAGGGAAAAACTGTGATACAGCTTTACTTTTCTGTTTAAGAACTGAATTTCCCTTGTTATTGTATATATTTCCTAATGTTGATGCTTTTTTCATTTCTCCAAATAAAAAAACGGAAAATACAAAATTTTATTCTAATGATTCGAAATATCCAATCTAATGTTATAGTTTATTTCGTCTTACTAATATTTTTTACAATTTTAATATTAATTTCTAGATTTAAGTCATAGATTAACAGAACATGAAGGCTTTTAGATACCAAAAGAATTTAACATGTATCAGTAAACAATAATTCAAGGACAACAATTAAAAATTTTTACTATTTGTAAAAAATAAAATAAATTCAAACTTCAATACAATTTGAAGTGTCATTTTACACGTATTGATGTTCAATATCAATATTTGTCTGCTTATGCATTTACTTGGTATATCTTAAAAAAAACTAGATTCAGTAGTAGGATATGATGGGTTATGTGACATTTTTTGTAAACGTAAGAATTCATACAATATTGAACGATTTTGTATCATTATTTTTAACATTAATTTTAAAATAATTTATTTTTTTATTCTTACATAAATGACCCAACAAGTAAAACCGGATAAAATAGATTATCGAATTTTAGAGGATGGTGTTCCTGTTTATATTCAAAGATTTAAAGGGAAGCAATATTATAGAATTCTTAATCCTGAATACATAAAACATTTATTTAAAAAGGAAGACTGTGAATTATTAAACGCTAATGAATATGAAACCAATAAATCAAAATTGAAATATAAATATATTGGAAGTGATGAAAGATGCAAAAATAAAGATAAAGTTTATACAGTTTCATATAATGAATGGAAAACCAATAAGATAAGAAAACATTTAGGAGATTATGGGAAATGTTCTGAATTCTTTAAATCTAGTATATACGAGAGAGTAAAAGAAATTAGAAATAATTATTTTCATGAATGAAAGAAATTAATAGAAATTCATGTCTTACATTTTTGAATAATTTATTTTTTATTTAATGATAAATGAGTATAACAACTAATTCATTGAAATCTTTAAAGTTCACTAATTCAGAATTAGAAAATATTTTAGAAAATTTTGGAGACGGTTCTTATCCAACATATATGCAGAATGTGAAAGAGTTTTCCAGATTGTTGAATGAATTTAAATATAACGGACCAATTACTAAAAAGGCTATAATGAGATATTTATATCCCAAAAAAGTTGAAAAACAGGAGAATATTCCTCTTTATGGTCCAGAGGACCTGGGCTCAGAGAGCCTTGAAACACCTCCTGAATATTTTGAAGAAAAAATTAAACAAGATGAATATTATAACGATGAGATTGAGAAATTGGAACAATTAAGAAATGAAATAGATGAAAAAATTAAGGAATTGAGAAATGCTGAGAATGAAGTAGAGGGTTTAATGAATATCCCAGCTTCAGAATCAGAAGTTCAAAAATCACATGAGGAAAGATATAAAAATTACTTTTTGGAATCTACTAAAAATTTATTAGATGGTGATATTGACGAAACACTTTCAGAAGAAGGCACAAAATTTATTCATAAACATAAGCTTCAGTTTATTGATAATGAAGAATACCCCTGTATCCTACTTTCACCCCCTCTTGATTCTGAAAAATTCAAAAAAGCACTGAAAAATGTAACATATGCAACTAATACGATTAAGAAAGAAGACCATGATATTTACACAAATTATTATTTAAATAAATGTACAGGTGTTGATAAAGTTTTTGATTTGTTAGATAAAATATCAAAAGAAACAATTGGTACATATAAAATTTTATGCGATTGTGGTTTCATTATTGAAGATACCAATAATGTTTCATATGAAGCAGCACCGAAGGAAGAACGAAGTTGAAAGGTCTATACCATTCGTTATTAAGAACATAAAAGATATGAAAACTTATAAGCATTATATTTATTCATTTATTTCAGAAAAAATGGAAGCAACCATAAATCTTCTCATCATTTTAATAGCTATTCATACATTCCTTTCAAAGTTGTGAAATTAATAAGACAGGAATTAGATTTAATGTATCAGGGTATGCATTCTTGAGTAAATTAAAATGCATTCGTCACGTCGCAGATGATAAAAATTTATGTGTTCTTAATTCATTTTATGGACTTTAGCCCGGACTTTAAAAAATAAACTTTATTTTATTTATTTTTTTAATTTTATTCTTACATAAATGACAAAAACGGAACAGCTAAAATGAATGATAATCAATAAGAGCCGAAGGTAGAAGGTTATTTAAACGCTTCTATAACATTCCTGATGGTGTTAATCCTAAACTCGTAGAAGTTATTTAAACGAAGCCATAGATGCATATGAAGGATTTGACATTTCATCAGAAAGTGAGAAGGTTAGCAAGAATGTTAAACGTTAATATTGATTTTTTATTATTGTGACCCTCAACCAGAAGACGTAGACATTAACAAGGTAGACTTTCCATTAGTGGAATCAATAATGATAGATCCAGAATTTGAAACAGTAAATATTTTATTAACACAGAGTCCATGTGGAAAACTTCACGCTGACAGAATAACAGACGTTGAAGCACTCACAGGATATAAAGTTTGCCCCTTTTGCAAAGAAGAAGTATATTCTATCCGTGATGATCCAGAAAGGAAAAACCAAAGAAGATTTTTAAAGCATTGTGAGAAATGTAAAGAAAATAATGGAAGATTAATTCAAGACGTTCAATTGCAAAAGACACAGCAACCATATGCACCACATATTACGAAACAGAAGATATATCAATGGTTATTAGCTCATAATTTGCAGGAATATTATCAACCGACAAGATATTATATTACTTTTGACTTCGAAACATTAGAGACTAAAGAAGAACTTCAACTTTCTGAATGTGCAACTTTGAACGCTTACTTAAAACCATTCATGGTATCATCAACTGTCAAAATAAAGCCGCAAAGCGGCGAGGTCGTAGACCGTGATAAAACATATACGAGGAATTTTTGCTTAACTTCGAGTGATTCTTTTATTTCTGATTGGATTGAGTTTTTATTTTCAACCTGTTCATTAGTTGCTAAATCAAATATTGAACAATATGAAGAATTAATGAATACATTAAATGAGAAACAAAAGGAAGCAATGAAAGAGCTTTTAGATGAGGAATTCAATAAAGTGAATATCATAGGTTTTAATTCGGGAAAGTTTGATTTAAATTTAATTCTTCGTGATTTAAACACTGCAAAATGGAAAATAAAATCAATGCTGGGTTCATCTTCACAATTTAAGCAAATCATTGTAAAGAAAACAAACTGTCCATATGAATTAAGATTTATTGACATCAGAAATTATATAGCGGGTGGAACATTAGACCAATTCACTCAAGATTTCGGAAACAATAAATCACGTGTTAAATCCTTTTTCCCTTATCAATTCATCACATGGGAGAATTACGAAGAAGAATTATATAAAGTGGAACCATTCACTCAAGATTCATTTTATTCAGCATTAACACAAGAAACAATATCCGATTCAGATTATCAAATATATCTCAATGATGCTAAAAATTTTAAGAATAGATTAGAATATTTTATTCATTATTGCAATAAAGATGTTGAAATTATGATTGACCCAATTGATAAAATTATCGAAGAAACATTTGTTTATAAAATTGACATGCTTCATAATCTTTCTTTATCATCGAATGCTTCAATGATTCGTTACGCTTTAGCATATAAAGACTTTAATCCTAATGAAACATATCCAGAAGAAGAAAATGTGGAATCAAGTTTTGAATTAACAAAAAAGTATTGGAAATATAAAATTGAATCATATAAGAAACAAGATGAAAAAGCGGAAAGGGATACTAAAAACAATGTTTCAATGGATGACTATCAATACTATCACGATTTAATCCTTTCATCTAAATGCAAAATGTGTGGTAAAGCGTTTACATATGCAAATAAACCAACATTGGATAGAATAGATAATGAAAAACCACATACCAAAGAAAATTGTCAGTTAATGTGTTGTTATTGCAATGTCGTAAAATCAAATAAAGATGAAGATGTTCAACGTTTAAGAATCAATTTAAGAAATTATGCATTAAAAAATAATTTACCAATGACTTTAGATTCAGTTGAAGCTTATCACATTCTCCGTAATGGAATTACTGGTGGTCTATCAAATGTTCAACATCGTGTTAATCTTAAAGGAATCACACACATTAATAAACTTTCATATAATCCAGAAACTAAAACTGTATCAAACGAGGACACCACCAACATTATGACTCATTTCGTTGGAGTTGACTTTAATTCATTATATCCTTCATCATTTTCATCTAATCCTCATGATTTCATTCAATATACTGACCATAAATGTATATGCCGGGAAGATTGAATGGTGTTATCATTTGTGATACAGCAACAAAGAAAGCAAAAGCATTGGGAATTATTAAGAAGAAAAATACTTTATTCGTGGCTGAAGTAAAGGGTCACATCGATGAAAAATACATTAATGATTACATAAACTTTTTACCGATAATAAGAAACTTAGATATT